AACTACTCTAAACCCTATTATTATTATTAAATCTAAACTATAAGAGTAATTATTCCCTAAGTTTACTAAATTTTATAATATATTCTTACTAAAGAAGGTTAAGTGCCTGCTACTTTATTAATCTAATAATTATAAGATTAAATTATTACCTAGAAAAATCCTATTTTTTAGAAGCCTATATAGCATGTCCTAAGATAAATTAAAAGTTCTAAAGGAATAGATTAAAGAGAACCTAAAAAAAGATTTTATTTATTCTAATTCTTCTCCTACTATATCTCTTATTCTATTTATAAAGAAACCTAGAGGAGGCCTATAATTTTATATAGATTATTAAGCCCTAAATATAATTACTATAAAAGATTATTATTTATTATTACTAATAAAAGAGATACTAAATAACCTAAAAAGAATAAGATATTTTTTAAAAATTAATATTATTTTTACTTTTAATAATCTATAGATTAAGAAAGGATAAGAATATCTTACTACTTTCTAAACTTAGTTAGGCCTATTTAAATTCTTAATAATACTATTTAGACTTACTAGAGCCCTAGTATTATTCTAAAGATTTATTAATAAAGTCTTATATAATTATCTAGATATCTTTTATACTATATATCTAGATAATATTCTAATTTATAGTTAAACTTATACTAAATATACTTATTATATCTAATAAATATTAGAATACTTATAAGTAATAGGACTTTATACTAAATTTAGTAAATATAAATTCTTTATATATAAGATAAAGTTTCTAGAACTAATTATAAGTAGAGATAGCTTTTAAATAAATCTTAATAAAGTAAAAATAATTACTAAGTAAGAAATATTAACCTATCTAACTAATATTTAAGTCTTTATTAGCTTTAGGAACTTTTATTACTAATTTATTTATAATTTTTTAAAAATTATTAAATTATTAGTTAATTTAATTAAGAAGAATATTAACTTTAATTAAATACTTATCTACTAAGAAGTATTTAAATAATTAAAAGCTATTTTTATAAATACTCTAATATTAAAATCTTTTAACTAGTTAAAAAATATAATTCTAGAAATTAATACCTTTAATTATATATTTACTAGAATACTATTATAATATAATAATAAAAATATATTATACCTTATTATATTTTTCTTTAAGAAATATTTTATAATAGAATATAATTATAAGATTTATAATAAAGAATTATTAATTATTATTTACTACTTTAAAAAATAATATCTTAAACTAGAAGAGACTTTATTACTTATAAAAATTATTATAAATTACTAGAATCTAGAGTACTTTATATTAACTAAGCTATTAAATTATTAATAAGCCTGCTAGTCTAAATTTTTATTAAGATTTAACTTCTAAATATATTACTATCCTAGGAAGTTAGATACTAAGCTTAATATATTAATTAGAAGGTTAGAGAATTTATTTAAGAAGAGGAATAAATAATTTCTTTACTAGAGTTAGATTATCCTAAAATCTAAAAACCTACTACCTAAGACTACTATTAATTTAAGATTAAATACTAATAGTTAATATTAAATATATTTTATTAAATAACCTGCTATTAATAAACTAATCTCCCTATTACTAATATTATAACTATTATTTAATAAAGTTTATCTACAAGATAAGAAGCTCTAGTCTATTCTAAATATTCTAAAGGATAGTCTACTAAGATACCCTAATATTATACTAGTTAACTATAGATATACTAGTCTATACTTAAGATATTAAAACTAACTTTATATATTTAATTATAATAAGATAAAAGTTAAAATATTAAGACTTTATTATAAAAATCTTGCTATTAAATATTCTAGAAAAACTAAAATATATAAATTAATATTATATAAATACTTCTAGCCTGGGATTTATAAATATATTAATTAATAAATCTAGAATTATTACCTCTACTACTAAATTATTTTTTTCTAAAAAATAAAGTAAGAAGTACTAAAGTTTTTATTAATTTCTAAATATATTTAGTAAAATATAAGCATGGACTTTATTATATATTTACTATTAAGTAATAGTTATAATATTATCCTGGTTATAATTAACTATTTAATAAAGATAAAGTACTTCTTTTCCTATACTAGAATAATTAATATTAAAGAGATAATTAATCTATACCTTAAATATATCTAGAAACTCTATAATATCTCTAAAATAATTATATTAGATTATAGAGTCTAATTTATTATTATTTTTTAGAAATACTTAATATCCTGCTTAAAAATTTATAATCTACTATTTATTATTTATTACTCTAAGATTAATAACTAAACTAAATATATTAATACTATCTTAAAATAATACTTATAAGTATATATATTATACCTATAAGATAATTAGTCTAAATAATTATTAATAATTAAGTTTACTACTAACTTTATTTACTTTAAATTTATAGGAATATTATTATTTATAGCTAATTATAAATTCTATCTAATATTAGGATTTAAACTAAGCTATCTTACTATCTATTCTATTAAAAAAGATACTAAAAAATTTACTAATATTATATATAAGATTTATAAATTTATTTATATTAAGATTTTATTTACTTAAGTTTATTATAAAGTATAAGCTAATTATTAAAGATAACCTATATATTATTATATTATAGAATAAGAAATCTAGTTAAATATTTATAATATTTAAATACTTTACTTATAGAAAAAATTAGACTAGAAGAACTTTAAATTATATTATATTAAGAGAATTATTAGCTTATATATTTATAAACTTAAATTATCTAAAAATATAAGAATTTATCTTATATTTAATATATTTTTACTCTATTTTATTACTAATAACTCTTTACTTAATTAATATTCTAATCTACTATTACCTATTAAAATAGAAAGATTAAAAAAATAAGAAATTAAGAAAGTTCTTAATTCTTAATAAGTTTATTAAGATTATAGTAAATTTAAGCTATAATATATTATTAAATAAATTAAATATAATAAGCTAATTAAAGAGCCTATTAAATATCTAGAGAATACTTACTAACTAGTAAATAATTACTACCTTTATTATCCTAAGAAACCCTAGCTAATTCCTTCCTAGTCTTAATAGAGCTTAACCCTAAAAAGAGGGGTACTATTATAGTATAAAGCTATAATACCTATTTAGTTAGATTCTGCCTTAACTATCTATCCTTATTCCTATATTTAAATTATATTATCCTTGATCCTATTATAGCTCTTCAAGCTATGTCCTATCTATTACCTGATACCTACTATTCTGCTGTTCTGTCTGGTTAGCTCCTAGTCAATGAATATCTGAATCCGACTCTGCCCCCTGACAATATCTACTACTTCAAGCCCTATATAGATTATAATAATCAATATTTCTTTAGTATAAGGAATTCTATAATATTCTAGTAAAAATTAGTATAAAAGTAATTAATAAAAACCCATGCTTCTACTATAATCTAGATTAGTAGTTAATACTTATTATCTATATTAATAATATAATAATTGCTGGCCCTAATAAAGTAAATATTTAATAATTTATAGATAAACTAAAAAGATATTTTAAATTAAAGTAACTAGGTAAGCCTATATAATTCTTGGGATATAATATTTATAGACTACTTAATAATCTAATATTAATATCCTAATATATATATATCCAAAAGATGCTCTATAAATAGAATTTCTATAGTCTTTGGCCATGTCATATACTAATAACTCTGGGATAGAAATTAACTAGAGAGACACCAGATACTAGCAGTATTATTCCAGACACTATATATATCTCTATAAATAAAGATGATATTGCCTACTACTAGGAGCTAACTAGATCATTAAATTAGATTACTATTTAGACCTAACCAGATATTTAATATATAATAATATAATTATTATAGAAGAATTATAATCCTACTAAGTCAGACTATAATATAATTAAATAAGTTTTCTAATATTTAAAGAAGACCTTAAACTATATAATAGTCTTAGACTATTTAAATAATCTATTATATATATATATTAATGCCTCCCATATAGATTATAAAGATAAGAAATTAATAAAAGGCTTTATATTTTTTATATTTAGAGCACTAATTACATAAAAATTAGTAAAGTAATTACTAGTTACCCTAAATTTAACTATTATTAAATTTATTATATAGGATATAGCAATAAAGCTAGCTATATAGCTATAAAAGCTATATACAGCTATTAGACTAGAAAAGTTTATAAAAGGTATTATACCTTTATATACTAATTCTATAAATACTATTACTTTAGTAAAGAAGCTAAATTACATGTCTATACTTTACTAGATAGATATTTACTACTTCTTTGTAAAAGAGGCAATCAAAAATAGCAGAATTTAACTATAAATAGTTAGTAGAGAGGACAATATTGCTAACAGGCTAATTAAAGCACTACCAACTATGAAATTTAATAAATTTGTTAAGAGGTTGGGTTTTAGCAGGTTGGAGATAGACTCTAAATAGCTTCATATAATAGACATGTTGCTAAGGGGGGTGTGTTAGAGTGCTGCACTCAGTAAATGCAACCAGCACCACCATAAAGAAGAAGATAGCGACACGTGACTACTCTGTGTATTTAAGGCCACCATTTCCTTCTAGATCTCCATGCTTCCTCCAAGCATCTCTCTATTTCCTATTTAGACCAATTGAATCCATTTCGGTCAACTTTCTACCGTCATAGTTTGACGACCTCTCATCATCAAATGATAGTCAATATTATTAAACAATATAGTAAATAAACCACCAATACTCCGACGAGATCCTCCAAATTCAATCGAGCCTCCAGTCTCACATGCCACAAGTAATGGCAGATGTTCAAATAACCTCCCATAGAACTTCATGTCCAAATGCTGAAAAGCGACAAAACTCCGACAAAAACATCCAATCTTTTAGAAACGAGAGAGAGAGAGAGAGAGAGAGAGAGAGAGAGAGAGAGAAAAGAAAAATCTAACTTCCCCACTTTGGGGCCATTTACAGATGCGACGACTACTGGGTAAGATAGTCCTCAACCTCGAACCCCACGCGCTTGAGGACCTTCTCTTCCAGCTCCTTCGGGGAATTCGCGGGTCTCCGTACGACCACGGTTTGCGCATCCCGCAGGCGGATTTCTACGGGGTTCCCGGCAAACCGCTCCATTTCAGCCTTTTCACACTCCCGGATGTAGACCGTCACGTCGGGCCCGACGCAGGCACGCCAAAGCGACGCCATCCACTGCCAATGGTCTAGGGGAGTATAGGCATCGTTGATCGGTACTGAGCAAGAAAAAGCATCCGCAGTTGTTAGTTGGTACCGAGGGACCAGTGCCACGGGTAGTGGGGCTATGCTTGTGGCCTCAGTGAAACATGAAGCGGACTCCGATCCATTCTCGCTCGAGTGAGTAGGGGAGCTGATACGCATTTCGGCGGTCTTGGGGATAATAGTTCTGGGCGAGACGCCGGGAGAGACAGCCTCGTTTCCTGAAGCGGGTTCTAACGACGCCCGCGACGAGCCTGACTGGACAAAGCTCTTAATCTCGTCGGAAATGCGATGCCACGAGGAAATGGTGTCGAGGTAGTCGACGGTAGCGTCCCCCATCTGCCCGGGCTCCGAGTAGCTCTCTCGGGGTTGAATTTCAGGCCCTTCAAATATGCGAGGATTGAACTTTCCTTCTTTCTGCAAGGCGGCGTATAAGTACTCTAGGGTGGCCTTCACGAGCAGAGGATCCTGTCCATCTACAGCGATCACAGCCCCGCGGCGTCGAGGATCCCCCTCACGAAACGTATGGGGCAGAGGAGGGGAGATCTTGGCGAGGAGCTTAATTTTGTTCAAAAACGGAATCGTCATGACAGTCGCCTCCAGGCTCGACCCCTCCTGGGGGAATGGAGTGATGGGTGTGACCGACCCGGACGCGGAAGCGGGCGTTTGGAGCGGTGGAAGCTTCAGACTTGGGTCTGGAGCAGCCTGCTCCTTCATATGTCGCAATCCCCGTGATGCTTGGAGGACTTGGGAGATTCCTCGTGCATTTTGGCTCTCTGAGCGTGGAGGGTATGGCGATGCGGGGTATGGAGACTCTGGGCTCTTGTCCCGAAGATCCGTTTTGAATGGCATCTGAGGGTTGAATCGGCGTCGCTTTGAGCCCGGGGATTGGGGAATAGTCTCTTCCCATTGGCGTAGGCGAGCTGGACGAGCTTCCCCATTACTCCCGAGCTTGATGGGTTTGGGGGCCCGATCAGTTTCTCCTCTGCAGCTGTAGCTCCGAAATGTTAATGTTTCCGTACGAGTATTCGCGGGGGCACCGTTGGCAGGGAAGACGGTGTCTGGAGATGCGGGTGGATTCATGACACGGCCACCGCATCGAGCGCAGGCAGTTGAACCAGGAGGATTATGGCTGATACCCGAACTGAGACTCCTGGAATTCCCATCACGACCATAGCGACGGGGCTGATAGCGGTACTCTGGATATTGTTGCTGATGTCGAGCTTTTTCCTCCTAGAAGCCATGGTGTTAGCTTAAGAAATACTCCCACTACTAAGCTTCTTTGAACTATTTACCTCCGCAAGTGCTTTCCACTCATCCTTGGTCGCCTGGGGAAGTTTCCTCCATTGCTCCCCGATAATCTTGGATATTTCTGGGTTCGCCAATCCTGGATTTTGTGCTACCACTGCTGCTTGATAATGCTGTCGGTATAAGATGAAAGCTATCCAAGATATCTCGTAAGCAATAACCTCAAGCAACCCCCCCCGGGAAAGAAACTTACCATTTCGAGGTCGAGGAATCTTCGGGTCCGGTTGACAGAGACAGAATTGAGTAACAGACTCTCTAGGGCCCGAGGGAGCTGATTTGACGGGACTAGAAGAAGACGACCGCTCCGACACCGAGCCCCGTTCCCGCAACGGGAGACTCTTGGTAGTTAGGGCTGCAGCGGATTTAGAAGCATCAACGGGGGCGGCCGTAGCGGTGACCTTATTCAGAGCAATCTTGGTCCGGTTGAGCGACGAGAGATGGACCTGTGGCAATCCATCGGAATATCGATAGGACGGTGCTGTCACATCCCCACGATCGACCATGGCGATATCGTCGTTCATGATTTTGTGTTCGAGGAGGTTGCTAGTAGGCCTTGACAGAGAGACTTGGGAAGAATCATAATGCAAAGCAGGAGGCTTGGGGAGCACTCGATCGTAAGACATTTAAGAAAGGCGACGGCGCCAGCTGAAGGGGGTGATAGGCTGGTCTGGAAGAGCTGAAAGAGGATGGGTATAGAGGAGAAGAGAGGAGGATGAAAGAAAGCAAAGCGAAAAAAAGAAGATGAAAGAACGGTCCAGTGGGAGAAAGTAACTAGAGAGAGGGCAAGAGAGCGTGTGCATATGTTAATATGAGTAATAGAGAAAGCAAAAGAAAGAAAGGAAGGGAGAAAGAATGAAAGAAAGAAAGAAATCCAAGATGTATAAGGTGCTCTCTCTTTGGAGGGGGAAGGGAAGTCTCTCTCTCGCTCTCTCTCGCTCTCTCTCTCGCTCTCTCTCTATAATAACCACCACAATAATAAGATGATGAAATTATAATCTCCAGAATATGTTTGAATAAATTTATTCGTTTGAATGTGGAGAAATCCTCTGATTCGTCTTTTTTTTTTTCTTTTCTTTTCTTTTTTCCTTCCTTTTCCCTTTTTTTTAAAAATTTTTTCTTTGACAATGAATGATGTTTCTATTCCAATCGCACCAACCAAGATGAGGGAGACGATTTAATAAAGCTAGGATTTGGGTTTTCAAGTGCTTTGTTAGGGATATAACAAGTTCACCACTAGGCCCTGGCCTCCACTCTGGATCCTGGAATGAGAGGGGAAGGGTTCTTTGTCTGAATCAACTTCTTTCCCACCTCTCTCGTATGTCGACTGAGGGTGGGGGAAGAAGGCAAATGAAACATCGTGGAAGGTATGAACAGAGGGAGAATAGGTACAGTACCAGTTAGGTAACTGTCAATGTCTTGATGAGTGTACTATGTATAGTAAAAGCTAGGGTATCTTTTACTACAGGACCAGGAAAGTATTGTCTCAATGTTTCCTTTGTCTGATGTTTCCCGCATGCGGCGTGATGCAGTTGCTCTGGATCCTGTTCAATTGGTTAACGGAGATAGAAACTCGGGTTCCTTTTGAGAAATAACCAACCAGTCAGTGTCTTAAGAGCTGATAGAAGCGCCTGGTTGTGCAAGCATTATGCATAAATGATTCATGATATTACTAGGAGAAAAAAAAAAAAAAAAGGAGGAACAAAGAAAGAAGCAAAGAATGCTGGAGAACAAAGAAATGAAAATCCTTCCCCACTTCATTGATTCCCAGGTACTAATTATCTACAGTAGTCACCTCCTACTTCCCGTCCCTCCGGACTTGATCTAGGTCTTGCTACGAAGTCATAAATCTACTCAGCCATTCTCCGATCGCATTCCGATCCAACTCCACGTTGCACTCTAGATAATTTTACATCTCTCTCTCTCTATTCAGGAACACAATGACACATACCACCCTATCAGACCCAACTTCTACCCTTATTCTGTACCTAGGTACTACTAGTGCTCAATAAAGGCGACAATGCCATCACCGTCGCGGCAAACCCGGATTCGGGTGAACCCCCCCAATGTCTAAGACCGGGAGACTTCAATCATCGACTTTACCTGGCGGAAAGGCAGCTCCCCGTCCTTTCTGAGGTCGTTTCGGGAACCAACCGTTCTCTACCTGTGTACATACAATAGTAGCTGTGGTATGTATCCTGGTGTCATCGACCGTGTTTAGTACGGGTTTATTGGGTAAATGGATCCTTTTGAAAATAATAATAATAATAATAATAATAATAATAATAAATTTTCTTCTTCTCTTTGTATATTTTCTCTCTCTCTCTCTCTCTCCCTTAAGGGTCACTGGAGCCACATCTCCTCAATCCCATGAAACACTTCCGTACCCATAAGTCGGTGTGCGGATTGCCCAAGGTGCATCTGGTTCCTACAATCCATCAGTCAGTCAGGTTTCATCCTTGGGACCAATGGGCCATAAATAATAATGTCTTGGTCTTACCAGAATAAATACTTTTCCGGACTTGGGCACGGCTTCATCGCGGATGTCACCACTGATTGCTCGCTGTTTTCGACACAGACATCTTCGACATTCTTCCAGCCAGGGTCTTGGTTCTTACCCAGTCCGTTGGCTTCTTCTTCTTCTTCCATACCTGCCTCGTAGAGTTGTCGGTCTCGAATCAGGTCGGCCAGGAATGCGTTTGTGTCAAACATGTAGACCGTCGCTTTCTTCCACTTTTCTGCCAAAGTGCGTAGCTGCCTGTTCCAATATTCGACCAGCCTAACGGCGGACTTGTGCTGAGAGACCCGCTGATCTCCAAGAGGTCGGAAGGCGGGCAAGAAAGTCACGTCGGGGGCAAGTGTCATAATCATCTTGAGTTCATCATTGCCCCAGCTTTGCGCTAGCGACTCCAGCTGTTGCATAATTACTTCAATACTGTGGTTGATCGACGCCGCCGCATGGTCATAGTCCTGGCCTATCGCATTCCACAAATCCCAAACTCCAAATGAGACCACAACAAGGGTGCGGTTCCGCCGCTCATGCAAAGCATCCTCATCCATATTGGCAATGATCTCTGCCTCCGCCGCTAGCCACTGGGCGGCCTGGGCCCGAAAATCCGCCAGTGGGGCTCGGTACAGGCTCAACGTACTACTAGAAAGCTCGGCATTATCGACCACGGAGCCAATATAACTTCCATCTAGAGCCTTCGCGGTCTGCGCAAGGTTCTCTTGGTGGCATGCAAACTAAAGTAACAGGTTAGCAAAGCCAGTCCGTCCACACGGTGATGGCCTGGAATTCTTTGGCATTGTTGTCGCTCCACGAATCTCCAAATACGACCAGCCTGAGGTCAAATGACTGCGTCGGCTGAAATTTCAAGGCCTGTTGATTGGGTACGCCGACTCGGCGGTAGTAAAAACGCTGGGAGCCTAAATACAAGGCGGACAGCAGGATGCTGACTACCGTGAAAGTACAGACGATGTGAAACTTGCTAAACAGCCTCATTTTAGGGGGTGGAGGTTAGGAAACAAAGGACGAGAGATGTATACAAAGGAATGGAGATGTGAGATTGACAGGGCTCGGCGCCTAGTCCTCTCTAGAGCCGATCGGCGAGTTTCTTTGTTCGATGCACGGCTGATTCCGATCAAGAAATTGAGACAAAATGTGGGAATTGGAGAAAGAAGAACCCGTTGAGGAGAGAGGGTGACAGATGGCGGAACATAACTAACTATACAGAGTACCTTGGTCTGTGTCGCGTGATGAGGACAAGAAGAGATAAGATGACGGAATCAGGAACGGATAGGGGGAAAACCAGAAGAAGAAGAATGAGAGAGCATCGAAAAGGGGAGCTTTGACAGACATACTTGCAGAGAATTATGATTGGGGATTTCATGGATGACATCCCGGAGATTGCGTCAGCTATCCATGATTTGCGAGGCGGCGTTTGTTTATTTCTGGACTTAGACGTGATTCTTGAGAAGACAGATAATCAGCCCCAAGACTTGGCCTTCTAACGGCTGACGGAGAGCCTCGTATTAAAGGCATCCAGATACAGTATGGATACGACCTGGTAAAAACCCCCAAAAACGATCAGAAATGATGACTAAGAGCCCTACCGAGGGCGCTAACCCTGAAAGGCTAGGCTGCTGAGTCAGCCGCCCACACACCGAAATCTCGCTACACCAAAAGAAAACCACCACAAAAAACCCCATCGTCTGCTTGCACGACCGAACGAACCTCTTCGACCTGTCGACAAATCCCGCGCCCTCCGTCTTGACCGCGCTACACCGTCAAGATGAAGCTCAACATTTCCTACCCGGCCAATGGGTCGCAGAAGATCATCGAGGTCGACGATGAGCGCAAGCTTCGTCCTTTCATGGAGAAGCGCATGGGCACCGAAGTCAGTCGTCCCCTTGCAAATATTGAAGCCCGCCCCTCTCCCCCCGACATTGTGCTGGAGATATTATGAATAGAGAGACTGATTGGGGGTTTTCTGTTTTACTAGATTGCCGGCGACTCTCTCGGTGACGAATTCAAGGGTTACCTCTTCAAGATCACTGGTGGTAACGATAAGCAAGGTACGGATGGAATCGTGATGAATTTTCGGACTCGGGTGGTGGACAGTGGGACACAAGATAGAAGTGCTTCCTGCGCATTCTCTGGAAATCGCTCGAGTCCCGATCGATAAATTTCAAAGGCTAACTTGGTTTTTTTGATCTTTAGGTTTCCCCATGAAGCAGGGTGGTATGTAAAACGACCAACGCACACAACTCCGCAACCCATCATAAACAGCAACGAATAAGAAGAAGAAGAAGAAGAAGAAGAAAAACTCACATTTATGTCTCGTTTCCAGTTCTCCTCCCTACCCGTACCCGCCTCCTCCTCGCCGATGGCCACAGGTACGACCCAGCTCTCAAATATTCCTCCATCTTTGAAAGTGAGGAAGTGGACAAGAAGAAAGACTGATTTTCAATTCCAGCTGCTACCGCGCCCGCCGCACTGGAGAGCGCAAGCGCAAGTCCGTCCGTGGTGCCATCACCGGTTTTGACCTTGCCGTTCTGGCCCTCAGCATCGTCAAGCAGGGTGAGACCGAGCTCCCCGGTCTGACTGACACCGTTGTCCCCAAGCGTCTCGGCCCCAAGCGTGCCTCCAAGATCCGCAGCTTCTTCGGCCTCGACAAGAAGGATGATGTCCGCAAGTTTGTCATTCGCCGCACCGTCACCCGTGAGGGCAAGCAGGACTACACCAAGGCCCCCAAGATCCAGCGCCTTGTTACCCCCCAGCGTGTCCAGCGCAAGCGTCACAGGATTGCTCTTAAGCGCCGCCGTGCTGAGGCTGCTCGCGAGGCTGCGTAAGCTCCCCTCCCCTCCCTTTTTTTTTTATATTTCTTTCGCACTTGATGTCTCCTGTTCTAACAACAACAACAACAACCTATAGTAACGACTACGCCAAGCTCCTGGCTACCCGTGTTCATGAGGAGAAGGCCAAGAAGGATGAGCTCCGCAAGCGGAGGGCTTCTTCCATGAGGAAGTAAATGGGTTTTGGTTTTATTTTCTTTCTCCAGGGGTTAATGGTCGGGTTACGTCTCTCTCTTATTGGCTAGGGAAATGAAGAGCGAAAAATAAACAGGGAGAGCGAAGGTGGTTGAGAAGAAGAAAAAAAAAAATTTCTTAGCGACGCGGGCAATAAGACTTATTTTTTTTTTCTCTCTCTCTCTCTCTTTTTTTTTTTTTTTACCTTTCTTTCCTTTCTTTATTTTTCTTAAAGTGTTTTCCAATTTCCCAACCCCAAGGCGGAAGGAAAGAAGAACAAGGAGGAGGAGGAGGAGGAGGAGGAGGAGGAGGTTTGTGTGCGAGACCCCTCCCCCCCCCCGCCCCAAGAGGACTTACATTCTACTACTAGTAGTAGTACCCTAGGGTACTATCTCAGTATAAAATGTATGTATGATGATGATGAAGATGCATGCACGAAACTCTTTTGGGAGGGCAAAGAGCGTTCTGCAGGACCAAGACTTGGAAGGGGGGAGGGAGGGGGGGGGGGGGGGGGCGCGTACCGATTTATCAAAGATGTTCCCGGGGAAAAAAAAATCAAAACGCATTTATTCCATTTTTTTTCATGAAATGCAAGACTTTTTCTTTTTCTTACATGATACTTGAACAAAGTAATGAATCGTTTTGTATAGACGACTCTGTAGGGATTTCAACTCGACCCGCTACTGTATTTCAAGTCCTAAGTTTATTTGTTGATGAGATGAGACATCCTCGACTCGATTTGACGTATTTTATACTCCGTATATGAGCTTGAAAAGGAGGTTAATCCCAGCTCCACCTTGTGAGTGAGGGTTTCACTTATAAAGATGGGTGAAAATAAACTTCATACCACTCTTCAGAACCCCAAGGGCAGTTAAATTCAGAACAAAGGAACTCCGGTAGCATAATATAACTAACTATATACACAGATGACTTGACTAGAATCAAAAAAAAATAGCGCCACCAACTTTTTCAATATGCTGTTCTCCGTAGCACAAAGAACAAGAAAAAATAAATAAACAAATAAAAGCATCAAGTAAATCTAAGATTTCGATTCTGGGGCATGCATCATCATAATCTGTAATTGCGTAAAAAAAAAACAAGGATTGTTTTACTACAATCCCCACGGACTAGTAGAGGGAATCTCAAAGTAAAGAAAAAAGGTTAAGCGACAGTGTGAGAGAAAAGGAAGCTCACAGACTCGCCGTTATGTGTGCGACGGCAAGCCTCAGCAAGAGTGGGGCTGATATCGATCGTCTCAATCTTGTCGCAAAGCTCCTTCTTCTCCTGGTGGGGAACAGTATTGGTCACAACTACCCGCTTCAGGCAGCTACCGTTGACATTCTCAATAGCCTTACCAGAGAGGATACCATGCACCACAATAGCGTTGACTTCTTTAGCGCCATGCTGCATCACAGTATCGGCGGCCTTGACGAGTGTTCCGCAAGTATCAGCCATGTCATCGACGATGATGGCAACCTTGTCTTTCACGCTACCGACAAGGACCATGCGGGAGACTTCGTTAGGGCGAGGGCGTTCCTTGTGAATCAAGGCGAATTGCAGGTCCAATCGATCGGCGATGGCAGTTGCGCTAAATTGAGGGAATCAATTCATGTCGATTTCCCCAAGGATAGAAAGACAGAGAGAAAAGGCGGGGTTTGCTTACCGCTTAGCACCACCAGCATCGGGACTAACGATCACACAGTTGCTCACGTCAAGGTTCTCCCGGATCCACTTCAGCATACTAGGCTCAGCATACAGATTGTCAACTGGTACATTGAAGAAACCCTGAATCTGACTGGCATGAAGATCCATGGTGATGACGTGGTTGCAACCAGCAGTCTGCAACATGTTTGCCATAAGCTTGGCAGTGATTGGTGCACGGCTCTTGTCCTTCTTGTCCTGACGAGCATAAGGGAAGTTGGGGATGACAGCAGTGATGCGTCTTGCGGAAGCAGTCTTGCAGGCGTTGATCATGATCAGAAGTTCCATTAGCCCGTCGTTGATATCGTTTGGTCGGGTAGATTGCAGGATGAAGACTATATAACCAAAAGCAGTGCCGCCAGTTAGCCATCAATTGTCCACAAAGAGTGCCATAACTCTCTTGGAGTCAGTCAGGAAACCATACCATCCTCATCTCGCACACTCTCTCCGATGGTGACGCTCGTTTCCTGGTTCGAGTACTGGAGGACCATGATCTTGGTCAGTTCGATGCCCAGTCTACCGGATTCAACAGGTCTCAATTAGTCTGATAATCATGATGAAAGCCACGTGGAGGATGTAGTTTCACACACCGGTCGGCCACCAGATTGGCGAGCTCAGGGTGACTGTTGCCAGTCAAGAGCTTGATAGAGTTTGTGGCCATTGTGACGATGACTGACTCGGCGACTCGGTCTCAGAGAGAATATAGAGAATATACAGAGGAAAGGGAGACGGAAAGGAAGTAATATAGCACAGTAGGAACTATTTGTCCGGAGATAGATTGGAATAAAGCAAAACGATGAAATCCAAGAGTTACAAGGAAGAGCCTCGACGGACCTCCGAAAAAGCAGAAGAATTTCCCCGCCGTCGGCAGCTGACTTTTTTTTTGGGTCCCTCAGGCAGAAAAGGTCACATTCTCGTGACCCCCTCACCGCCTCCGGGTATGTAATGCCCCAGGCATGCACGTCTACTAACTACCTAACGCTTAAAAGAGCCTCCCACTAACCAACTACTGACCAACTAATTGCATAGATCCATATATCGAAAACATATGGACCTGCTTTCCTGTATCCATGGATAAAGGGATATCTATATCCTCATCCGCAAATAGGGATCAAAACGTCAGTTGCCGAGCTCGTACTTAAAGAGGTATGCCACCAAAGCGTTCTTCAGCCCAGAGAGCCTTGGTGACTTTTCTTTTCCACAATATATTTCCCGACTCTTGACTCAACTTGGATGACCCTTCCTTACCATGAGTTATTTACAGCATGAATTTACAAGATTCTAAGCACAATACAAACAATGTTATTATTTAGTCTAGCCTTGAACTACAGGGTAAAAAAGGATTTACCTGACTGGACAGATTTACCCTACGTGTGACGGGGTCCTAATAAACAGAAAACGCTTTTGATTCCAGAAAAGACACGGCCGAACGAAGTATATGAAAGAAAAACAAAAGCACAATGAATGATAACCTGCATTCCCGGCCCCAGCTGACCTGCACTTCGACTAGGATCGGTAGCAGTTCACCATCACTCCTTCCTGAAACGAAAGAAAGGAAAGGGGAAAAAAAAAGACCAGATTTGTACATACAAACAGACTAAGTGATGTAAAGAAGAGACATGTGTGTTGAACGCCGTCAAATGCTTGGGCATTAGAACGAGGAAAAGGGACACCGCAGGTAACACAGAATGTAAAATGAATCGACGAACCCAGATATTCAACGTAGAACCATTAGTGAGGCATCATCATCGGCGGTGATTAGAAAAGTATAATTATCGACTTATGCAAAGCCGAAATATTCACTACCAGTAGTTATGGCGGTATACAAGCGTTGTCGCAAAGTCTCATAGCTATCATACTCTGGAAGGTCCAGTTCTATTCCTTGGAATCAGCATACTGTCAGGGCAGATATTTGGGATAGTTAAAACTTACGATTAAAGCATGTGTGCGAGCTTGGCAAGCGATCCTTGTTGCCATAATCGCGATGAATGTTAAAACGGCTGACACCATTCATACCCTCAAGTTCCTTGAAGCCATTGAGAGGCACTTTACTGGTACCGGTGACGAACTGCAATAACTTGGCGCGTTCTTCCTTGTCAAATGAGCGCACAGCTCGCCAGAACCACTGGATTTGAGGTGACGAAGCTGAGTAATTGTGGTACTCAGCGTTGGCCTTCCAATCATCCACATCAATCTCAGGTAGACCAGAGATCAAGAGCTCAAGCTCCTGTTCGTTGAAGATGGAAATTAACTCGGGGGGAATAATTTCATGGAATCCTAGCATATAAAGTTAGTGATTCTGCAACCATTTCACGGACATACTATACATGCCTTTGAGGAAATTGTCCAATTGTTCTTTGACTGAAACAACGAGACGATAGTCGACCACTCGTTGCACGTACTCTTCCTTGTTCTCCTGGGTGACTGGAATATTCCGACCATTCTCGACCAGATCAATCACCTGCTTCTCTCCAAAGTCATCTGTCTCAACAGCGAAAGTCTCTGTGATGATGTCCGTGATGTCATTCTCGAGCATCCAAAGCAGAGATTTGTAGTAGTCCAGATCCAGTGTCTCCATGTCCTTGATGGACACGTTACGACCCAAGATGCACTTGTACACTGCCCGACTGAAGTGGCAGTCGAGGACTCGGCCTTCGTACAAAGCCTTTCCAATGATCCGTCCAATGAATTTGAAAAACATGAGATGCTCGGAATTGACGCCACTCAAACGGTTTGGATGAAATGTAGTTCTATCAGCAGCAACCGGAATGAAGAGCGCATAATTTGGATTGAACATGCCGCGTGCGAGAACCTGGAACCATTCTCGTGTCACACCACCTGCATCAACACCCTCCTCACCATGGAAGCGGACATTCAATTTACCGTACTTTAATTCTTCGGCTGACTTGAAATAAAGAGATTTGAATGAGTCTAGGAATACCTGGTCTCTTCGCACAGACAGCTGCAGAGGTGGGTGGGGGTGGCGAGGCTCCGCTCCGCGTGAATGTAGCCGGCGAGTGAAGTAGTTGCGTTTGTTGTCAAACTCTAAGACCTTGGGGTTCTTGACGAGCAATGAGAAGGTGCCACTCATTAGCCGTGGGTTTTGTCGAACCAGCTCGTTAAGAATCTTGCGATGTTCTTCAGTGAACTTGAAGAAGAGACTCTCCATGCTCACGCCTCCATCAGCTGAGGTGCTTGAGACCGATAGCTCTCGGCTATTGCGAGCAATAGAAGTATCCTTGAGCGTGGTGTTCTTACAAACAACCATGAGTGCCTCAATCAGAGGTAGAAGGATTGTAGCAACGTTCATCATATTCTCCTTCTGGCGGATGAGGGTCAAGCACTCGCTTAGCCTAGTCCACAGCGGTCCGAAAGTCGAGCTTTCATACAAGGTCTGGAGAACATCCTCCCGTGCTGTTCCTTCAGATTCACTTCCCCTGACTTTGTCCGCACGGTTTGGATCGAACAGATAGTCAAGTGCTGTCAAGACGCGGAGTACCTTGGCCTGGTCAGAGCTAGCGGGAGAGAACTTTGCAAGAGCGAGGCCTTGCATGTCCGTGCCAGTGTGAGCTTGGTGAATATGGGATATCAATTCATCCAAGTCAGTCAGGATTGTAGTGCTCAAAGTCTGGGCCTGGCTGACTAGCTCGTTTCCAATGACGTCTCGAGCACCAGGGACAGCCGAAAGGTTGTTGATGGTGGAAAGTGTATCTCTAAAAATCTTTCCGTTACACTCGCGGGCAGCAAGGATATGAACAACCAGCTTCAAGTTATGGTCAGGAACAACTGGCGGCTCAATGGACCTCCTCTTATGCTTCTCGTCTTCAGTGGTACTCTTGGCAGTATCGGGGTCGGGTTCTGCTGAAGTACTGTCTTGAGGCTGTTCTAATGTCTCAGTAGTTTGTGGCCCCGTCATTTCAGGAGCAGGAGCATCGGTCATAGCGGTATCCGCCGCAGCGCCTGCAGGTTCTGTAGCTCCTGGCAGTTGCCCCGGCTGTTCTGGTTCAGTCTCCGCGGGGCGCTCAGGCTCCTTGCCCTTTTCTTCCTCCGCCTGCTTTTCTTTCTCACGACGGAGTAGCAGAGTAAGAGGCTGAGTGATGCTGCCGAGCAAGCTTGAAAGCTGCTCCATGCAGTTAGGGCTCTCTAATATCAATTTCCGGTCAAGTAGAGAAAGCAGTGCATTGAGCGCAAACTTGTTAGCCTTATTTTCCTTGGCCTTGCCTTTACGGAATGCTTTCAACTTCAGAGTCGAAGCCGGGTCATGTTCCGTCAAAAAGAACCATGCAATGTGGGGATTGTACTGGGACAAGAATGACAGAGTTCCCAAACATTGTTGTACAACCATGATTGGCGTAACCTCATTGCTGACATTTGAGGAAGTTTGGAAGCCGAGACTCCGTTTGGCAGACTGCGGAGTCTTTTGGACAGACGAGGGTTTGGCACGTAGAGACAGTTGAGCGAAACTACGTTCGATTGCGGAGACATCTGCACTTCCATCCTGCAGAACGGAAAGAAGCAAGCTTATCACCTCAATCCGATTTTGACGATTTTCGCAAACATTGTGAAGAATATCGTTCAGCTGGTGGCGAGCATTTCCCTGAAGAGGCATGAACATCAACCGGAGTAAGGTAGCAACACCAGCTTTGTCCAGCATTTGAACGATCTGGCGGCGCTGTTGTTTCTTGGGTTCTTGATCATCGGCTTGCTCATTCCTGTTGCGATGATCCATTCGGGGAATATCACCAAACTGTGCCAGTCTTCTTCCGGGAAGAGCGCGGGCCTCAGAAACAAACTCGGGGCCGATGGTTGCGAGGATTTCCTCTGGTTGATCAGCAAGAACAGCCTGCCGTAGAGAAGGATCCAAGCTGGCAAGGAAGCTGGCCGCATCCATATCTTCCGCATGGGCAGGAGTACCACCTGTCGTTGTCGTCGTAGTCGTTTGTCTACGTGCAGTCTCACGTACCCGACGACGACGATCAACAGCTTCTTGTTGCAGCAGCTCCTCCCGAATCTCTGGGGGCAAGGCCTCTAGGAACTCGGGATTTATTTCGCTAGGTTCTTCACCAGCGGCAGCAGCCTGAGATCGCTGCTCCGCTATCTGTTGCATTATCACTTCCTCACGCAGCTCTTCAGGTAAGGCCTCAAGATATTCGGGGTCGATTTCTATGCCGGTGATTTCCACTTGCTGGCCTCTTATGGTTGTGTGGAGTCGAGGAACAGGCTCAGCTGGGCCAGTACCGGCTTGGGATGGTTGTTGAGCAGCGAGGGCTTCACCAGTGGGCCCAGGTGGCTGTACAATGTCCATGGGCTCTAGGACAATACCTCCTACTTGACGCTCTGCAGCTTGCTGCTCTCTTTCTTGCTGTTGGCGAACATTCTCTTCTTCTTCCTTACGCTTGCGCTCTCTCTCTTCCTCCTCCTTGGAGATGCGTTCTTGCCGTTCACGCTCTTCTTGCTTTCGAATGAGATTCTGCCGCTCCCGTTGCTTCTCTTCTTCGATAGCCGGAGGCACGAGCATTTTTAGGAGTGAATTGACCACGCGTTGTGTTTTTTCAACGTAAGTGGTGCTGAACAGGATGCGGGCCTCCTCTTGCCAACGGCTTCTAGTTGTTGCCAAAGCAAAGCTAACCGCTTGAGAAGGGTCATCACGTGTCCGAGCTGGAGGTGCCTGAGGTCTACCTAGCCCGAAAATATCCTGAATTCGGTTTGGTAAAATGGCATGTCGATCCACATGGACATGAATTCCATCAGGACGAGTGATCACTCCAAACCCAGGAGCATTCTGTCCACCAATGGCTTGCATAATAGCATTCATGAAGCTCACGGGGCTGTCCATAGGTAGCAAACGGCCAGTTGAAACGGGTTCCATGCCATGTACCCAATCTGTAAATGCTTCGTTTCCTGTGCCACGACGCTGTCCAGATGCCTCGGGGCCCCGATCGGATCGGACGAGAAGGGGATTTGTTCCATCATCATTACCACGAGCTGGAATTTGGGTTCGGTGCAAACGGTAAGGTTGGATAGGGACAATTCCACGGTTAGGCATGATTCCGGTAACTGCAGCCCATGTTGGATGCGGGCCGCGGAACCGGTGATGATGATGGCCGCGGGGCAATGGAGGCTCCTCGCCATCCCAGCCCCAAGGATCAATGAGATCTTCGTCATCGTCGAACCCTTGGTAAGAGCCTTGGTCTTCATCAGCGTCTTCCAGCTCTTCTTCAAGCTCATCAATCTCTTCATCTTCTTGAAAGGAAAATTATCAGTAATTATTTCAAAAGAAGTGGATCAGGAGGAGCACGAACCGTCATCTTCATTCAGATCATCGTCAACAATGTCATCGTGTAGATCGCCCAAACTATCCGCGTGAAGATCTTCAACACCACCTGCAGCCTCATTCAGGGCACGGAAGATATCATCAAGGCGCTGTCCCTCGTTACGCTGACCTGACTGTCTAATATCGGCCAATTCATCCTCCAACTGGTTCATAATATCGACTTCTTCATCGTCTTCGGACATGTCCTCACTCTCCCATTCATCGTCCTCACCTTGGTCTAAGCTCTCATTGTCCCGATCGCCAGTAATCTCGCCAGCGAGGATCTCGTCATCATCCATATCGGATGGATCTTCATCGTCGTCGTCATCATCATCATCATCGTCGTCGTCGTCATCCTCATCATCGTCATCGTCGATAACAACTTCGATGTCCATCCCGGTGTCGCCTGGCAAACCTTCAACAGGACCCATGCCGTCGATATCATCCTCTTCATCGCTAACAACCTCACCATCATCTTCCGGCATGTCCTCCTCGTAGTCCATTTCTTCTCCGTATTCATCGTCGTACATTTCGTCATCCTCCTCCTCGGATTCTTCAGAGCTTGTCTCCTCTTCGTGACGAGGCTCTAGCATGCCCAAAGTAGAGTGGCGGAAGAGGTCAGGGGTTTCTTCTCGTTCATCATCTATGTCCGAAACAGAAGTAGCAGAAGAAATCTCGTCATCTTCAGAGTCACCGAGAGTGGAGATGTCCGAGGTCTCGCTTAGAATGACGGCAGTCTGTGTGAGTTTATTTAGAGGACGCAAGATATATTTGATGACCCTCTTTGAAGACGGGAAATTTAGGTCAATCTCAGCAATGGACGCTGTAAGAGCAGAGATGAAGTGTTTTTCGAACATGGTCTTGGCAAGTTGCTTCGTGGAAGATGGGAAGGCAGTATCTCCGGAAACAAAGGCATAACCACTTAGCATCTTATCGAAAAGATCAGCCAGCGACATCAGCCGAGAATATTTAAGATCCAATGGCTCGTTAGATGCGTTCGCTTCCTTATACGCGCGCAGGGCATGCTCGAGGGCAAATCTTCGCACGAATGCAAGTTCCGGTTCATCCTCTTCGTTCTTGGTTTGGTCATTACGTCGCCTCCCATGGCCGCCAAATTCTCCAGTCTTAGTGCATAAAGCAACAAGAACACGCATTGTCCAAGCTGAAGTATTGCTACGCTTCTTAAATGCGACGGATTCATCGTGCTCCATAGTACCAACAGGCACAAGCACATTCAAGAGGTAGTTCAAGATTCCAGAGCGAGGCTTCGAAGGGGTAGAGGCCAAAGGATCGGCCTTGCGAGAGAAGTTGATAAACTCAACCTTCGTCTGGTTATATGATGACAGGAGCTCCGTCAGGCACTGAAGTAGGAAGCACCGATAAATGTAAATGGGATGGTCATCCGCCTTAAAAGTAGGTTTCTCGGACTTCTTGGAGTTACGGGTGCCCTGTACATCCGTGCTCGCGACAGAAGGGGCGGGTTCATCGGTTGACATCTCCACATCGGTCTGAGTCTCTGACTGGTCGGGAACAGAAGGATCTGGATTATCTGCCGGAGGCTCTTTGTCATCAACCTCCTTGTAGGATAAAAGTTCGGAAAGCAGATAGTGAATAACACCATCCGGGTTCTCAACAACTGGAGGCTTCAGCTCTGTTGTCTTGCCTTTATCCTTGTCTTCGGCGACAGCATTGTCGGATTTGTTGCCACTGTTTTTGTCTGCACCATCAGTATCATCGGGACCTGGTACTGTATCAGATCCGCTCTTCTTTTCTGACTTCAGCGTCAGAATCTGAGGACGCTGTCGGCTGTCATATCGCTGCAATTTGAGCTTTTCGTTGGATACCTCCACAAAGATTTCCGGCGATCGGAGGACGAGATGATACATTTGTCGAACATAGCCAGTGGTGTCGATTTGACGAGACGATTTGGATTCAAAGTTGGCAACAATCTCGCTTGTCATAATTTGTCGAATAGTGTCCTCGTCTTCAATGATATGTCTCAAAACGAGCATGAAGGCCCCTTGGAGCTTCTCATTTGTAGAGCTTGAAAGTTGCTTAACCATGACGAATAAGCGCTGTAGGTTTCGCTTCTCACCGAGCTGAGCCGCGATACTGCGAGTTCTAGTGAGAATCACCAGGATTCGACAGACCGAGAGAGCCAACGTGTCATCCTTCCCAATTCTAGGTAGAATCTCGACAAGAGCTTCAAACAGTTGCGTTTTCTCATCCTTTGACACAAGCGGTTCTTCTAACTGTGCGGGACCTTCATCATCCGCATTTGCATTCTCGTTTTCGGGGAGAGCCCAGCGGATCTGAGGCGGTTGAGCGTCATCTGATAGCAACTTCTCCAGCACGAGAAGTACGTGGCCCACCCAAGGGAACGACTCGTCCGGGGATTTCTCGGGAGAGACTGTGATAAATTGAAGGAAGGTTGTGAAGCACTCTTTGAGCTCACCGAGGGTAGCAGTGTACATTTCTCTGTCCTGGGCAACCAGCGCTAATAGATGGGCGTAGGCAGCCACTTTCTTGCCGGCAGTTTGAAAGTTCTCCATCTGTAATGAGACCAGAGACTGAACAAGAAGCTCACCAACCTCCCTTCGGAAACTTTCGGGGTCACGGTGCTTTTTAACGGCAGAGGCAATCAGGTCAGACAACTCAAAGGATACATCATGATGCTCGTTCAACACATCCAAGCATCTTTCGATCAAATTCGAGCGAACCTGCTCACGTTCTTTATCAAGGTCTTCAACAGTAATTAAATCACGGCGCCTTGTAGGCTGTTGTTGTTCAGGGCGCTGTTCAAACACATCAGAAGAGCTGCTTGGAAGAGCATTGTCTGGGTTCTGGGGGTTGGTGATCGGGGCATCATCCCGGTCACCATCCGCGTGCTCTGTTAGAATTTGGGTGAGGGTTCTTGTTAAAAATTCCGTGTTTTGTCTAACTTCGTTTTCGTCAGGCAGACCTTGGCCTTGATCTTGACGCCGACCATCCTCTGAGGGGCGCGCAGTAGCCTGAGCCAAGAACATGGACAGAGCTGAGCGGTCTAAGAATGAGCCTGCGTCGAAGGACGGGGCATCCCCAACAGCCGAATCTTCCGATGCCTCGCCAGCAGATGTCGTACTAGAACGAACCGACTCGATATCGTTAGGCGGCGGTGGCATGAGCTCGGGTGCGCGCAAAGAGTTTTGCGCTTTGCAATATTCCTCAGCAGCAAGATAAACATTATTACAGCGATAAAGAGCCTCTTGAGCGAGTCGGGCTTCATATCCTTTCTCCCGCAATGATGCAATGCGATCCCGGTTGATTAGGAAGCCCTTTCTTTGGACATCTGCCAGGGCGGATTGCGGGTCTGCACGTCGGGCCGCTCCCGTTTCGTATTCACCATCAAGGGACGAGCGCAAAATATCAACGAGGCATTTGACAACGGAGCTTGTAGATTGGGTTGCAAAGTCTGAGTTCCACATATCCCTAGCCATTGGCAAAATCTCCATTCGAAGGTCTACCAAGAACTGGCCCGGTTGGAAGTAATCGGAGCGGCCACGATCCCGGTCGCCACCTGTCATGGCTTGTGTTTGGCTTGAGTCAACGATATTCTTTCCCGCAGCAAGTTCAGCAAAAAAGCTGAGAATGATCTTGATACCCCCGTAAGCAGATGTCAGTCGTGCCGAGACCTCTTGCTCGGAGTCAGGTACCGAGTTCGGTGGTGTAAGAGCCTTGATCTCGCGCACGAAAAGATCGCAAACATCCTTCAACACCTTCAGACCACCGTTTCTCTTAAATGCAAACAGGACGAGTGTAAGGTAGTGAGAATGATGACGATCTGTAGTAGCTGTAAAACGAGTTAAGTTTTAGGAAACCCTGCCCCAGAAAAAAAAAAAAAAAAAAACGGGGGTAGGTTGAGTATTAAGCTTACCTTCAAACAGCAAGTGTGAGAAAGATGACAAAATAACAATAAGATAGGCGAAGCGGAGCTTAGAATTGTCACTGGAATTTGGGGGCTTGAACTGTAGTTGCTCAAGCACGGCTCCTGCAATAACCTCAGCTACCATAGTCGCATTCTGCTTCTGGTAGGGATCGATCCTTCTCTTTCCGATGAGGCAAAGCCCCAGATTATGGAAAAACCCTGTTATTGAGGAAGGTAGAGAGCTTAGAAGGAAACGAAGGGCCTGCACATTCTTGAATGCTACGCCACCTTCGGGAACTTTGGTAGAACTGTCACTCGCCTGCTGGGTATTGGGTGGGTTAGTAGGATTGGTAGTACTAGCCCCCCCGTCTTGGTGGGTTTCGGACGCAGGTGGGTTGGATCCCCCTTCTGTCAAAAGTGCTGGACTATCGATAGGTCTGTCGGGGCCAACCGGTTGAACTTTCGTGGCTTGATCCCAAGTATCCGGAATGTTCTTCTCCAGCAAAATCTCTTCCCAGACACAAGCTGCATGTAGGCTGCCCAACTTATTCACAAGAGAAGTATATCGATCTGCTAGATTGGCCTGAGCAAAGGCGGATGTCTGTTGGCTCGGCCGTGTCTGATACAACGGCATTGAATATACTTCACGAAGAAGATCCAGAAGTATAAGGGCAGCTACCATATGTTTAGCAAAATAAGTCCCATTGTCTTTTGCGGTCTTGAGAGGAGCTTCAGTCGAGCTAGGAGGCTCCTCATCCTTTCGTTCAATTCCCTTTTCAAGTTTGATCAGAGGAGTAAAGAATCCATGGTTTATCGATGACTTCCAAAAATCGGCGAGCATATCTATTGTCAACTCGGTGCGAGAGAGGAGAGACGGGACAACAAGATGGGGCTTAGTTTCTGCGAGCATGTGCACTAGGACCGTAAGTTCCTGGTTGGCATCGGTATTGTGGAAATCAAACGGAAGACTCTGCAAAGTCGCAAAATCAAGAATAAATTCGACACCTCCGGACTCGATGAAGTGTGTGCAGTTAGATTGATTTTCAAAGAAAGCACCTAAGAACCGTAACACAGGGTATAGATAGTCCGTCGTAGCAAGTCCATCCGCGTCCACATCATTAGGATCCACTTGAGAACCTGGGGCCGGAAGAAGCTGGCTCACGTCCCCGACTTTCATTCTTCCGCCGTTGGGAAGAAGGGCATCAGAGTTGATACAGGGAACACCAAAATCTCGGATGTCATCAGATCCACCATGCTTACGAATATCAAAGCCGATAGCTTTGAGCAATTGCCAAGGCTCCCCTGAAATAACCGGGTTACCCTGCGAGTCCTCATTCCACAACTTGGCGCCCAGGCCAGAAGACCAAGCCTTGGCTTTACACAAAAAGCCAACGCGTGCCACCATGACAATAACCGCAGTCATAATGGAAGGTTTCAGGGCTGGGTGATGACGAACTAGCTCGTCGAAAGTAGTGCCGAGGGTGCGAACCAAGTTAGTCTCATCCTTGATAAGGCACCTGACATGCGCCGGATTTTCGAAGATCTCGAAGAAGCTTTCCAAGGCGCGGGATGATTGGAAAAGTTCCAGGCCAGATCCATTCAAACAAATGGCACCGAATGCAGAAGGAATACAGGAGAGAGCTTCAGCTGCGGGCATAATACCTGGAGCTAGTCGCGCATCCTTTGGCCTGGCGATGGTATACTCCCACGGTTTTTGGCCCTCTGTTGCGAGAGATGCAGCACCCACACCGGATGGTCTGCTAGACTCTTCCTCGCTGTCAGCCCCTGAGGGTTGAGCACCTTCGCTCTCAACCGGTGAGGTTTTCGGAGGGTGAAGATTGGAGAGAGTAATAGCTTCCAGAAAGCTCTTGCTTAAACCGGCCTCCGCAATAACGGCATAGCTAGTTGGTTCATTATGGATGAAGCTGCTAAGAATGTTAACTGCATTACTCCACACGTGAGAGCCAAACACTTGGGCGTTCTCAAGAACGAGACGTAAAGACGTAAGCAGCTGGGGGGAGTCGATCAAATTCCGAAGAACCCTATCAAAACCACCGCCATTGTGCTGCATGATATGATTGACAAATCGGAACATCCAGCGGAGAGTCTGTTGTTGGAAATATGGGATTTGATAATCAATGGACGGGGTTTTGTGGCAGGCGGGTATTCCTGCTCCTCGAGAGACATTGTCGAATGACGACTTGGTTTCGAAATCAATCAAGTCTGAGATTGCATCAAAGCCCTTGGCAGAGGTCAACGTTCCAAATGCATCACGAACAGCATGTACGAAGGTGTCCAGGAATTCCATGACACGGGAATATACGCGACGGGCTTTCTCGGTCCTAAGATTCAGAACATCCACAAGCATGGGGATTAAGCCAGCAGCTACAAGAGTTTCGGGTGTCCTAGTGCTTGATCCCGGAAGGGTTCGCAGCAAGGCAAGCAGAGCATCTCGCCATTCATCCTGGTTGCCACCGTCATTCTCATTATCATCCTGGCCGAGTTCATTGACAGCCTTCCGAGTCAAGAACATCAGCACTCCATGATTCACGTTCACGCTCAGTGCCGCACAAATATCAATAGCCCGCGCCTTGTGTTTTGCAAGAGCATCAAGAGCTTGGATAGCCAATGTCTGGACTGGGCGGGGGACCATAAGATCGCCACTTGCTCCTAAATGAACCACCTCGGCTAACTGGTAGGCGAGTTGGAGACGTTTTGGCTGCTCCATATCATATTGAAGAATTTTCTGCTGGAACAGTGGCTCAGGGTAAATATAAGCCAGGTTTGTGATTGCGAGAATTCGAATGGCAAGAATTTGTTCTCGGGTTGAGCGGGATGTGGCCAGCGCTTTCGCAGTACGCACTCTATGAAGTAACTCATACTTTGAGTCGTCGGGCACCTCCTCAGAAAGTGACGCGATAATATCCTCAACCTTCGAAGAAGATACCTTTGAGGCAGGCACTCCAAGAGTTGTTCCTCCCCGGAGCGTCTCTTCCGGCTTTGCAGTGGGAATATTAATAGCAGACGCAGGGGAGTCGTCAGCCGTCGGGATACGGTTTAGTCGAGGAGTTGAATGAGTATGGCTTCGGCGCAAGGGCGTAGGAGTGGAGGGAGGCTGCACGGACGAACCACCTAGGTCACTTTCCAGGGACGATTTGACCTGCTCAGTCGAGCCGGACGGATAGTAGAGAAGACGCACGTTGGCCCACTCATCCCAAGCATCGGTTTCCCGTATAAGAGACGTAAGATCGTTGGCATTGTGAGTAGTCTGGGGCCCTTTATCCTTGCCTTTGCCGGCCGAGGGAGACGTAGAAGCACAACCGGGAATAGCAGGACGTGGGAAAGGCGCTGCAATTCTCTGAAGTTTCTCCAAATCAATGTTGTAATGAGCAGCCAGCAAGCTCTGCTGCAGATGAGAGCCACCTCGTTGACGAGAATGATACCTCTGTGCCAAAGAGAGCGACAAACGAAGCGTAGATTGCAGAAGGGAGAGCGAAGTGGTGTTTAGCAGCTCCCCTAGGCGTTCACTGCTATTGTACAAGCTGCGGTTACCGCACTTCTCGAGTAAAAGCTTCGAGAAGTCGAGCACGGCTTCCACAAGTTCCCTGTCTCCGTCAGGGCCATAGCCCAGTGCCGCAAGTTTAGCCTCGATATCCCACGGGCTTAACTTGGGGTCTTCGCTTGTATAACAGTGTACCAGGGATCCTCTGCCAAAAGGCGTTGTTTGAGGGCCATTTCCAAGGTTGTACCGTTCAATAACCGAAGCAAGAATTTCATCAAAGCGATTCAGAACATTGATCCAGTGATACAGATCACCTCGGGGGAAGGGCCATATGCGAGAAAATGTGCTGAGGTGCGAAGGAAGCTCTGGAACCGGGATAGTTATTGCACGGGCTACAAAATCTGAGAGGTAAGGGGACTATAGCAGAGATGGAAGGAAACGTTTAGTTCATTTTCTTTTGCCAGTGTGATAGATTCTATTTCGGGGAGGGGGGGAAGTGGGAGGAGAACTCACAATAGTAGCCTCATGTTTTTGGCTCGCAACCTTCTTGATTCTCCCCATGATGAAAACGGATGGGCAATCAGACAATCATCAGGAAATTCTCGTATTCCAGGAGAGCGTCTCCTAGAGAGGATGGAGAAGGGGGAAGGTCGGGAGGACCAAGTTGGCGAAGGAGAGTGAAAAGAGATCTCTTTATGACGTTTTTTTTTTCCCTTCGGGAACCTTCCTTTCCTCGAGGGGACAAAAAAAAAAAAAAGGGATAAAAGGCGGAGGAAAGAGAAGAAATTGAGTCGGCTAACTTCAGCAAAAAAAAAAAAACGGCCGACCGAATCAGGGAATGAAAAGGTAATCTTTACCCAGGGAAAGATGGGAATTCGGGGTGGAGGGAAAAGAACGGGGAAGGAAAGACTTGAGGTGCGGCTTCAGTACGAAGTTAGGTAGGTGTTAGTTAACTAGTGAACTAGCAAGGTTAGTAAGTAGAGTAAGGTCCGCTAGCAGAACAACAGGGGAAACGGGTGCAGGTCGCCAACCCTGGAACTGCGGCAAAGCAAATGGGAAAGTTCTAAAATTCGAAGGAGAGGGAGAATTCGATAAAAGATTCTGTCAGGAATGATGAGAGGAGGGAAAGAAAATCGTGTGAAGGAGCGGTGGGGAGGAGGAGAAGAAAGATGGAAGTGGGAGAGCGAAAGGAGAGAGAGAGAGAGAGAGGAAAGCGGAAGAGAAATGATATGATGATGATTATAATGATGATGATGATGGGAGCCCAGCAATACCACCAACACCAAACCATCCGAACCACCTACCTTAGTGAATAGTTAAAGTAACTACATAACTACTACCGCTCCTAATTACTCCCACCGCGTTTCTGTCCCTGGCTGAATATTAAGGCTGCTCTTCGACCCCATACCGATTTATTTTGGCTTGATCCCAAAACAGATTTAGACAGATCTATTTTGCTTTGGCTGGTGCCAGTTGTCATTATTACCCCTCGTTATGCCCCCCCATCGGATCTATGAAGTTATGTTATCTCTCTCTTCCCTTTCTAAAGATGGCCTGCCCAGACCTCTCAAATCCCTAGCTGCTTATAGTGGCCGCCTTACCAACAAAGCTTTCCGGGAGGAGTGAGTGCCTTAGGTAGTCTCAGTTGCATAACGGCCTGAAATTCTTCATTAATATTTCAGATATAGCTTAATCAATATTTGTTAAGCAAGTTGTTCGCCCAGTCAGTCATTTCAATCCAGAAAACATAAAATACAAATCATACCCAAGTACCACATATCTAGATCCGTAGTATACAGAGAGGTACATGTGTACAAAATAATATATATACCCAACGCATATAACAAAAAGAAAATCTTAACCCTGCCGTGTCTCGGGAGGCAACTCGCCATCCCACTGGATCTTCATCGTAGTTGGGAATGCGAAAAATCCGCTCTGGTCCTCGTTCATATACTTGGCGATTCCACCAGGACCAGAGAGCTTCTTCAGTTGTCCTTGAGGGCCTGGAGCACGGCGGAGATTATTCAAGCCTCCGACCACTTTAAGCATCGTGGTCAATCCCAGTTTGCAAAGTCCATACCCCAGGCACTTGTGGGGTCCGAACCCAAAGTGAGCGTAGAAGTCCATGTTACGGTCGAGTTTCACTTTCTCCGGCTCTGGGAAGGCAACAGGGTCCCTGCTTGCGGACACCTAATATGTCGTGATTAGACCCGCTGTCGCAGTAGGACTAAGATCAAGTGTTACTTACCAAATTGCAGAGAACGAGTTGACCTGCTTTCAAGGTGGCCTTCTCGCTGCCATCCTGAATCACCGCAGGGCTTGCGGCTACTCGTGGTAGCGCAACAGACGAACGTAGACGGGCTCCCTCCATGAAACTTTTTTTTTTTAAAAAAAAAAAAAACCCCCCCTTGGTTAGTGCAAGCCAGAACAGAAAAGAATTGCCTAGTACTCACTATCGTGTAAGAAGCTCATCAGCCTCGGGAGTATCCTCGTTAGCCAAGCGATTGATCTCAGGAAGATGAACGGAGCCTTCTTCCGAAAGATAATAGTCAAGGCACTGAGAGAAGAGTTGTGCCTGGTTTGCTACCATTCCACCAGCGGTTGGCAGAATATGAGTCCATACGATTTCCTGCGCAGGAAGTCCAGTGGCGAGAAGGTGCTGGATCATATGAACTCCATATTCACTGAGGATATCGTGACGGTGGAGTCGATTCACCAGATTCGCAATGAAGCCAGTCTTGTCAATGAGCTCAACATTGGCCATCATAAGTTCGCCAAGCTGCTGTGTCACAGTCCGAGCCGCCTGGTTCAACTCAAATGAAACCCCAACGTCCGCATCATAGAAAATGGCAGTAAAAACCACAGCCATGATCATGTACAACTCCGACTCTGTAAAGATACCTCTGGGGTTGGATTCGGTCTTCAATGGTAATGAAAAGACGCTGGCACAGAAGTGAACCTGAGCAAGATTTGCGACGTCGCGGACGATGTCTACTTGGTTGACACCAGCCAGTTTGTAAGAGTTTTTACGCAAAAGCTTCAACGTAATTTCCTTGTAGAAATTCTTGACTTCATCCTCCCATTTGTCACGGTACAGGGCCGATCCCATCATCTGCCGTGATGCAGCATTTGGTCGTCCGTCGCCGGATAACATAAAATCTCTGCCGTAAGGATGCTTATTGTGCTCCATCAAAAATTCGATCTTCTTACCCCAAGTCACCTTGAATGTCCCCTGGTCGTTAAGGATGGACATGCAGGCAGCATGGGAGTTGACGAACACAGGCTGGGGAATGGGGGCGGGGCGATCCCAGCTATATCTCTCAGAGAATCCCAGGTTCTTGAGAATCTTCTGGTTCTCAGATGGAATAACGAGAGGAAAATGGGCATAAATAGAATTTCCCGCGAAGTGATTGGGAAACGCGCGCAGGACCAACTTGTAGAAAACGTGGCCCTGATCGACAGTGTCCTTGGGCTGAATCTCGCTATAGGCCCAGTTCGTAAGGTGCTTTGGAGTATAGTCAACTGTATAGAAGCGATCACCACGAACCAACGCCACGGCATCGGAGAGAATTGCCCGTGAAATGGTAAAGTTGGTACACAATCCACTTCCGGGGACCATGGACTCCTTCGTGTCCTCCACAATTACACCAGGGTAAATCTCCACAAGGTCCGGGTGGTCATACAGGCGCTTGAGCTGATCAGCAATGTATGGGTCAGGGTTGATATCCTCAAACGTTTTATGGGGTGCAAGGTTAAAGTATTTGCGGAACTCATTGAGAGTTCCCAGGTTCCAGGAGCGCGCCTGCATGATACCTAAAGCCTCAATACTCTTAAAGACTGTTGGGATATGAGAAGCACCAAAAGCGCCCGCACAGTCCTCAACGCCCTGTTCAAAGAGCCTCACCAAGTCATCGTCATCGAATGTGCCGTCTGATTTGCGCTGCAATCCAGAAAATGTACGATCCTGTGGCTGTTCAGGTAGCATTGCCTGCCATCGGCCCAACCCGGCAACAAAGTCCCTCAAGGACAAGGTACTGGGGTCCTTTCCAGGAAAGATTTCGCGGTGGAAGTCATCCGTCCATTGCTCGTCGCGTTTGGAAATGCAGGAGTGCCAGCGGTACACAAGGTTAAACTCGGCAGAGACTTGGTTTCCAGTCGCTTCGGATGCTCCTTCGCCTAATAGTCCGTCTTTCATCTCCATCCGTGGGTCCAGGCTCCAGATGCTATCTGTCCGGTTAATATTCAAGATGGTTCGAACATAATCCTTCAGGATAATATTCGCGTAAAGCCCGCAGGTAATCAGTCGACCGGTTTGGAAGAGGTCGTTGTCGTATTTGGCATACTCCTTAACGTTGGATTCGTCTGGTTTAGTAAACCGGCCACCCTCGTTAATTGAGGCTAACTGTTCCACGATAAAGTTGTGGTAGCGATTAAACATTATCAAAAGCACACCAACTCCAGGAGGGAAACCCAGCACTCTCCTTGTGGAAAAGCAGTCGGGCTTCAGCTTCCCGTCCTTGAAAGTCCGAACAAGATTCTGCTCATCCTGATTGTTTCCATATAGCGGGGAAAGGTCCAAATAAGAGGACGTCAGAGAAACAGAGTTATCCTTGGGGTCAGTTTGAAACAAATCTTGAGGGCTGTCAGTCATTCCATCTTTTGATATTTGTTTAACCAGTACTTACCATGAATGATTATGGAAGCAAGATAGAACAAAACACTAGATATCTTATTTGGATGCTCCTTGTATTCCTTTCGACGAAGTAGACAATCGAAAAGCGTCTCGGGCTCCGGAAGGGACGGAGACTGCACAGTACTCGGCCGGACGGATCTTGCGTAAAAGCCACCAGCCGCTCCTATATGGGGCCACAGGCGATTCTAGAGTTGCATTAATTAGCAAGGCCTAGAGATATTAGTAGGAGAAATAGAGGGTATTTGTCTACATTTCCCGAGCCGTCTGCCTTGCGGTACATGGAATCAGCTCCAAGATAACTAGGGTCCTGTCAGTCTTACGGAACAATCGGTGACGGTAGTCTAATACATACGAAATCGGTGGATGCTGAAGATCCTTCCATAGTAGAGTCAAGAACGACTTAGTTAATTCAGCTCCATTGCGAGAAGTAGATGGCAACCCAGCAGCAAGCTAGATATCAATCAGACAAGCGTTTACATGCGATATAATGGGCGAAGCGGTGGACTGACCTGAATCACTCGTTCCATGATATACTGCTTGTCATTCACTGGTTCACCGGTAGCAGCACTCTTGACGACGTCCACCAGGGTTCGGACATCGTTAAGGTCAACATAAGGAAGATCCTTGACAAGACCTGTTTGCGTGGATGTAGGAAGATATGTCCCGTCGCCTGTTGCAGTGGGCAATGGCCGTAAAGATGCAGACACAACATTTTCTATCTGGGAAAGAGTGTTTCCAAGGCCGTTAATCACGGACGTTTCTTTCCCTTCACCCATGGCGAGCTAGACTATACAAAACAAGAAATATTCACAAAGTTAGATGTACAAAATTATAAAAAGCCTGCCGATGTATAAGTCAGTGTCATTTTCAAAATTGAACGGATACAACAAGGGTAACTTTGTGGCTTGTACTGGTGATGCATACATACCACTGGATCCCAGGTAGAGCTAGTACGTACAATTGCGGAGGTGATGATGTCGAATGTGGAGAACCCACTAAGATAAAAATATACACAACGTACAGGGCACCAAATATATACGAGAGAAGACGAGTGTTCCAAGATTGGAGTAAACCCTAGATTTACATTTCGCAAGAAAACAAGAATTTCAGCAGATCCGTCCCTGGAATGCGACCTCGATTTATACTCCGTCCAAATGGGAGACAGGCCCAGAAGCTCTTAGGACATCTCCGAGCGATGGGGCGGACCGGTGCGGCTGAGGATGGGAGTGTGCAAGTCACCCTGCCAATGAGAAAATTTATGGCGGATAAAAAATATGAAAGGAAGAAAAACCAATGCTCGTAATTGGAGTTGAAAATAGGAGGAGTCCTTCTAGAGAGCGTTAGTCTTGCTGCCATTCTTTCAAATGAAGAATGCCCCACCAGCGTCCTGGTAGGCTCTGTACATATGGGATCATTCAATTCGTCTCTCAACTGTCGAGAATCATTCTCTCACACCTCAAGGCCCGGTGTCAGCTTAGTTCATATTCCATCGCAGTCAGCTCTGGATGGGCTAGACACGAGTTGAGTTGTCCCAATTCAATCTCCGCCCCTAAATATGCTCATCAACAGCGCAGCTGAGGACACCCCGGACAGGGGGGATATATAGAATATATATATAGCCTTATTGACTAGGTCAATGGCTAGGGAACCACGGTCTTCTCCCCTAGTTCTGAGTCGGCTTCAGCACCTAATAGTTAGCGGCAATCGCAAGCGACCAACGATCAGAGCTCCAACATGCCCACGGGGAGAGGGGCTGACGGGTTATCAATAAGCGGCAATAGCTTAAATGTAGTAGAAGGGCTCTTCATTCAGGTGCTGTATATAATGGATGGACCCGCGATAGAAATCTATGTGAGTAGCTGATTGTTTACTTGTTTCGGGTGGCTATTGTCACTTGTTCCATATTTCCTTCTATCCTTCGCTTGCATTTCTCCGCCGTCAAGATTTCGCCGCGAGGCTGGCTGGGGCTGACGACTAGTGTACTCCGTCCCCAGCCGGATAGGCCATTGGAGAGCTGAGCATTATAAGCAGGATGGGCCGCCGTTGTATGCCATTTGTAGCAATCTGACTTGTGGAGCCGATTGAGGATGATAACACGAGAAACTTACATATTGTTGTCATGGAAAATTTGAGCTGAGGTGGGGTCTAGAATAGAATATGCATCATTCATCACTTCGCCGTGTGTGCATTTGAAATGCTCATTCATCACGTTCAAGATCAATCCTTTGTTGGGTTCGTGACGGAGGCTCATGGATGTAGCACCACGTGATATCCCGAGGTTGAGTTGACGGCATTTGGCGTTGCTCAACAATTCTTTTGGCCCCAATGCTCTCGCGCAAGCTTCCTGGGAGTTCGACTTAGGCCGACCTTTTGAATTGGATGCTTGACCGCAGTTGATTGGATTCACTCCTTTGTACGTCCTGACCGGATCACATCTCTACTGCAATGGCTCCAGCAACGATCACTGTGGTTGTTGAACCACGGGGTAAGCTTCCCAGGCTTTCTCAAACATACTCAAAGCCACTGGCGAGGACGAGGCTGACATGTTTTTGTAGGGAAACCCATTAAGAAACTCCCTAGGGAGATTCAAATTGCTCCCAATGCATCAACACAGGAGCTTTACAGCTCTGTTGCGGAAGCTTCGGCTTTTTCCATCCACCGTCTGAGAATCACGAAAGGAAGCGACCGGAGCCTAGTTCCGAACTCCAAGGAGACCACCATTGATGGGACTGGTCTCAAGGAGAAGAGTGTAGTTCACGTCAAGGACCTGGGTATGTCTGGGAGCGTGAAAACTGTGATCTATATACATATCCCTAGTTCACGACTGATGTCTTGTCTCCAACTCCAGGCCCCCAGATCAGTTGGCGCACCGTGTTTATCGTTGAATACCTTGGCCCTCTCCTGATTCCTGCTCTCTTCCTCTTCCCTCTTCGACCTCTCCTGTACTATAACTTTGACGCCATCCCCGAACCGAGCGATCTCCAGCTCATCGTCTGCGCCCTGCTGACAATCCACTTCTTGAAGCGCGAATATGAAACGGTCTTCGTCCACCGTTTCAGTAATGCCACAATGCCGGCGCGCAATATCGTCAAAAACAGCGGTCACTACTGGGTGCTTGCTGGCTTTAATATCGCTTACTGGGTTTTCCGGCCTGATGCGGCTGCAGCCACTGGGCAGCCACACCCCGCCCTGCTCTACACCGGGCTCGCTCTCTTTATTTTTGGAGAGCTGGCTAACTTCAACACTCACTTGGTCCTGCGCGGTCTTCGTCGCCCCGGAACCACCGAGCGCGGAATTCCCTCCGGGTTTGGATTCAGCGCTGTCACTTGCCCCAACTACTTTTTCGAGATTGTCTCTTGGGTTGGTGTCTACCTTGTGAGCGGCTTAAGCTGGAGCGTTCTATTCTTCATCGTTGTTGGCGCCGCTCAAATGGCTAGCTGGGCAAAGAAGAAAGAGCGTCGCTACCGCAAGGAGTTCGGTGACAAGTACAAGCGAAAGAGGTTTGTCATGCTTCCTGGTTTGGTTTAGAGGTCCGGTTGCATTGGATGGAACCCTTGGGCCAAAGGCTAGCCAGAGATAATCACCAACGGGTGATCAATGTGTAGACTTGTACCGCCACGTCTCTTGGGAGTTCAAACACGCTCCCTTTATCCGTAGTTGGAAGAAGGCGCTAAACTACTGTACCAGCCCTGATTGTTTGAATGAGTGTATTGCTGGGATCTAATGTGGAAGTGAATGTTACAGAAATAGTTAATCATTCTGCATTAATAACTACCTAGGAATTGGTCCGGTCCGTCCCTAGGAGAGCACTCTATGGGGGAAAAAAAAAAAAAAAAAAGGAAACTTCCCTGAACTCCTTACGCCGATCGGGCTAAAAAAAGGGGTGGGGGAAAGAGAGAGAGAAAGAGAAAAATACATGAACATTACCTTCTATATCGTCGCTTCCACAAACCCAGACTGATTATGGTGTAAAGCCAAATAAAGATTCATATTGGGTAGTATAAATCATTCCTTCTTCAACCTCTTCGCCCATACATTGTAATAGGCATCCAATTCTCGTTCACAGCTGCGCTTAGGATCCGTATTACATCCAAAGAACCGGATAACCAGGTCACCATCCTTGTAGGTTCCATCTACTGCGGCGCCGGAGGAATCTTTGCTAAATGCATTGATGATTCGTTGGGGAACAAGTGCTAATCGAGCCAACACCGTTGGATGCCACTGAGCGATGTGATCCTACGCAAGTAAAGAAATGTTAGTCTATGCAAGCCAAAAGCAGCAAGATGGGCAAGGGCATTAATGAACGTACCAGAGAATGAGTTTCCGCTTTCGCAAAGTTATAGCTCCGATACAACGGGTCGAACCAGGTATCAAGGAGGAAACGGGCAAAGTCGCCTTGCCGAAGCACGAAGCTCCCAGGGTTCAAGTCTTCCGAGTCAGTGGTGATTATTAGATCGATATCGTCGGGACGGAGGTGGGCGAAGGTCTTGATGATGCTGTCTGGGGGTACGACGGGGACGTCCTTGCGCATTAGGGATTCAAGTCGTCGTTTGTCTAAGAGATGCTCTTCTAGTGATAGGGTCGGGTTCATGAACAGAGCGTTTGCATCCAGGTGAAAGAAGTACTTTGACGAGGGATGGGAGGCCATCGCATGTCGGACCGCGGGGACGATAGCCCAGCTCCGCGGGCCATTACCCAGGTAGGAGTCGTAGTCTGATAGATTTGCGAAGAAATTTGTGTAACCTGGACGGTAGAGAAACCCCATCATTAGATGTCTGAGCCCTATGGTGTCTTTAGAAAAGGGGTGTTTTGCTCACGTACCATGTCGTCTAGCATAGTCCTCCCTGTTCTGAATAATCTTTTGTAGATAATCGTTGGCGTAGAGTGTACGATCGAGAACGGTTACAATAACGACCCCCGATGTTCCTATCAGGGCTGCAGGTGTCCCTGTGCTGGAATAGAATAGTTGTGACAAGAAGAAGAATACAGCCAGGAGAGCAGCACTGAGAATCGCAACCGCCTTGATTTGTTTGCGACGCTGAAACGAGAATCCCGACGAGCGGGCGTAAGGAGGAGCGATGGGGCTCTTCCGGGGAGGAAGTGCGAACTGCATATTGGTCAGGACATTAATGAATCATTTCATTTAGCACTTGATCTTTAGACCTAGGAGTAGTTCAGAAGAAATACTGAGAGTTGGAGAGAAGCAAGCAAGATACTTGATTCTGCCGCATGCGGAAGATGAAGCGGATCAGGATCATTGTTGGACCGAGGTTGATGTTTCATATGGAAATTAATTCAACGAGACGGGAAACATGAATTTATCTCTATCTGGAAATTTTAGTAGTATTCACAGACTAAGATATGGTCTGGTAGAGTATAAATACACCGAAGAGGGAAAGAAAGAAAGAAGTATTCGTGCAAAAAAAAAAAAAAAAAAAAAACCTTCGATAATTCTCTCCAGCCCTCCTTGAATAGAGCGGATGCCAGTACTCAAACAATCCTCATAATAATAATACAGACGCCTATCCGTTGGTTAACAGTGGGAGCAAATATAAAAATACCCCACTAGTATAGTTTCTCATTGTAGGTCGGCTTGGTGATCTCCTTGATGTTGGTATCTTCCTCCACTTTCGCCTGCAGCTCAGCCTCCTTCTGTTTCATCCATTCCTCAAAAGAAGGGGGCTCCGGCAATCCCAGGCGCTGTCGTTCATGTCGGAATTGCTCCTGGATTTTCGGTGTTTGCATCACTCGCCATCGAAGTTCCCATCCAAACATGCCCAGTTCCTTGACTCGCCCAGGTCGGTCATCCAGCAAGTAGTTGTCGAGACCTCCAGACTTCCAGATCGTTCGTAGAGCCTTTCGGGTGACCTTGATATAAAGGTGTTCACCAAGCGCCTCACTCCAGAGCTTCTTTCTTCGGACATTAGGCTTCCAGAACCGTCGCGTTTTCCCTTCGTTGCGGCCCTTGGAGATTTTGTTTCCAAATTGGATCATTGTGCCTCCGTAAAGGCCGGAGTTGGATTGCTTGTAGATATAATTCGGGCCATAGGGATATGGGGGAATATAATCCGGTAGTTGTTTGGTTTTCTGGGTAATTCGTGTTGTAGAAAAGGATCTCGTTGAAGCTGTCAAGGACAGACTGCGGAACGTCGCTGTGAGAGAGAAAGGGAGAGACATGGTAGAAAGCGTGGGCAAGCTTGCCATTCACAGAAATTGAGACGATGAGAAACTCCTTTTCATGACAGAAAAAGCGGGTTGTGGAAGCAATTGAAGGGCGTTGAGTGTCGCCTTGAGGGTGTGATAATTGAAGCTTGAGCGGATGGAAGTTTGGTGGAAGAATTTGGGTGTTGGGCTGACCGCCTTGGCATAATCACGAACGGATTTCAGCAACAGCAAGAGCTGCATTTCCCCAAATCTCCATCAACCATCCAGTGGCTCGTTCTCTCCGCATTATCGATTTTGGACTCGGTGCAGCTTGATTTTATTTCCCTTCATTGTGCCTTCCGACTGAGGCCGCAATCCCTTCTTCACCATGGTCCAGATCAGCGAAGTCAAGGGCAATTCGCGCGAGAATAGGACAGCTGCCCACACACATATTAAGGGCCTTGGGCTACGTCCAGATGGTACTGCGGAACCATCCAGTGATGGATTTGTTGGACAGGCTACCGCCCGTGAGGTGCGCAACTCTCGAACCCGTCTAGGGCATTACTATTCTATTTTCACACCCCAAATGTATACGCATGCTAACTGGTTTTGCTTCCCAACCAGGCATGCGGTGTCGTGGTGGATCTGATCAAGGCGAAGAAAATGGCGGGACGAGCTGTTCTTCTTGCTGGTGGCCCGGGAACAGGAAAGACTGCTCTTGCACTCGCCGTATCGCAGGAACTTGGAACTAAGGTCCCATTCTGCCCAATTGTTGGCAGTGAGATTTACTCGGCAGAAGTTAAGAAAACGGAAGCCCTTATGGAAAACTTCCGGAGAGCAATTGGTAATGAATATCCAAAAGGTGGGAATGGGGTAACATGGCTGGCTAACCTCTCTCATAGGTCTTCGCGTGCGAGAAACAAAAGAGGTATACGAAGGCGAAGTCACAGAGCTGACGCCCGAGGAGACTGAGAACCCACTAGGCGGCTATGGCCGTACGATCAGCCATTTGATTATTGGATTGAAGTCAGCTAGGGGTACCAAGAAGCTTCGCCTAGATCCCAGTATTTACGAAGCTATCCAAAAGGAGCGAGTCACCGTGGGAGATGTTATTTACATTGAAGCCAACACTGGAGCCTGTAAGCGAGTAGGCCGATCTGACGCCTATGCGACCGAATTCGATCTCGAAGCCGAAGAATACGTTCCAGTCCCGAAGGGTGAGGTCCATAAGAAGAAGGAAATTGTGCAGGATGTGACACTACACGACCTGGATATTGCCAACGCCCGGCCACAAGGTGGACAGGATGTAATGAGCATGATGGGACAACTCATGAAGCCAAAGAAAACCGAAATCACGGATAAGTTGCGCCAGGAGATCAACAAAGTAGTCAACCGTTACATTGACCAAGGTGTCGCTGAGCTTGTTCCCGGTGTTCTTTTCATCGATGAGGTTAGTTGTTGTATTTTTATCGTTCAATTTTCTTGCCATTTTTTTCTGACGCATATTATTTCAGGTTCACATGCTGGATATCGAATGCTTCACATATCTGAACCGCGCCCTGGAGTCTACAATATCTCCGATTGTCATTCTCGCTTCTAATCGAGGCCATACTGTCATCCGTGGCACTGACGATATCACTGCCGCCCACGGTATTCCTTCGGACCTCCTCGCGCGTCTCCTCATCATCCCCACCCATCCCTACTCCCCCGACGAGATCAAGACTATCATCCGTCTGCGCGCTAAGACAGAAGGCCTCAGTATTACCGACCCCGCTCTGGACAAGGTCGCAGAACACGGCAGCAAGGTCAGTCTACGGTATGCACTGCAGTTGCTGACACCTGCTAGCATCCTTGCGCGGGTGAACGGGAGACCCGGAGGAATCGAAGAAGCCGATGTGGCCGAGTGCGAGGACCTCTTTCTTGATGCAAAGAGAAGCGCGCAGATCGTCAGCAAGGACAGCGAAAAGTTTCTATAGGTGGATGTTTGTAATATGACTTTCTTTGCAAATGGGAGTATGGCGACCGGTTTGGGGCTAGTAGACTTCGTGTAGAAGTCAAGAGAGGATTTCCCATATATTTGGGCCAAGATAAAGATTCGAAAAAAGATTACTATGTATACCATCATGTCTTATGTGACGGTTGAGTTTTTTGTGTACTGGAAAGTATAACCCGTTTTACGTTAATGTCAACTAAGTTCTTAAGCTCAATTCCTATTCCTTTGGGGTGATCTTTGCTATGGGCAGTAGAATTTATTATTTTTTTTTTAAAAAAAAACAATTAGACCAAAAAAAAAATATACCGAGATGCAGTATTCTAATTCAACCTGGAAGTATAGCAGAAATCATGATATGGCTGATGACTTGAGCGCTCGGAAAACGGTACGACGAGCCCTAATCTTTAAGCCCGGCGTATACAGGCGGGTCAACAAAAGCAGAGTGATCTCCAACACAATAACTAAGACACGGAAAGCCTGGAGAACCGTTCGAGTAAGGTTCTCTTGAAGTCCTACCTGTCTCGCAAAGAACTCTGTCGAATCTAGCGGCTGGGGATGGAAGTCCACGGCAAACGGCACTTCGGCTCCTAGGTCCTCAATGGCTATTCTGAACCCGGAGGTAATAGCGTCCTCGAGAATTCCACGGCCCGTCCACCAGAAGCTATAGCTCAGTCCCCTTTTGTTTTGGATCGAGGGCAGCAGGGCCTGTGCGTAAAGGGATTCTGCCGTGGGCTCGGGTTCTGTGAATTCCCATACCCCTTGTACAAGGCTAGGATGAGGTGGTGCGAGTGGGTTGAAGGTGATGAGCACCTGGCCGAAAAGAGAGGTAGGTATGTTCTGAAGGGTATTCAGATTGTACCTCGCGCAGGACTTGGGAGAGAAAAAGTCACGACGTGGTTGTTCTTGCGATGCTATAATATAGTTACAGTCAAGTATGCCACCGGGTTCCATCTATTAGAGATGTTTTAGCGGTGACTTTGGTCCGGGACGTTGAGCCAGCTAGTTCTGAAGGAGAGACAGTGATCGCCTACCGAATGGTCCGAATGTAAAATAACGATATTCCTCGTAACCCCTAGGCACTGTATTATCTCCTTCTCCCCCGTGGTTGCCGTCGAGCCCAGAATTCGGATGATTTCGTTCCCATCTACCGTGAGAATAACATGATCAAACAGCGACTCTTGGCCGTCGCACGTAACGAGGCCGTAGTTTGATTTAGAATGCCGTGTTATCTCATTCACTCTGGTCTGTAGATATATTTTTTCATGGGGCAAATCTTTCACCATCGTCTTGATAAAATGTCCTACTCCCAGGTCAATTCGCCACCATTTTGGCTTCATCCCGTCTGTACAAAGAAGGTCATGGTCACTCAAACAGCGGGCCAGAGCTTTCACAGGAAATCGAGCAAGAAACCTTCCTGCATTTGTCCTCCATAGCATGGAGAGCAATGGAGCTAGATACTTGTCACGAAAACTGTTTGAATAACCTTCGTCTGAAAGATAGGTTTCCGTCAAGTCTTCAACTTTGGGGGGTTCAGACCCCCGAGACTCGTCAGTAAGCACAGTCACAGCCAGATGTCTAAAGCAGATCGCGTCTAACAAGAGCCGGCACGCTTGCTTGTTCCAGAGCATTTGTGGGCAGAGAAGGACGCTCTTCAAGATACTGCTATACCATTTGAAGGACTGAGTACCGTCCGAAGCTCCAAAGGAGAATGGTACAGCAGTTGTGGCGATTCCCAGGTAGTTCAATAAAGAAACAAGATTGGCTAGATTTAAGAGTTAGCGCTGAAAGCGGCATCTCCAAGTGAGGCACTGACGGCAAGCTTTAGGATTGAACGACGGCAACTCCAAATCTACCTCGACTTGATTACCATTGCTTTCAAACGGTAACGTCTTCATATGTCCGCCAAGGACTGAAGACGCTTCAAACAAATGGACATCATGCGAAGAATTTCGCAAGGCCCAGAAGGAAGCGATTCCAGTTAAGCCACCTCCTACAATAGCGACTCGTTTAGGTTCGGATGGAGACATAGGAGCGACAACTTGTCGAAGCAATCTTTCCCTTTAGAAGCACGCAATTTCAACAGCGGATATCGCAAAGGTCAAGGCATGAGTTATATCAAGCTATAGGAGCAGGGCCAAATTCAATCCACATGAGATAAAGCCAACCCGCGTTTCCCATCCGAGGATCATTGGTACGAAAAAAGCCTCAGCATAGGGAGTGAGGTTGAGACAGGGACAGAAACCCCAAGTCATCGACGTCTTTGTTGGGCCTGAGCTCCGCAGATGCTGACTACCGACTCATGTAAGGTAGAGCAAGCGTGATCGTATCAGATGACAGGTAAGCCCAGGAAGAAGATGTAGTAGACGGATATCGGATTGGCTGAAGTTGTTCAAGGTTGGTTGAAAATAGCCAGGGCTGCCAGGATAATGAATATAAAAAGGATCTTCCAGATGAAATAAATAAACTGTGAGACATCAGTATTTACGTGCAGGAACAATGTGTCAGGTCAAGGTGCTCGATCATCGTAAGCGGACCAGTTATAGTTGTAATCGTATAGTAGTACTAGTAATCCACAAGGACCTTGATACGCAGGTGGTCTAGATGAAGATATCGATTACCATCATTATCGTCCATCTATGTTCAATTCTATGGTATATGGGATATTCATAACAGAGTCTTAAGAAATACTGGATGTTGAAATTGAGAAATATGATGATGATGATGATAATTGAGTCCTGTCAACCGCCTCAAGTTGAAGACGAAAACGTCTCGGGCGCGGATCACGTGGCGATTCCCCAGATCCGTAGGCGGCCGTCTAGCATCATCGCCATCCTCACCGTCTGTCCATTATTCTTTGTCGTCTCGCTGTTCCTCTCTCAGACATTGGGTCCTTCGATAGAGTACCCTATTTCGAGCCGCTCACACCTGAATATACTGTCCCCAGCATTCCACCTCCGCCCAGTCGCCATCTACCCCCGGTCCCAGCCTCACGCTTTCTTATCAACGATCAGGGACGCCGCCGATTGAACAGACTCACAACACCACCCATTTTCATCTCTACCAGGCCCTTTAATTCCCAATAGGCTCCGCCATGTCGAATCCCCTGGATACAGATGCCGGATCTGAGATGTTCAGCAGCTACGAGACGGAGCTGAAGCTTGTTCAAGCCGATCTAAACCAAAAGTTAGACCAGATCGCAGAGTCGAGCGGAGAGCAACGGAAAACAGCCATAAGACAAGCAGACCGGGCTCTAGACGAGGCAACAGAGCTGGTTTGTTCCCTGTCCACTATTACCACGCTAAGTTGTAGTCGAATGCAGTTTACTTAAACTAACTTAACACCCCGCAGCTTGACCAAATGCGCATGGAGAAACAGAATATTCCGTCCGCGGCACGGTCCAAAGTAAACGTTCGTTTCCGCAACTATTCGAGCGATATCGATGAAGCGAAGCGTAAGCTCAAGGCTCTCTCCGACGACCGCAAGGCGCTTTTTGGAGATCGTTACACCGACGACCCACAAGATGAGCATCTCGAGCAGAGACAGCAGCTTCTTTCTGGGACGGATCGCCTGGAGCGCAGCTCTGCCCGGTTGCAAGAAAGCCAGAGGATCGCATTAGAAACCGAAGATATTGGTCGTAGCACACTCGCTGATTTGCAGGTGCAGCGGGAGACCATTCAACATACCCACGGGATGCTGCAGCAGAGTGAAGGATATGTTGATACAAGTATCAAGACCTTGCGAGGAATGGCCCGTAGGTACTGTCGCCCTTGTGTTCTAACCCAATTTGACCCCATTGTCTATGTGACACCAAATATTGATCTCGCATATCTAACATCTATTTTGTACAGGATGGCTACGAATCGGATAATCACGATTGCTATTATCACCGTTCTAATTCTTTTGATTTTTGCAGTCATCTACAGCAAGTTCAGTTGATTTCAGGGTTTTAGCAGGCGTCGGCTTTAGTTTCCCATGTTTCCTTTTAGCTCTTCCTACTCACGACATACTACACAGCGTTGTATGATAATATACCTCCAACCTCTATATATCACTATACATTGTACTTTTTATGCGACTAAGTTAAAGATATGAATTCGCAATATGTCCTCAGATCGCTAACTTTATAGAAGTAATATGAAAATGGGGTATCATGAATGATAAAAGTCATGCAGGCATAAGAATAATGAAACTCAAATCCTTCATAAAACAAGAAAAAGATCAAGAGAACGAGAAATGGTCATTCAGATGGACATTAATTCATCATGCGCATGGCCCCAAATCCAATATTTAGCAAGACCCCCGCGAACACCGCCAATCCTTTGCGCCAGTTCCATACTCCTTCCTCTCGCCTCAACCACATCGCACAACCCACAGGCCAGAAGAACCCCATGACTGCCCCCCAGAGCATATCATCGATAGCCTCTCTCGACCCTGTGCCAAGCCCACCATCGTCCTCAGGGAACGAAACGCCTTCTGGACCCGCGACTGCCCCCGCCACCATTGTGGATGACCCTTCATCCATCCATCTATCCTCGAGCTCGTGCAACTCTGCCCCGCTGGGCATCGTGTCAGGGGTGCGTGATGCAGCTTGAATAGCCATGAACTGCGACCGCAGCGCCGCAACCTCTGCCGTCGTGAAACCGGCCGAGAGCAAGCGGTCGAATCCTCGTGGGGCGGGCGTTGTCGATAACGCCTGTTGGTTTTGCTTTTGGCGCTGTAGCGAGTCATCGTCTGACTGTGATGATTGTCCTTGTTTTTGAAGTGTGGAAGCTACGGAAGCTTCCGCTGCAAGGTCTGCAGCGCTCAGAACGATATCGCCAATGGAGCAATGGACATAGAGACGGGGTGGCTCCCGGACGGGCGCCTTCCCCTTGTCTTTCCCTAGTTGTTTCGGATTTGCTGGGTCTCCATCATTGTGATGTGATTGTGACGGGGACTTGGAGAATCGGTTTGGAGGGGGGGGTAGTTTTAAGGAAACGGCGAGAGGGGTGGTGTCTTCGAGACCACGACCGGCGTAGATCAAACGTAGACGGTGGGAGGATAAACTCGGTGGGAGACGGGTGCGGATTGCTTGTTTGAGTCCTGCTGCTGTGGTGGTTTCTGGGGACTCAATGTCGAGGCGAAGATCTGGTATTGAAGCTGAGAATCGAACTGTGACGTATAGAGGGTCAGTCTCGAGGGCGGGACCCGGAAATAAGATACTAGATGGGCTGGCCATCGCTCATTGAAGTATCCAGTCTCCAATGCTCTTGAACTTAGTCCCAGAATGAGAGAACAGTATTTATCGATGAGCCGGATACCATTTGTTATTGTTCGCGATGTTAAGGGCTTAACAAGTAGAGAGATGTTGGACTGGAGTGTGTGTTATATGGAGCCGCCGTGAGTGTTGCCTTGACAATCAAGGACCACGTGATATTATTAAATGAAAATGAAAAGAGTACTGCATAATCAAGACAAAAAGAGGAGTATATTTTGCTGATACCATTCTATATTACAGTTAGAGAACCTGTGTATATATATAGTGGCCCATCTCATCTGCCTTTGCTCATTCTACTGTGAAGCTACTTGCCGGAAAGTGAATGGCTTTGGATGACGCTAGACTCAAGGCTGACCACCATATTCATACCAAAATACAACTGCTGTATAGGAGTAGAGCAATATTTACTTCACGACTCGTGCTTGTACTTATGAAATACCCTCATAGTTTGTTTATGTGAGTGTTGATATTGGTAGTGAAGGAAACACGCAAGATTTAAGATAGAACATATTATTATGTACAGCAGATGGGAAAAAGCATTTCCCGGGAATCATTAGGCCTGCCAATAAAGTAATCGAAAGAACGCCGTCCAATGCACCGAAGATGACTCCATAGCCAGGTCATGAGGGTAAAGAAAAATAACAAGTGGGCAAAAGTGATATGCTAAACCATGAAGGATTCACCACATCCACATTGTTCCTCTGTTGTGTACATTAGTAATCAGATTCTAAATCAGAGATCGTTGGGGCGCAAAACACTTACTTATATTAGGATTGCGGAAAACGAATCTCGCGCTCAGCTTATCCTCTTGCCAATCCATCTCACTTCCAATTATGCTGAAAAGAGCCTTGCTATCAATCAACACCTTAACGCCATCCTGCTCCACAACCTCGTCGAAGGAACCCGGCTTTTCCACGTACTCCAGATGGTACGCGAGACCGGAGCAGCCGCGATTCTTGACTCCAACCCGAATCAATTTCGGGTCTGGCTGTGACAGTAGCCTTCGCAGTTGTTCAATTGCAATAGGGGTCAGCTTCATGGCAGCTTTCCGGGGGCGTAGCTTTCTCCGGGACTTCTCCGCGGACTTGGGGGTAGCAGCGACAGAATCTACTGGTTTGGCTTTCTGGGACTCGCTACCATCGACACTTGTCTTGGAGTTGGTACTTCGCATCTCAGGGAGCTGCTGAGAAGGGATCTCTCGAATGGGAAGGAAATCGGCAGGGATGGTGTCCTTAGCCCCAGGGTTGGGTGTGATCGGGAAGGAAGAGGGCAAGGTATGCGGTCGGTAGGCTGTAGCAGTTTGCATATCACGCTTCGAGGAGCGATAAGCATTTCCAAATGAAGAAAAGAGACGATATTTCGGTGCGACGGGGACGTTGGCGGACTGTTTCATCCATCGAAGCACCGTGGCGGATGATGTCACTGGAGAACGCATCGTAGCTCTGCAGAGCGACATGGTGGTGGAAGAATATGTTGTGAGAATGAAAGAATCAGTCTATTGCGAATGCGGAGGGCGAGCGCTATGAATTTTATATGCGCTCTGTGATGGTATCGTTGGTGGAAGAAGTTCTTGAAGAAAGCTGGCTCGGTAGTTTGGGTTGAGAAACTTAGGTTGAGTCGGTGACAGATCGGTTAAAACAGGCCCAGCGCCAGGGCAGAGTACCCGGGTGGACCAATCACCATCAAGGTGTTTCTACGCACTTACTCATGGCGCCACTGCTCCGTATAATCGCCCGATCATTGAGGCTCTAGCTAAGAAGTAATCATGGAGGTGGAATTGCTAAGCTAGTACCTGAGTACTCAGTACGGAGTAACCCTTTCATTTCTCTTTTTTGGCAAGATTTCTCTGATTTTGTTTTCCACCTGAGGCAACATGGCATCAAACAGAAGGTAGTCAGATGATCTGTACCCATTGATGACTAAACCAAGATACAATGTCTCGCCAAGGATGTGGCTGCTATTCAAGCCACGTGTGTGGCTAGTGGACAATTGCCCGAAGCAGCAATCAGCACGCCGGTCACATGTGGCCCGTAACTATTATTACGATGAATGATTAGAAGGACTTTTATGACTGAAGACACCAACTCCATAGAATTGGGATGGGAAGACAATCACGCCCATCCATTCTCTTACCTCCAATTCTCTCCTTCCTTATTGTCTCTCTCCCTTCTAACTATTGCCATGCTAAAGGTGGACCATGTCTACCATGATGGAGTCCCCCCTAACGCAGCAAAGTAGACCTGAAACTTTCAAGCCTAAAATCGTCCAACTATACGAAAACTTGTTTCAAGTACCGCCACCCCATCTGCACAGATCATACTTTTATTGGATTTGAGTTCTGATTTTTTTTTTTTTGTAGAATTCAGACTTTGCAGAGCCTTCAGAAGGGTTCTGGAGGGAATTCTTTTTGTTGCCGCCTGATCGGGCTCGGCTTCGTTCTGTTCTAGATAGTCTCGGTCCAGACGAGACGCTCAATTTGCAGGTCGGCTACAGTTTGCTCTTTGACTACCTTTTACATGGCGTTCAATCTTAACTCGTTTCTAGTTTCAAACGCAGCAACTCTTTGCTCGAGGAATCCGTGAGGCTGCCTCCAGTTCCAGTCCTATAGATTCTTATGCGTTGGAGGTGAGTTCTTTGACAGAAATGGTTTGAACGCAGTCTCTAAGCCAGGACGTAGACCTTGACGGTCTTTCTAGTCTGTGTTTTGAAAAAAAAGTACACCAATCCGAGTTCCGATGTTATTACGGTCCTAGCCGGCCTTGACAATGTCGATCAAGTAATTTCCAATTTCGTCGCTGTTTTGGATAGTATAATCCGTAGTGGCAGCAGTTGTGAGTTTCAAAGGACTACATTATCTTGCATCATATTGATAAATTTGCAGTTGATATTCGATTCAAAGCAATTCAGACCGCGATTGCGATGACTAGTGGTGCATACAAAACGAGCTTGGTCTCCTACTTTACTCATCGTGATTTATTCCCCTCAATTATGAAGGTCTGTATCCTAAAATAGCCTCCATATACGTGGGCAAAAGCTAACGATCCGAAAGCTTGTGCATGAATCAGAGTCGTCAATGCAAGTGTTCGAGCCCTTTGTTCTCCTAGGGTTGCTGGCGAACTACAATAAATTCGAATTCCAAAATCCATATCAATTACGTCTTGATGATTTTGTTAATGAGACGAGTATTCAAAAAATCGTCAAAGGTGTCGGTTTTTCATGTGCCGCTTTGAGGAACGGCTATGTAGTTGTGCAAGACGACTCCCCCGAGGGCTGGTCCCTGATCGGAACCCTGATTTATTTCGGATTGGGAGTGCTGGCCCCAAGTAAAAGGGAACGAGCAAGCCCTCCCAATGCCGAGGAGGCAAAGGAAATGTTTGCAGCTCTGTAAGCTCCATTCTAGTGACCCCGAGATCTCTAGAGATCACTTTTCACTAATTGAAACAGCCCAGCTCAACAAGCAGCCATTCTTTTGGCCACTTACGACTTCACTAATGCAAATAAGCTTTTTGGATACCATCTGATTAATGCCGCACCCGAGAAGGATAATGAAGAGTCTCCATTCTCGAGCTTCCTTTCCTTGACCTCCTATCTTCTGCAGCACGCATATCGATCCCCAAGAGTTGCCCACTACGCCGAACTCAACCTTCTCACTCTTCGCATCCTTTCAGAGGACTCGACCTCCTGCAAGCAACTCTGCAGTGAAGACAGTAAGAGAAAGGTTCGGCTGTGTAGACAACGACAGCCATACCTGCCCCTTGTGACTGGCGACAGAGTCCTCGCAACAGTCATCTTGGACCTGCTCATCGATGCAATATCACACAATCTTCGACGCCGTCTTGACGTCCAGCTTTACAGGTAGAGTTCTCATCCTCCCTCAACCCATCATCATGTCCTACGAACGAATTACTCATCTGACCCACCTTTGCAAGCCACACGATCGCAATCCTGCTCCGCATCCTTACATACCTATCCATGAACAGAATTCGATTAACGTACCACTGGTCTGAGCTTTGGCGCACTCTCCTTTCCCTAATGAGATTTCTGACCACCTACGTATCCGATCTCTCCAACAACCAATACATCACCACCCTAACAACATCCCTTGTGGACCTTGTCGCATTCTGCGTTTCTGCAGGTGATACCTTCCTGCCCGATCCAACCTCCTATGATGACCTATTCTACAAGTTGGTCGAAACAGGCCCCATAATCACCAAGTTCCGCGATGTCTACTCCCTCAAGCCCTCTGCTTCTGCTGCCTCCTCGGTTTCGAAAATCACAGACGCCAACAAAGACATCCATGTTGCCGCCGTTGAAACTCTCATCTCCGTCTCCACACATTTCTATACACTGTTATTCAACCCAGGTAGGAACGCTGACGCTAAAGTTGATAGTGATGGGTCCAGTCCAGCTCCTATCCCAGCAGCCCAGAAGAAGAACCTCAGTCCACGCGAGGTACACCATATCATCAAACAGGGATATGACACTTTGCGCATTCAACCTCCTGAAGGCTTAAGCGCGTGGACCAGATACCGTGAGACGGATTGGAAAACGGAGTTGAAGAGAGGTGCAAGGTGTGCGGTAGACGATGCCAAACAGCTGCTTATATAGCCATTATCTATCTATATGTTCTTCTCCCTGATTTCTAGTCTTTTTTCAGCTCTTTGCTTCTCTTCCGCCACCACACGAATTCTTTTCGTAGACGGAATTATTGGCCAAACTCTATATAATTCTCTGATGTAAATGTCGTGATTATTTTGATTGGATGGAACTCGATGATAGAATGTTTAAATATTCTCATTTTTTTTTTTGTATCCTTTTTCTTTTTTTTTTTCCCTTCCAGCTTCATTGCCAATAATGTAGAAAGAGAGACAGAGAGAGCAAGAAATACAAAGGTAAGACACCGCATTCCCAGAACCTCGCTCGTTCTAATAGTTATAATGTTACAGGATAAGTCATCGATACCCATAAAGTGCGTGAAACAGTCTCATCCTTGTTGCGTTGTCTGCACTTTTCCGGAGACTAATCAAGATAATAATGAATCAGGTAAAGAAGAAAGAAGCTGATTAAGAAACAGTACAAAAAGGGAGGCACAAGCTACTCCGTAGCAACTTATACCAAACGCGAGGTCGCAGTCCCAGGAGTCGGATTAGGGACTCCCCGAGACTTCTCAACGTATTCGTTAGTTGCAGTCATATATTTAGTGGCAAAGTACTTGTTAGAGTTCTTGCTCAGCCAGAGTGTGAACTTGGAGAGCTCTTCCCGAAGTCTGTTGGTGGATTGGAGATCCATATTTGTCTGCGCGATGAGTTCGGGCATGGTAGCTAAATATCTGTTAGTTACCTCTAATAACTAGCCAGACCTAGCATAGGGAGACGAACCAAAGAGTCTGGTCAGATGCTCAGCACCGTAGATGTCAAGGGGTCCCTTGTCGGCGAAATCACCGGACGCAGCTTCCCATCTCTTACGAAGAACGCGATACTGTTCACGTTCAAACCGGTACAGGAGAATCTTGTCAAGTGATTTATCAAAATACTCGCGCACGCCCATGATTACTTCTTCAAGGACATCTAGATCGGCCGAGCCTGTGCGCTTCGGCTTCTCTTCCTGCAAATAGTCATCTAAAATTCTGTTAACCGAGCACTTGGCCGGCAACGCCACAACCTGTTGGTTTTTAGTGACATTTTCCCAGTCGTCCACCAGAAGCGACTTGAGATTGTCTGGCATCACAATTCTGACTGAAGGTCGCACATAGAAATTGTCCTCCTGGGTATGGATGTTAGAATCATTACTCAAAGAAATTTCATTCCTGAAAAGCCAGTTGCGACCGTTTATTCACAGCTAACTGGGCTTACCTTCTCAATATCGTTATCTCTAGCTCTCTTAGTTCCACGGCCAGGAACAGAGGTCTGCCGCTCCTCACTATCCCGGGCGGAACTGCGGTCGGAACCTCCCCTCTTTTTCACAGAGGCTTTGCTATTCTTTTGGCGAAAAACAGCCTCAGCTTCCCGACGAAGGGTAGTTGCCAACTCTCTATTCTCCTCCGTAAATTTACGAAGTCGATCTTGAGGAACCCAATCATCCCATCTAGTAAGAATACATGTCAGTCAGTCAAATTCCTGGACCGTGAGTTCTCTTCCACTAGGAGATACGAGCGACCCCCAATTCTCCCCGTCACCGTGACAGAAATTTTCCAAAACAGAGGTCCACAATATTACACGTAACATCTAAGTAGACGCTTTGATATTGGTAAAATATACAGAGACGGGAGATACGTACGTGTTCTTCCAGCCTTTGTAATGGACTAGATACTCATACGGGCTTTTCCTGTCCTCAGCATTTGTGTGTCTGAGGTCGAGGATCTTGGCCTCATAGAGGATCTCATGATGAAAGCAAAGGACCCTTTCATCTTTCTGATAGGTTGTCTGTCCTGCTGGTGCCATTTTGATAAAAAATGGAGACGAGGAAAGAGGGGTTAAGAAGATAGCCCTTGCGCCAAAGGAGTCGGAGAACGAAGAAGATGTATAATAATCTCTACCCCGGAAATGCAAATAAGGCGGTAGGGTTGTAGTAGAGATGAACACAAGTGGCGTATCTCAAATGAAAGCAGGCGAATCCCCCAGGGACCCTGCCACAACGACAAGGAGATATGCCGATAAAGAGCCAGGCAGCAAGACGCAAAAGCCAGCTGAACAGAATAATGGAGATAAAAACCAACTATTTGACTTTAAGAGGGCCACAATCTAGTTTAGACAAAGACTTGGTTTCCTCACAGCAGGTGTTGAGCCTTAGGATCTTCAGGTCTGATAGCTGCAGGAAAGATTCGATGTAGGCCAGGAATTGACCGTAAATGGAGTCTCGATCCTCTGAAGACTTGTTGTCAATGATATCAAGTCGATAGGCAAGGAAAAAGGATCTAAGAAGGTTCAGGTTATGTTGTTTCAGGCGGGTGTTGATGAGGGCAAGGTGGTGAGAGGAAGAAAGAGAGACAGGAAGCGGAAGAACTACTTTACGCGTGCTGCGCGAAAAGGGAAAGCCACGAAACTCCGCCGGGTCAGTTTACACCAACCATCATCTATCTACTCTCCCTCATTCACCTCTTGCTTTTTTACTTATGATTGTGTTTCTTCATTATTGTCTGCAGTGGATTATCTATAATCAGTGTTAATTAGGTCTTACGTCTTATATGGTTAGACCTGTTCTGTGTCGTCCCAGTTGCCCAAAAAAAAAACCTCATGATTGCATTTACTGGAATAACACAATATCTCAGGAATCAAGGGGCCGGGAAGGATATCCCTCGACAACATTAGACACGCGTGTCTGATAAAACTTTGACTCTCTATCAATTGACCTCAAATATTACATGATGGCGCCCTCAGAGACCTCCATTCTAAGCAATTTTCTGCTGGCTCCAGCTTCTCTGCCAACAGTGATGTCCCTGCAACAGTTTACAGAGCTGTTTCCAAAGCGCCTGCGGTCTCACCCCCATATTAGGGTTCTTTACCGAGAGCTGCAGCAGCTCCGAGAGCAAGATATGGATATTGTCAATGAGAACATTGACAAAGAAGTCCAGGAGGGAGACAGCCAGAAAGCGGAACTCCGCAAATTTATGAATAAAACAGGCATTGAAGATGTCAATGCACATGACCAACGAGAAATGGATATGGATGTTCAATATTTCGGCCCTACATATGTCGCCTCCGATGAGTATCACTCGGTTTCAAGTCTCCTATCTGCAATGGAAACCGCATGTGCTAGTATAGAGCAAGAAATAGCGGGAATTGACAAAGATGGGGCATCTCTCTTATCGGAGCTCAACTCTACTGTCGGCGAAATGAGCGATTTACGCTATGGGAAAATGAGCGGGCCTGCCGGAACCACGGACGACGTTGTCAATGAGGCTATTAGGGGCTTAAAAACTCTCGAAAATTCTTGTTTTCCTAAAGGGCCTGCATAAGGGAGCTTTCATCTCGGCGTATCAAAAACACTATCCTCAAAGGCATCCCGCTATTTGGCTCTCATCTTCAATCCGCTGGCCGTACAGCCACCTTCACTGTTCTACCAACTTATAGGAAGCCAGGCCTTGGGGTTAATTTCCAGAGGCCGTTTGAAAACCGAAAGGCGCGTTATAGCTTTTCAGCAAAGTTCTTTGGCCGCCCACGAATCGGGCCTTTCTAAGGCGTTGATATACCACTATCGACTCGGCATCTTTCAAAGGAACCCGCCACACTCACTTGATATGAGAGGCGGAAACCATAAAAACGTCAATTCATTGGTAGAGGCTTAGGTTTTTCTATATCAATCGTCAAAAACATGCTAATTAGCCGATGGATTATATGGCCGAGACGAACCTTGCTACCGGGTAGCAGGGATAAGCCGTTTGCTTTAAACAACCTCGAACTCATCGATAGGACAGCTTTACTTGGGAGCTCGTGTATTATCAAGAGAACCAACCCAACTAGGGGCATACAATAGAAATGTTATAACTTTTGAATTTAATCACGATCAAGCGGACACCATAGGCAATTGCTGTGATGGTCTTTATTTTTGTGGGACTAGAGAAACGCGCTAGTTTTCCCAATCTCCAAATTCTCCGCAAATACGCGACTAGTTTTGCCATCATCACCAAATGCGACAGAAAACTTGACAACACTAGACTCGATTCATTGAGTTCATGCGAAGAGAATGATTAAAATCGATTTCTATCATTATTGAATAGCGATTCTCATCCGTTTCCAACAACATGCCTTCAGTCCCTCTTCATCCCCGCGCGTCCGCGTCCCCTGTCGGCGCTTCTCCTCTCCACAACCCTCTCCCTCAACTCCTGCGGACTCCATCAGGCCTCGCGCTCCTCGAACTCCAGGGAACAATTAATGTTCCGTCACAAGAAATTCCAGCGATTGAAGATGAATTTGCAGTGGCCTCTGAGAATACTCACGGTCCGAATGCCACCACATCCGAGACTCCAGTCGGCAAACTCATTTTCCCCGACTACTCCCCGCAAACCCCAGACGACACAAAATGGATGAAGAGAGCATATCTATACGTTGGAAGATACCAGCGAATGACTGGAGAAGTCAAAAAGCTTCCAAAGCCTCTTGCTATCATTCAGAAGCGACAGAAACAACCGGGATCGAAAGCAGGCGACGAGCTAGAAATCGTCGAGATCGTCAAATATAAGATTTATTTCAAGAATCGGCCTGAACCAGTGAATGACGTTTAATCTCTCTTCAGCCCAAGAAACAATTTACAACACAGGTATCAACCCAATACACCAAGGTTTATTCATGGTGCCCCCCCCCCTCCCCCCCAGCTCGACGGCGCTGCATGACGGGATATGAATCTCTTTATGAAAATATCTTCGGATCCGACACGCACTGAAACCCAAACTCGACGACACTTGAGAATGAAGCTACGCACGTCTTTCACATGAAAAGACGTCATATCTAGAAAGGCAACGATTCCGCCTCCTGCCATCGAAGCCAATCCTGGTTCCCAATATCATATGTTGCATGATATGCAATCTTTTGTTTGGGTCAAGGCCGACTTGGTTTATGTCATAAAATCCAATGGTACAGAGCAAACCGCCCAGTCTAAAAGACATCGACTTGTCCGTTTTATTTGAATCCCAGCACCGAAGATAGTTGAGATTCCGCTGAAATGAAAGCAACGGTCGGATTAATTCCGCACTATTTCGCATCTATAATTGAAACACCATCTATCTTCTTCATGTAGTAACTACCTCCTAGCTTGGGAGGAAACTAACTAGTTAGTTAGTTAGTTAGTTACACAAATATTTCCCGCTTAGTCAGTTATCCGATTGTACCCGGCTTCCGACGGAATTGTCGGAAATCTTCCATACCACCAAAGGTCCAGCGTGAGGCCATACGGACCGGAACCATAGGCCCAGAATGGATACGAGTTATTATTACCTTAGTTAGGTACCTAGACGACAAAGTTCCAACCCAAGAAATTTCTAGAACGAAACAGATTTCTAATGCGCCTCGCAAGAACCCTCTTCTTCCTACCCCGCACACGAGACCTGATCTCGCCATCGCATAGTTATAATCCACATCTCGCGACTTCCAGCGCTCATTGCAGGCCCTGCGACTGGCTTCCGCCTCTGAAAACACCACTGCCACACCTACCGCTGTTACGCCGCCGTTGCATATCCGTATCCTACTTTTCAACCAGGACATCATCATCATCATCATCATCATCATCATCCACCATGGCGCCCATTGAACGTATCACCCTCTTCAAGATCTCCGATGAGGCGGGCCGGATCCGTCTCCTGGAGCAATACAAGGTTCTTGCGAAGACAGCTGTCAAGGTATATATATATATATATATATATATATGTTTATCTGTTTATCTGTTTTGTACTTACTAACTGGATTGATTCTCTCACTTCAGGATGGAAAACCATACATCCTCGCTGCAGCGGTGGGGACTTCCTACCCCGACCCCCGGAACAAGGGCTTCAATGTCTCGGTGAAGACAACGTTCGCTTCCTTGGAGGATATGAAGTACTATGATGAGGAGTGTGAGGCGCATAAGGCGTTGAAGGCTGTGGCGGCGCCGGTGAAGGAGGATGTTCTGACAACTTATTATGAGAATATTCTATGATGTATTATACACTTTCTCCTTAAGCTTTCTTTCTTTCTTTCTTTCTTTTCTTTTTCTGATAAGATCTGTTTCGTTGACATGCACTGCATACAGCTAGCTATTCCATGCCGCATGCGAAAATATAGATAACACATTGGTGCGCTCAGAGATCATATCAAGAAGGAGCAAAGATACCAAGCGGATGACGAGATATCAATGTGGCTCAGTACTGAACAACAGGACCACAGAGGAAACACGCCCAATATAGGACACTTCATGACACGCTTGCATAACTAGACTCGAGGTCATTACATCGCACACGGTCCAAGAGGATAAGAAAAGATGAACATGATACAATAATAACTGTGGTCTCATCCAGGAGTACCATAGGCCAACAACACCATCAGGGAGTGGGTGAAATGTACACAGGAGGGAAACAGGACAAGCGTGTGTGACTTGTTGGAGGATAATACAGCGTCGAAACCCGTAAGTTCCAGTGGGACAGGACATAGAATATACAGATTGCGAGTTTAGTCAAGAGCCCTGCGGAGATCGCTCAGCTTTTGCCTGAGGCTCTCATTATGTTCATGAACCTAACCACAACAAAATCAGCCCAAGGTCACTACTCTCCAAAGAATTGAAGATGTTCTTACCTCAGCGCATTTCATCTTAGCCGCCACTAATTCCTTCTCCATCTCGGCTGTTTGTTCGACCATGGCGCGATTCTCGTTTTGGACCTCAAGATTGCGTTTCATGATACGGTCCATTTCTGTCCGCAGCTTCTCTTCCACCTCGGCTGGCTGTTTATCAACCACATTCTTGAGCTCGCTAACCTGCATTTTTAGGGCGTCGTTCATATCTGTAAGTTCCTCGTTCTCGACCTTCAAGTGCACAAGTTCCGAAGCGAGCTGGACATGCTCCTTGTCCGAGGCTTCCGCTTGCTCTTCTAGTAGTCGGATGCGAGCACTCTGCATAGCTACAGTATGTTTCAGTCCTTCCAACTCTGCCTCGCGCTCCCTTTCAGTTCTCACTTTGTCCTCCCACTCCGTCGTATACGCACGGATTGTTTCCGGCATGATCGAGATAGCACAGGCATCTTGAACCATGATATCGGCGCGGTAGATCTCTTTGTCAGCAGCCCCCGAGGTCCCAAAAAAGCCCGACTCTAGAATAGAAGACGGAGTCGGCTGTTTGTCGATATAAACATCGAACAGCCTCTCCTTCAGGAACGCGGTCAAGGGGGTCATGTCTTTCATGGCAAGAAGCACACCTGCGTTACGACGCATGATTGCTAGGGCGAACTTCAAGATTGTGCTTTCCAACCCTTCTTCGAAGATTAGGTCGTAAATACGAAGAACAAGTTGCAATGGGAAACGGTACGCAAAAAGTGTTAGGAACCACTGAGTCGCGTACAGTTGGGGATTGACTCCTCGCCGGCGTAAATGGCAGTAAAGAGCGGGTTCAAAGTCCTCTAGCAGTCGTTCAAAGACATACAAACACCGATGCAGCCCAGGCATGTCCTGGATGAATAGTTCCCTTAAACCATACTGGTTCATAAGTTTCACAAGTAGGGTAAATGCCTCCACCTCGTCCATCTAGAAATTCAGGTTAGATTAGAGGGGGGGAAAAAATTATCCGTCGAGCTTGAAGGAAACGAGGCGATACTCACGTTAAATAGCAAGGGCATGACAATGAAGTTCATCCCCTGGGCGTAGCCGACAGCCTCATCGTAGAGAGCATAAGCCTTGCAAAGTCCAAACAGTCCTTCTTGATTCCCTTGAGAGACAAAATAACGTGAATAGCTCGTGCGAGCACCCAAGTCTCGACGGATCGCCTTTTCCAGTTTTTGAAGTGCCGCAGCATCCTCCTTGGCCTTCTTCTTACGAGCTGTTTCGCTAGCAGCCTGCTCCTTTGCCAGCCTCTCGGAGTCGCGTTCGTGAGAAGGACTAGGGGAGGCACTATTATTCGAAGGGGTCACGGAAATCGAACGTTCGGAGCGGATAGAAGAGCGCGAAGAGGAAGCCACGGAGTCTTTCTCCCCATTGGCCATACCGTTGGCTCGCAGCTTTTCCTTATCTGTACCTCGCACGACCAAGTCCCTGTATACCTCCTCGAGATCCGGATTCCTACTGTCAGCCAGCACTTGCCAAATGACTCCCCTGATGGTCTGCGGAATTCCTCGTTTGATAGCAGCATTCAGCTCCTCGGAATTTGTACCCTTCAGCGCTTGCGGGCCATGATTCACCAGCTGTTGCCATAACTCCCAATCCACTGGCGTAGCAGCATCGGTGGCAGACGTCGAGAAGCCTGAAACAGTTCCGGGGGCGAGGCTTGGATTGACAGTAGATTGGGCACCTGGGGGTGAGATCGCAGGAGAGACTACTGGTGGAGCGGTGGTCGTGTCATCTTCTCCTTCTTCCGGGATACTGGGAGGAGGACTTGCGGCGGATTGAGCAAGGCTTGCACGCCCTGATGCGAGACCGACCTCCTCATGCTCGGAAACCAGTCCTTCCTCACGCATCCGAAGCAACTTGAACTGGTCCTTCAAGCTGTTGCGCCTGGGCTTTTTCAAACCATCCAGGTCTCCATCCTGAGATCGGCCAGCAACTTCAGGATTGCTGCCGATTGTTGAGATAGATGCAGCGGTGCTTCGACGTCCTGTCTGTGGGGGAACAGACGCGACTTCTTTACTCCCTGTCGATGCCCGGGACAGCCAGGCAAAAGGACTGGTGATTCTTCGAACTGGGGGAGGGGGTGGTGCGACGGGGGCTGGATTCTTGTTCTGAGGAGGCGGACCCCATGGCACTGCAGGAAGACTACCGGATAAGCCTTGAAGGCGTGAGCCTTGGGTGGATGTGGAGTCTCTGGATGGCAAGGGAGGAGGGGAACCGATCTGAAGCTCCTGGTTCACATCCGACTTGTCGATGGACCCATCGTCCTTAGCATTGCCGGCCAAATTCACGTCGTCGAGGGAGGTGGTGGATAAGCGGTGGGCTGTTAACAAAGGGGACTTCTGGAGTTTTTGCTTGCGGGGCGTGGCGTCTGCCTCCGACTGTCCATCTATGCTGGCTTCATATGCACCTTCCCTTGTGCTATCTTCCTCGGGAGAACGGGGTGGGAGTGAGGGGGCTTCGGCAAAATGCGGTGTTGCAGCAGATCCGCTGGGGGGGCTATCGGTCAACGAACGAGTCGAGGTACTTTGAGGGATCGAAAGGGTGAGGGAAGGATGGGTATTGGGGGTTTCCGACGAGTCATGAAACGAATCCTAAGTCCAAGATATCCCCAGTCAGTCTTCATGGAGCTCATCAGCTTCAATGTTCAGGAGCAGGCCACTCACCCCTTCGTAGTCTCTATGATCTGTTTCGGAGGACATTTTGGGGAACGACCACCAGGGTCAAGACGACAGAACAAAAGGAGGTTCGTCCCCAATTAGAATATAAAATTCGAGAAACCAAATATAGGAAAACCCAGAACACACGGAAGTAAACGACGTTCTTCGAACAATGCCTACTCCATGATAGGGGGGGGGGGGGGGGGAAGACACGTTAGTTGGGTGGCAGTCGGAGCGGGAGCTTGTTCTTGCAGGGGGGCAAAGGGAAAGAAGCGGGATAATTGACGGGTCAAGAGGATGGAGGATGTAGAATGGAATGAATGGAATGAGAGAATCCCCAAGAGAGAAAGTTGGGGATGGAATTCCAGCTCCTGATCAAACCACGGAAGCAAAAGGGGAGGAGGGGACTGAAGGAATTCCGAAACAATGAAAAATGGAGCAGTCTGGAGCCTCCAAGAAGAGGAGAAGGAGAAATAGTTTATCAAATGGATCAGTTGAGTTGATGGATTTTTTCTCCTGATTGGGATTATTATGAGAGATATATGCTATATGTATAGAGTTCTATTTTGCCTGAGAAAAGCTTGTACTTCTTTTTCTGTGTAAATGTCCTTCTTATAAGTTCAATACCAACAACTTCCACCACTCGTCGCGCGCGGTTACGCCTCCCATCTCTGCATCCCTATGGAACAATATTTATAGTTAGGGGCCGCGCAGATCCACTGCGCCGCTGATGCTCAAGAACCCGCCACTTGTCCTGGAGGTTTGGATTTATGAATGTTTTTGAAATTGATCCCAGTATCCGTAATGGTGGTCCATTCTAGTCGTCCATACTTAAGGGGGGAGAAAAAAACCCCCATTCCCATGTGATCATTTTTATTTGTATTTATTTGTTTATTTGTTTATTTGTTTTTTTTAGCTTCAAATCAACCATTTGTTGTACCCATCACGAGTTAAAGAGCAGGAGATCACAAACGAAGAAGGCAGTAATCTCGATCTATTGGCGATAATAGCATCAAGTACCCATAACGCAAGGAATGATATCCTCAGCGGCAAAGCGATCGTTCCAACTCCAACCACCGTCCAGCTCTTAGCGGGTCCAACTTCTTTAATTCGGATAGCCATTCGAGTATTTGCTGCTGTTGATCCCCATCCACTATTGCCCCTTCTACCCTGGCAGCTAACAGAGAGCAGTCGATGAGCGCTTGGTAGATATACTTGCAATCCTCCGCCCCATCCAGCATGTCCTGGATTTCCTCAATCTCTCTTTGGAGATAGCCCAACCGCTCTGAACCACTCAGGTTCGGTGCCATCGTATGGCTTGCAGTTTCTGGGTCAAAGGTACACATCAGGTTTTGGTGGTAGAACCACAGTGACTGATCATATGGGTCGCACAAGGCACGATGGATAAGTTCCAATTCTGCCAAAACAAGACTTGTCAATATCTGTCTTCTCGAACGCCAAGAGGATTACCTACCGTCATCCAACATTTGTTTCCGCTCCTCATCATCGGCTGATTTCTCGTTCAAGAGCCGCTGTATAAGCTTGGTGCGATAGTGCCAGGCAGAGAAGTTGGAAAGATTTGTGCTGATCATCTTCTTCGCATACCCAAACTCCGCCTGGGCCAAGCTCTTCTCATTCTCTTCTTCCGAAGAAAGTGTCTCTAGTGTTTCTACCACAAAGCGCCGATAACCCCAACCGTGGAAGTTTCGACTGTCCAAGCTAAGCATTTTGCCTACAAGAGCAAGTTCCTCCTGCCATAGTTTACGAGCGGTGGCTTGCGGGAGCAGTCGCTTCGCTTGGTCAAGAAGCCATAAGCGATAGTTCCAGATCCAGTAGCATTTGGGAAAGCTACGAAGAAGGGGAATTAGAAATTGCAAGTCAGTCTTGATGAGACTGGTAATTCGGTTCACAGCGGCTTCGTTTGTGTCTTCGGATGCTGCCTGGGAAAATTCATGCTGAAGCACTTGACGTCGGTAGTTCCACACCGTGTAGTATTCAGGGTTTTTGGTTAGTAACTCGGATAGCTTCTGCAGTGTCTCGGGTGTATATTCTTGTGCCGTGATCTAGTCAGTTCGATCAGCCCCCGTATTTTGACTATAGGTTGAGTATTTGACGACCCATGTCAAACTACCTTTTCACCAACGACTTTTTCTAAACTGCGATACTTTTCAATTTTCTGAAGCTCTTGCATATGAGCTTCTTCAGTCCGCTCTACCGCGCTGACGCGGGGAATACCATGCTGCCAAACCCGCCGTTAGCAAGAGTCCGACGACAGCCAAATAGTATAGTAATGAGGGGTTATTACACTAGCCATATCAACCCAACCGTCTCTGTAAAATAAATGCGTGCTTTCTGCAGCAAAGTAAATTCTCACCCCGATTCTCGACCAAGAAGCAGCCCCTTCATAACCGAAAGAAGTTATATTTGAAGGATGTTGCCTGGAAAAGGAGGAAACGAAAGTGCACCCGAGTCAAGAAGGCAGCTTCCCGATCAAGCACCTCCTGTCACGTGCTATCCTGGCCCATACACACAGCATCAGAGAAACATTAACTACCACTCTCTCTTTCGTTCCATATCGATTCTTACAGCATCCCTGGCGCTATTTGCTGTGTCAGGGGAGACAATAGTTTTAGCTTTGGTAGGGCAAGTTCTCTTCTGCACAGCTTGACTGCCTATTCCTCTCATTTCTGTTCCTTTTGATGATATATGTGCATTGCATTTCATCAGGATCCAATCGTCCATCGGAATCCCTTACGAAGTTCTCCTATTACAGGGGGTGTATATATATATATATATATATCGATAACTGCTCTGGCAATTACTCCCTGCGACTGAGATGCTGCTCATGGAAATTACCATGCTCTATCAGTGAATCTCTACTGGGCATTCAGGGTCGCAATGTCGGAGTCCACAGATGACGAATCTGTAATGTCAATGCTTTCAATTGTCTCGCTCACTGCCCCGGGACAAATCCAACTGCAGTTTCCTGAATATCTAAGGGGTCCTGGAAATCCAGAGCCTGAATCTTCTGGCTTTCAAGATTCAATTGATCGAAGACGCTGGGAAGGGAGAGATTGTGTGCGAACCGAAAGAAAACGAGGAAGCTCCAAAAGCCCTAGTTCACCTGACAGGTTTATTCCGTCGAGGGAGGCCGTTGAACCTCCATCCACGCCCTTTCGAATAGGAAAAAATCCACAGGAGCTATCCCCTGAAGAGAAGCTTTTGCGCCGTCGCTCACCAAAGGAGGACCCGTTTATGCCTAAGAGAACCAAACGACCTACAACCGTTACAACAACAACTCGCCGCATCTATAGTCCTCACTATGGTACGCATCTTGGGAATGATTCGGGTTCCCCTACGGAAATCGACCGTCGTGGGAATAGAGATGTAGCTAGACAAGTTAGTATTGGAGCAATATGGGGCGTCGGGGGTGCGTCGCCCGCGTTAGGGAGACGCTCTGCGGCAATCATTGCGGGTTCTCGGAGCCTTTTGACAAGTGGAACGACCGCTCCTATGTATACAGCTAAATTCTTGCCTCAAGGCCGGTCCTCGAGGGAGGATCGAGAGAAATACCGATCCAGAGTTGCCATGGCATTGGACATAGATCCTACTAGGAGAGTTTTCCACAACTTTGATGTTTCGCTTCTTCTCGATACTTTACCAAGCCCATCTTCCCCAAGCTACGATCAGCTCTCGCCGTTGGTTTGGAAAGACAATGCTTGGAGAAGAGCCGGTCAAGACCAATGTAAGTAAATCCATCCCCCATAACTTATATTGAAATGGCCCCAAAAACATCACAGCATCAACACCCAGTTTTGTTTCTCATCAGATATATAAAAGGCCATATAAAAGCATATATAATTTTACCAATTGTAAGGTTTACCATTCGGGAGGTTTTTAAATTTGCCTCTCCCCTTCTTCTTCTTCTTCTTCTTCTTCTTCTCCTCGAGCGAATAATAATACAACTAACGTGAAGACCATGACTAGGGAAGACCATGAATGCTGATAAAAACAACCATATCATTGTTCCAAACCATCCGTTTCGGACTTTGGATGCCCCTCTCCTCCGTGATGACTTTTACTGCTCAACGCTAGCATATTCTACTATCGCTGGAACCCTTGCTGTTGGTCTTGCACATCGCGTTTATCTGTGGTCTGAGGCGTTTGGTGTGCAGCATCCTCCTCTTGACGAACAGGATCCCTCGAACTATGTGACATCTCTATCATTCTCTTCCGATTGTGGTGGCAAGAGTATTTTAGCCATTGGAAGAAAGTCAGGTATGCTGAGCCTCTGGAGCACTTTCGACTTCGACGTACGTTTCGAGATAAGCCATTCGGATACCATCACTTGTGTAGCGTTCAAACAGACAAAATCTAGAAGGCTATCCGAGAAGTTTGAAGGCCTCGAGGTAGACACGGAAGATCTCGCTATAGGCGACGACCTTGGAAATATTTGGTATTATTCAGTGGAGTGGCCAGTAGAAGAAGTGCGGCAGCGGTTTCGCTGGAATGGCGCAGTGACTTTACTTGCCAAAATATCCGCTCATACACAGCAGGTTTGCGGCATAGCATGGTCGCCCGATGGACTTTACATGGCAACTGGAGGTAATGATAACGTTTGTCTTCTGTTTGAACTTCATGATATTATCCCTTCGCGAGAACTTGGTGTTTCATCCAATGCCTACTCACCGCGCCAAGATTGCAACCCAGAGGACATGGAATATCAAGATTCATTTTCTTGTTTTGCGGCAAACGCAAGCCGACGGCTATTCAATAAACGGCATCTTCTTGGCCATTTGCTTCCGTCATTGACTGCGCCACGAACCAGGTCTTTGTCAGCTCCCCTACCATCTGTCTTCAGCCAGGATGGTTCTATAATCTCAAAGGGTGAAAGAACAGCCTTCATCCCGTCCAATCGCCAAAAGCATAAATTGGTTCATTCTGCAGCCGTCAAGGCGATTGCATTTGCACCCTGGCAACCATCCCTTCTCGCGACTGGGGGAGGCTCTAATGACCGTGCTATTCATTTCTATCATACTCCATCTGGTGCATGTCTAGCCACGATCAATGTGTACGCTCAGGTGACTAGCTTGATTTGGAGCAGGACCCGACGGGAAATTGTCGCGACGTTTGGATTTGCACAGCCCGAACACCCTTTCCGAATCGCAGTCTTTGCATGGCCAAGCTGCGAACAAATTGCGGCAATCCCATGGGGGCCTCACGGTGGCAGCTGGGACAGTCCTACCGACAACACACTAGTCGATTGTGGGCGTGCACTTTGTGCTGTAAGTTACCCTGGACGACTCCCATCTTATCTATACGAAACGCCTGAGGTTCTAGATGAGCCTTCTACAGCAACCCCGGCAATCCGGGCTCGATTGACTGGACAGGACCAAACTAGACCAGCTCAGCGTCTGGTTGAGCGAGTGGTTGTCAAGCCTAGAGCTAAAGAAGGGGGTCTGTGGTGTTCGCGGACTGTACAGGAAGGTTGTATTATCGTAGCATCTAGTGATCAGAGCGTCAAATTCCATGAAGTATGGAGTGTATCGAAAGGACGTAAAACCTCAGCAGCTGGTCCTTACGGAGGCAGTGAGATACTGGAGGGGCTCGAAGGACTGGAAAATCCAGGACCCGATATTATTCATTAAACGCGATGCTAACCATCACGCGTATTATCAGCTGTACTATTCTTATACCAACCTTGACAGAGAGGATGGATAATAGTCAATCAATCGAAATATCCTTAAGTCTAAATGTATTTTTTGGGGAGGGGTGTTCGATACCTTTCCATTATTGTATTTCACAATTTCAGATCAGAATAAGGCCATGAATGAAGCTGTTCATCCTTTGAAGTACCCGTGGGCTCATTCGTGGTGTACGGCTACAAATACCAGCTCAAGTAGATGCAAGAATGTAAGGTAGACACAAATTTCAAGAAGATCAATCACACAGTCAATGCCTTTTCTACCTCCAATCCCAACTAAGTGTAGGAAGGAAACTGGAATACAGGAAAATATGGATCAGGGGAGGAAAGGTAGAGAGAGAGAGAGAGAGAGAGAGAGAAAAAAATATATCAAATCAAAAATACAACAGCCTTCCTCTTATACTTTTTGGTGTGTGCACAAAAATGTGTGGCCAAGGGAGAAAATAAAGGAGAGAGAAAGAGAGAGAAAGAGAGAGAGAGAGAGAGAGAGAGAGAGAGAGAGAGAGAGAGAGAGCAAGAAACACCCATCCAGGAACAAAGTGCTACTGCGAGTGTGAAGAACAGGGTATAAACACGAAATCTCTAGAGTCTATTTTCTTCCTTTGTTCTTCCCCTTACCAGGTCCTCCCTGACTTAATCTAGCCTTCTTTGATGGCGGAGGCCGGGACAGGTCTTCACCCTCAGATTCATCCTCCGTGTCGGCGATGAAGTCTGCCATGGACGCGGCGCTGTCATTGTCATCCAGCTCATCCTCGTCTTCATCTAGGGACTCCTCTGCATCGGAAGAGCCGGCGGATTCCTCTGCCTCGACGTCCAGAATGTTTGTGGCATCTTCTTCGTCTTCTAGTTCGTCTTCATCTTCTTCGTCGTCCTCCTCCTCCTCATCGTCGTCGTTGTCGGATTCATCAATCATAGAGATGTCCGCTTGATCACGGATGGCCTTGGTGCGGGGAGTGTCGATGTTCTTCGCAGTTTCTACATCGCTGTCCTCTTCGTCGTCTTCGTAGCCTTCCACATAGATGACGTTCTCTTCGTCCTCGCTCTCCAGTTGTTCGGCGCCGTCGCGAAGAGACTGCCGCAAACCCAGTTGGGCGTCGAGCATGTCCAGTTTTCCCTTAAGCAGGAGGAGGGAGGAAAGGGTGGAAGAGCGCTGGTCCATGACCTTGAAAAGGGTAGACATTTGCTTCAAGAGGTCTTTTTTGCCTGCGAGGGCTCCTCCGTGCGCGATACACGTCCATTGGACCCAGACGAGCAGGTGGCCATATCGGCCAGGGCGAGAGGAAAGACGGTCTGCTAGCCTCTGGAGCAAGGTAGCAGCGAGGGGCGAGTCCAGACGCTGGATGGTGGTTCGGATAGTGCCAGAATCACCGGTGTGGAAGCAGGCCTCGAGCATGTCGTTATCGTTGGTCTTGAGGGATTGTGTGAGAACAGTGGCCAGGGAGACCCCAGAGGGGATTTGCTGGACGGTTGTAATGGGTTTTCCGGGAATAAGAGACCTAGTGTGGACGTCGTCTTCCAGTTCGGCTTCAACATCAACCTCTTCCGCAGCGTGAACTCGCATGAGTTCTCCGAACGATGGCTCCCCTAGCTCTTCCTCGTCATCTTCTTCGTCCTCCGGGCCTGACTCCGCGGCGTTCTGCATATCCACATCACTGCCGGCTTCATCCTGGGCCTGCGCAGACGGCTTTTCGATTTGCTTGGGCTCATCGTCTTCGGAGTCCTCCTCGCTGTCATGCACAGAAATGGCATCCTGTTTGGAATCCTCCATTTCGATATCATCCTCAGCCAAGTTGCCTTCTTCAACCACTATCCTGTTCTCGTTGACATGGCTTTCATTTGCGTTCTTTGTTCCGTTTGTTGTTACCGACTGGAGAATAGAGCTGGACTTGGTCTTGGCGATAGTCTTGACGCCAGTGAACGCCAACTCATCTGTTTCCTCGTTAAGCCATTTCACTCGCTCGAAGAGGGGGATAATGCCTCCTTGCGCCCAGGCAATAATTAGATCAGAGCCCTGGAACGCAACCGAAACAACGGGTACAAGGTCATTCGACGCAGCAGATTTTGTAATTTTGATAGAGGTCTCCGCTCGCCTGGTCATTTGCATCGACCTCGCCTTAAGGCTACCTTTGGGGGTTTTCAAGTCCTGTGGTTTAATAAACGGCCGTACGAAGAGCTCAATCGTGCCGTCCTGAGTAACAGCAGCCAGAACTTGCTTCTCTAGAGCCAGACTGTCATCCACGCCTTGCTTTGTATACAGAGATAGAGACGTTACTTCTCTGTCAGTCACAAGGTTCATCGCCAGCTGCCGATCCTGGGGATTAAAGACATTAATGTAGCGGTCATTGTCGGAGGCGAGGAACAGCCCGTTCAAGGCAGATTTTGTAGAAGATGTGATGATAGTTTGTATAGAATTTCGCATCGCAGGGAATGTAATGGAGGATCCATCTTCTTCAAGATCAATAATATAAGGCGTTTGAGACGCGCAAATGACGGGAGGATTTGAGGAGAGCGGGCGAGAGAGTGTGGTGAATGTCGAGGAGGTTGGGAGGTTGATTGTCCTATTATTACGGTCAGTCAAACGCGACACCGAGCAAAATCAAAAGATGCTCACCTTGTGCGTTGTCCGGTGACAAGATCCCACTGGACTAGCTTATTATCTCCACCGATACTCCAGCCTTCCTGAGCGGATCGGTTCGCAGAGAATTTAAAGTCCTTAATACCACTCTCATGTCCACCCGTCAAAGTACCCACAATCTTATCCTCAGCAGGGGAGTACATGCGAATATCTGAAGCGCTTGTGCCGAAGGCGACTACCACATCTCCTTGATCCAGGCCATCATTCGTACCATTGACATCGGAATGGCGCTTTCTCTTCTTCTTTAACTGCTGTTCCCGATCCTTCTGGCGACCAGCATAGTAACCCCAGTCCAGCGATGTGACTAACTCCTTCGGACCCAAGACATATTCACACTGTAACCGACCGGTATTTGTATCATGAATGCGCAGGTGCTGACCATCGAGACCCTGGATGACGGAAGCGAATAGGGCCAATTGATAATCAGACGGAGCAAATGACGCCTTGAGGATCGAAGACTTATTCCCAGTGTTCGTGAGGTCGGATACCGCAAGCGACGCCGAGGAGGAAGTTTTCGAGGCCGGCTTTTGAGAATTCTTCTTGCCCATTTTGAACTAAATTTGCCAGGTCGATGCAAATAATATAAAAGAAAAAGTCACAAATACAGACGCCAGATGGTGTCAAAGAATTCTAGCCGCACTTCGACTAGGAGCGACGCCTGGTTGTTGGGTGCTGGCAGTCGGTCAACTGTTCGTGCTGTAATGAAGGAAAAAAAAGTTCTGTAGAGAGACAGTAGGTTGATGCGCTTGCCCTGTTCTGGTCTAGCTCAAGGCAAAGAACTTGCCGTCTTATCTAATCATATTAACCTTGGGTGATTTCATGAAGTATGTATAACACCAGATGGCCGAAAACAACTACCTACTACACTCCCCAAAGAACCATTCCTGATTCCCAAGTTGAAGGCAGAACAGGTGCTGCTAGGCTTCTAATCTTCCTGATATAGAGCGTTACGGCCGCCTCCCATGCAATTACACCTACGCCAGCTAATATTTCATGAACTTTGCATCCGAACTAAGATTCCTCCAACATCCTTCGTTCTTCCTTTTAAAGTCTGGTTTGATCATCATATTAGCAACAGCACGTGCCTTTCTATCAGATTACATACTACTATTACTGACAGTATTCCCCTCTTCCCCACCAGACCAGGTTGTCAACCCCTCCCGGAACTTTGTGGAAATATAGAAAATGCGGCATGTTTCATTCCCAACCAGTCAGGAATTCCGGTTGAGGCAGGTATGAATCGATTGATCCCTAGAAAAGACCGTCTACCAGCATCGCAAGCCCAGAAGTTCTAGCCACGAGGAGACTTTTCCACACTGAAAATACTCTTCCTGTTTTTCCTGGCGCAAGTGTTTGCCTCTGGAGGAGAGGATCAGAACAATACCACCTAGTAACAGAGAAATGTTACTAATAAGAATAACCTGGGCCGCCAGTGTAGCCCAAGGTTCTACAAAGCTGAACAGGGATACCTCCTAAGGTACCAGACCAGTACCTAGTCAGTTAATGAGTTCTAACTGGTTGCATGAGGAGGCCTTTACGCTAGGCCATATCCGATGTAAGGGGAGGGCTCAGGGTTAAACCCTGGGGTTTCCCAAGTCAGCAGACTGGCACATGTGCATAGTGTACCGCCTCCTAGGTAACCCCCCCCATGCTTCAACCCTGGTACGCCATCCAGAATATCATGACCCCTATACCGCCATGACTGCCTAACAATATTTTGGGTATGTCATATCTGATCTCACTCGTCGTAGGTATCACAACAATGGCGCATTTTTTTTTCGAGAAAGGTCAAATCTACCGATGTATCAGACTTCTGTTGACCCACTGAGGGAGACGATGGTTGGCTTCTTTAATTTGAGCCAGACGAGACGAATATTTTGGGGGAGGTGATGTGAAATCGAGAGACATGACCCTTTTTTCCATATTTTTTTTTCTCTTATTTTTTTTTTTTTTACTTTTATGAAATTTTTTACGTTGCTTTTCAGGTGTTTCCGACAAAGGGGACTCTGGTACGAAGGACCCACCAAAGGAGTGGGTTGTAGCCAATAGAAATAATCACCATAAAGAACGCGTCATCCAGGAGCCAATCATATATTGCTGAATGGCTTGAGCTAGAGTAATTGGGACTAGCGGCTCCGATGGAGTTAGCGGCGGACGAAGGACGAGCGCGACGCGGCCGTTCGTACTTAAGGATTCTAGCACCCCCTCCGACTTTTCTCTGTCTCTGTTTCTGGAGCTGAGCTGAGAACTGCGCGCCGGTCACGCTTTTTCCCTGGACTCTTTCTTTTTTTTATTTATTTTACCGTGTTTTTTTTTTTATTTCAAAACACCGCTGACCGCCTTTTCTCTCTCAACCCGCTCCTCATATACTCTGCAGCTACCGCCTTCTTCCACCAAATCCCTCCTCTCTCTCCCCCCCTGGGTGATCCTTTTTGGTGATTTAACGCGTCATTCTTCGCGTCCCCGCTGCAGTTATCCAATCCTTGCTACAGCAACAACAACAACTGCTAATTATTGTTTGAATCTTTTTACTTTTTTTCAACTAATATTTCTTCCCGAGCAAAGGGAAAAATATTTATAAAAAAGAAAAAGAAAAAAAAGGGAATATTTATTTAACCTTGCTTTATAATTAGCACTATCTCAAGCTTCCTCCTTTTTCCAACCCAACTCTCTCATACAACTGGGACCTGGCACGTGTGACGATCTCCCGATTGGGGTTCTTACTTGAGAGATTGAAGTTTTTCTCTTTTTCATTTCATTTCTACCTACTTATTGCCATCATCCTCATATCACCCTCACCTCACCCTCACCTTCCCCCCCCCCCCTCCCGTTGGTTCAATTTATCTGCTGCCAGTTTGGGGATCTTGCCTCTTCCGGTCGGAACTCTTGGTGTGTGCTTAGTCAGCGATAGCTATCTTTTGCACGTGACCGCGACAGGCCACCGCCTCTTGGCAATATAAATTCCTCCTTCCTGTCGCATTCTCCACTTCCGACCTGCGCTACTCTCCATCTTTGCTTCCTGTATCTCTCCTCTCCCCGACAACCCCCGTGGCGTCGCTCCCTTTGCGACTGCGAGGTCATCGATTTTTCTAGCGTCTCCTGTCATCTAATCGGGTGTTTTCTGTTGCGCCACAGCTTCGAATCGATACTGTTAGTCTGATAGCGCACTTTACCTATCCAGTTGATATTTGGTTGCTGTCATTTCCCTAAATCCTCTCCACTGGATAGCTGGGCCAAGCTTCTCCCAGCCGCGCCATCTGTTAGATACTTGTATTGCGGCCTTCTCTCCTTCCGACCGGAGGGCCTAGATTAACACACCAACCACCAAAAATGGCGACGCCGCCTCCCGAGGCTCCCTCCGTCCTCAAGGAGAAGCCTCAACTGCCGCCGTCGCCAAATGGAGATGCTTCTGTTGACATCGATCCCACTGGGTACGTATCCCCATCAACTCCTTCCGTGGAGATGTGAAGTCGAAGTGTAGTTGTTGACTGGGCACCAGCATCCCGCCTGCTATGACTAATTCCAACGCGCCCCCGTCCGTCATCGGAACTGAAGCTGTCGCAAAGGACCCCAAGCTGGCCACCGTGAACGGCCATACACCCGATCAGCAGAATGGTGTAACTACAACTGCCTCTCCTCCAAAGTCTCCAGCTCCTCTGAGCACTGATGTCCGCGCGCCATCAGAGAAGCCCCTCAATGTGAGCTCCGAGATTAAGACAGAATCCACAGAGGAAAAATCTGCCTCGGCTAGCCAACCCGTCCAGCCGCCTACCAACGGTACCGGTGCTAGTCCCAAAGAGACCCAGCCCGCTACGAGCGTACCACCAGAACCATCCGATGCCACCGCCGATGCACAATCGCCAAAAGGCTCGAGCACAGTCAAAACAGAGCTGCCTCATCATCCCTCCACCGGTGCGCTGCCTGAAAGCACGTCAAACTCTACTGTTTCCGTTCCTACTCCACTCGTACCACCTCCATCCGGGGTAGATCAAGAAATGCGGGATGCACCCGATGTCCCAACATCCCCCACCAAACTCTCGAGGGAGCGCGAGCCGGAGCCGAGTGAGGAACCAGCCGCGAAGCGCACGAAGATCGGTACAGTGGGATCGATGTCGGCGGAATTCAAGGTTCCTGAGTTACCAACACCCACGACCGAAGGTCACAGAAATGCACTGGCTAATGGCGAGTCCGCTATGACCAAGGTTCAACATAAGTTCCTGCTCAAATCAATTCAAAGTTTGAAGCGCATGAACGATTCCCGCTTTTATCGAGAACCTGTTGATCCCATTAAACTGAACGTCCCTCATTATCCACAAATCATTAAACATCCAATGGACCTTGGCAGTATTGAGCTCAGATTGAAGAACAATCAATATAAGGATCCGCAGACTGTTGTTAACGACTTCCATCTGATGGTGCAGAACGCAGTGACGTTCAATGGTCCCGATCATTTGGTCTCTCTAGAAGGTCAAAGGCTAAAAGCTACCTTCGAGAAACAGATGGTCAATCTGCCTAAACCTGGTGAATCAGAAGACAAGAAGCCTAAGAAGGTCTCGCCTAAGACTTCCGCTGCTCGCCGAGAGCATCGAACCAGCTTAGGACAGACTGTCTCGCGCCCAACTGGTGGGTCACCACAGGCCCAGGTTACAACCTTTGCGCTTGGACCGGAGGGTCTACCTCTTATCCGACGTGATTCCGCCAATGCGGACGGCCGTCCCAAGCGTTCCATTCACCCTCCTAAACGTGACCTACCTTACTCAACGAAACCCAAGAAGAAGAAATACCAGTGGGAGCTGAAGTTCTGCCAAGAAGTTTTGGATGAATTCCACAAGCCAAAGCACTACTACTGCGCGGCTCCTTTTTATGTTCCCGTTGATCCGGTCGCGTTGAACATCCCCACCTACCACAGCATTATCAAGAAACCTATGGATCTTTCTACTATCCAATCGAAACTTAACACTGGCCAATACGAGAATTCCAAGGAGTTCGAGATTGACGTACGCCAAATCGTCAAAAACTGCTTCAAGTTCAACCTCAAGGGCGACCCCACCTACATTGCAGGAGAGAAGTTTGAGGAATTATTCAATCAGAAGTGGGCACAGAAGGGGCGTTATTTGGAAGCCCATGAACCACACCCTGAACATCATAGTGCCGAATCATCCTCCGAGGAGAGCGAGGAAGAGGAAGAGGAAAGCGACGATGATGATGAAAAAATCAATATTCTGAAGAAGCAGATCGCCGAGATGTCTCGACAAGTTGAGGCTATGACCCAGAAGAAAAAGAAAACTCCACCTGGGTCCAAGAAGTCCAAATCCAAACCTGCAAAGAAGGATAGCAGCAAAAAGAGCGGTGTAACTACCAGTGGCAGCAAGAAGGACAAGAAGAGCAGCACCAAATCATCTAAGCCCGAGAAGCAACGCTGGGTTACCTACCACGAAAAGCAGATCATATCAAACGGCATCAGTAGTCTTCCGGATAAGAAGATGCAGGAGGCACTCAAGATCATCCAAAGCAACGTTCCGGCTCTCAAGGTATGTGATATTTTAGTATCTCCATCTAGTAGATTTTACCTCTGACTTTATATACAGGGCACTCAGGAAACCGAAATCGAACTTGATATTGACGAGCTTCCCAACGAGGTCTTGCTGATGCTGCTCAAGTTCGTGAAGAAGAATGCGCCGCATGTGATGGATGAAGAAGATCTAGCCACGCCCATTGCGACTAATCCCCCCCCCGCTAAGCCCAAGAAGAATAAACCCATGAGCAAGTACGAGCAGGAGGCTCAAATTAACATGCTCGAAAGTAACCTTTCCCGCTTCCAGGGCGGCGGCAGTGGACGTTCACCCGACCCAGTCCCTTCAGTCGAGGCTAACGACAGCAGCGGCGACTCTGAGGATGATTCCGAGGAGAGTGAAGAGGAGTAAATCTTCGCTGGGTAATTCTGCTGTCCTATCGACGACTTCATAAAGTGGCTGGCTTTTAATCCCCTCCTCCCTTGACCACCCTTTCTTCTCTTGAGCCTTTGTGTTTCTTGTATTTGCCTTTTTTTTGCACTCTCGCACCCTCCCATACCTTGAGATCCTAATGAGATTCTCTCATCAACATGTTTGATATTAACCTATCCCACTCGACTTTTTTTTCCTCCCTCCAAACCACCTTTGACGCCCTTCAGTACACCCTTCAGTCTACCTATCGGGCGCTCAACCCCCCCTGTACATATTTGTTTACTTTTCTTCCGCGCGTTCTTCGGGAGGGTTGCTTGAGCCTTTTAATTTTTTCTTCTTATTTTCTGGTGGGCCGCTTTCGCGGTTTCCTCCTCTGCGCAGAGTGAAGATTAGCAGGGCGTGTCTGCAAACTACTTCCTTTTACTGCCTCCGTCCTTGTTTCACAGAAGTTATGGTTGCTGTTGGAGACGATTAAGGTTCGACTTGGTGAATGCTTTGGTATTGTCCGACAGTAGATCGAAAGCCCTGGTTGATGGTGCGAGGTGCATGTATGATTACTACGAAAGAAATGCGAAAACGGAAGCGAGGAAATGAAGCTTTGTACTTTTACACCTTTTTTCTGGTCATTGTGGACATGTAATGTATGTAGTAGTAGCCTTGGGTCTTGACAACGATTCAGGACTCCGGAAATATATATCCATGTAGAAAGTAGCACTCTTATCTGGGGTTTAGATCATGGCTCTTTGGTATTAATTTCAATCGCGCACATTCATCCAAAGTCACCAGAAGCAGGGACTCTGTAATTACAGACCTTTAGAACCTCAGGCAGCAAGCAGGTCACGAGGAAACCAAAACATCAACCGCCATCACCAAGTGGACGCCCGCATCGCATCCGGGAACTGTTCAAGCTATGTGAAGTAGCAAAAATGATACCTCCGTGTGATCCAACGATACTGGAAACCAACCCTCATTTTAAGCGTCTCTACCAACATTTGACGACCACATTGCTTAACCCAGATGGTTCGACGCGGGCCAATGACGCCCAACCCACAAGAAAAGCAGTTCAAGAAGTACGTCTCGCACAGCCCCTAAGATAACTGGAGAACAGAAAAGCGACTATGGAAGATTGGGTCCTTGAATCTAACCCACGATTTCCTTATTCGTTCAATTATATAGGAATTGAGGGATTGCCAGCTGCGCAATGCGAAGAAACAGATTAAAACGCAAACGCTCCGACAAATGGCGTTTAATCCTGATAGCGAACTGCCTGATGATGTGAGGAGATCTGCCTTCATTTGTATTATTTCCCTAGATTGAATTCCTAGCTAACATGGTATAATTATAATAGTGCCGAGAGCCTATTGCTGTCGTTTCCCTGTTCCTCGAATCCTCCCCTAGTCAGCTCGACCAGAATGACCAATGCAACGGAGGAGGAGACGTTCATACCTTTATCGCGCCGGATATCGACAAGTTTTACTCGAATCTACATATGATGATGCCCTCCTTTGCGAAAGTTCTCTCCTCTACTATGCGCGACCTCCGAATGCTCACGAATCCCGGTGACACCGCGGGATCGTCAACATCCGCGTCTATAGAGGACTCCCGACCACATATTCGGACTAGAAGTCGGAGTAAACTGGCGCCTTCAATCCCACTGTCCTCGCAGATAAGTGGTCGACTACGCGCCTTACGTGAAATGCAATTTTCAGAGCTTCCGGCAAGTCGGACCCAGATGGCGGCGACTGCGGCGGAGGTTCTTGCCTTACGAACCGAAGTATTGGAGCGGACGGTTACACTTCTAGAGCGGGCGAAACATGGTGCCTTGGCTCGTGCTACGAAGGCCAAAGCGGAGCACCTGGCTACGGTAGCGCATGGCGTGGAGGGCAAGCTAAAGTACGTGTTGTACGCAATACAAAGCACATTCCACTAGAGCTAACATGAGCTGATTCGATAGTGTGATGAGATTGGATATTTTGGCGGCCATCCACACGCCCGAGGTTAGTGCTGCGCTCAACAGATACCACCAACATCTGCGCGATACACGAGAAAGATTGGAAGAGAGGAGAGAAGCTGCGCTAGAAGAGCTGAAGGCGTATGAAGACGCGGATTCAGCCACCAATAGTGGGATTCGAGGCCCTGCGAAGTCTGGGCCAATTGGGGAAATCGCGCGCCGTTACGGAACTTTAATCAGGGAAATAGAGGACGTGAAAACGGAGATTCACCGACTAGGCGGGTAGTACCTGCATAATCTTTGCGTCCAGACATTTGCTTTTGTATGCGAACCTCTATAAAGCGCGCGCCCCTCAGTCACCTGACCGTCCCGCCACAAGTACAAGTTTTCCGCGCAAAAAGAATGGCGAATGAATCATTTTCAATCCCCTCGACCAGTTTAACCACATCTTTCTTTCTTCCTTTTTTTTACAAAGGAAGGATATATTTCGACAAATAGCAAAATGGCTGACGATGCTATTTCCATCTATGACGAGATCGAAATCGAAGATATGACTTTCGACCCGAATATTCAGATCTATCACTACCCTTGTCCCTGTGGCGATCGGTTCGAGATTGCTATCGATGACCTCCGGGACGGCGAGGACATTGCCGTGTGCCCTAGCTGCAGTTTGATGATTCGTGTTATCTTCGATGTGGTTTGTCTCCCGTCTTAAACCGCTTAAGGCCGTTCACTTTTCTAACCCCTCTAGGCCGATCTCCCCAAGGACACGCAGCAACCACCGAGCGCAGTTCCAGTCCAAGCATAAAGAATATCTGAAATGGCCAGAAAAATGAACTGACTAGGCTTCGGGCTTGTGACTCAACTGAATTCCGATAAACGTCTCACACGAATCCACCACCATTCGAGGCTGTGACCAGTCTTCATGGAGAACTGCCAACACTCCCCGCAACGAGACAAACGGACCCATCGAGTCTGTAACAGACACGCCCTCGACCGCATGAAGAAGGGATTGAAATATATATATATTTTTTTGCCCGCGCCGTCTACATGAGTTGGGAACGAACACCATCCCACAACGCTATATTTAACTTGATTTAACTTGATAATCAAGTGTTACGGTTAGGAATGGAACAGGGCATAAACTATCAGAGTGTCAAAACCTTTGTTGCAAGTTAGCCATTGGCCGGCGTCATTGGAACACAAATTATGCATTGGGAATACGGGATTGAAACATCTTCAGTTGCCAAAAAAGTATGCGGATTACATCTGCGCAGCAAGTCAAATGTATTACTTGATGCCGACCAAGTATTATATATGTATAGATATTGCAGTGTACATCTGCTTGATCTGTATAAAACAAGACAAAAACTCCGCACACAAGGGGAAAAAAAGAAACTTCCTATCCTAACACCCCCAATCCAAGTCAAATGTAAACCTCTCACTCAAGTCATACAAAACAACCGGTCAACGAAGCCTTCCCCTTTACTTCTCAACAGAAAGCGAAGCAAAGGAAAGAGAAACGAGGGAGAATAAATTCCTCACTCATCAACCTCACTGTAAACATCCTCCGGAAGACTCAGCCCCAATTCCCCATTCAAGAGATCCGTCAAGTTCGAGCCATCCCGGAGACAGATCCACTGTCCATTAACGAAGGGCCGTGTATCCTGCTTTTCGTGCATGTGGTCACCCTCGATAACCCAGTCGTAGCGCTTGGGGCCGGAAATGGGGGAACTGAGCCAGATTTGCTTGTTGGGGGGTTGTTTGTTTAGAACGTAGGTTCCGACAGCTGGGACGGAGATGTTGAGGACTCCAGCCTGATGATATGTATGGTATGGAATTGATTAGCTTTCTCTCTCTCTCTCTCTCTTTTCAAGGTTCTGGTTGTTAGATGGGGGAGGGAGGCGCTGATAACGAGAAAAGAGGAGAACAAACACTATACTCCGCCTCCATGTCTGATCCCTCCTCCTGGACATTTTCAATCTCGGTCTGGAGCACGTTCAGGTAATGTTCCGAGTGCTCGTGGAACTGTTGGTCCGTTAGAGGCGACGGCTCGGAAGCGTGGGTGGTGGTGGATTGCGGGTTGGGAGCTGGCGGGTCGGATGAGTTGGGGAAGATGCCTTTTTGGATCCCAGCGGTAGAGTGGAATCCTTGACGGGTGGATGGGGAGGAGAAGAAAAAGAATCTGGGGCTTGTATTGGATTGGAGACGAGACGCAGCTCTTGGTGGTGCGCGGATCCGGGCGACATGATGGAGAGCTTGGGAGGCGCGGCGGGATAACATGGTGAGTTAGGTAGGTGGTTGTTTAACGGGTTGTGGAAAGTATTGTACAATGCAGCTGGGATTGGAATTAAGAAGGGGAATGGGAAAGGAATTGAACAGAGGTTGGAAGAGGACGTGAAGGAGGAGAAAAGCGGAGAAAGTTGGGAAATCCCGAGTTGATGGCATCACATTATATCATCGGACCCGCGCTCATGTCGAGCGATGTAAGATCCCGAGCTTCTGCAGCTTCGATCTGGATTATTCCTCTTTCACTTCTGCTATCTCAATTTGATTGGCTTTCTGGCTTATATCACATTATACATACCTCATGAGATCCCTCCTCCGGCCTCTCTGGCTCCTATCGTACCGCCGCACATACTACACTGCTCGCACAACCATGTCTGAGAACTTTCCAAGCAAGACCCAGACCCAGAACCACAATCAGAAACAGAGAAAACCGAAGAAGCCTCCGTTGACGCATTTCCTTTGTCTTCCCCTTGTCAATGATATATCCCTCCCTCAGCTGGAATCCTCCCTCTTAACATTCGAATCCTCCATCCCACCAACCCCCACAGCGCCACACCACCACCAGCCTCATCCACTCATCCCACAAGATGCAATACGTCCCGTGGGGACTCTTCACCTTACGCTCGGGGTGATGAGCCTCCCTACCCCAGAGCGACTCAATGAAGCACTGCGGTTCTTCAACTCCCTTGACCTGGTCGCTTTGATGCGCCAGGCGGAGAACACCGCGCAAAAGAAGCGGCTGAATGCCGCGAAAAAGAGAAAGCTCCCAGAGTCTATCAAGCGAGAGACCACAACCCTTACAGAAGGAAGAAATGAAGGAGTAGCAATCGCAGGAAAAGACAACTCTTCTGTATCCTCGGATCAACTAGCTACTACTACTACTACTACTACTACTACTACTAGTATAACAGGGGAAAACCCACAGGATGAGTTTGTATATCCAACCCCATCGACACCTACACCATTCACCATCTCCCTCGAATCCTTGCATGCCCTACCCCGTGCACGCTTCGCAACAGTCCTCCACGCGGCGCCTGTCGATCCCACATTCCGCCTCTACCCATTTTGCGAACTACTCCGCGACCGCTTCCTAGAAGCCGGCTTTTTGCAAGGCGAATACAAAAAGCACCCGGATAATAATAAAGACCCCAAATCGCGGAAAGAACAGGGATCACACCGTTCCGACCCGGACCCTGAACCGGTAGTAGCAGAAGAACCGAGTCTTCTCGAAGAAATGCCCACCGAAATCGCCGAAGAACCGGCAAGGAAATCGGATTCTCATGTTGCTACAACACCTACACCTACACCTACAACTATCCCTAACTCTACTACTGCTACTAACCCTGACTCAAAACAAAAGACAGCGCCACAATTAAAGCCTCGCCCGCTTCTCTTGCACGCGACAGTAGTGAATACAATCTACATCCGCGGAAGAAAGCGGGCTGGAGGCAGGGGCGCACATGGCGAACATCACAAGGGTAATAGCCGCCGGAACAGCCAATACACGTTTGATGCGCGGGATATACTATCTCATTATCGGGATTTCTATCTCGATAGAGAGAGAGTAACCTCGCGGTCCAACATGATCACCCCTACCCTTACTCACACAGAAACGGAGAACGAGAATACAATACTAAGAAGGACTGGAGACGAAGAAATCACCACCACCACCACCACCACCAGCAATGACCCTGCCCTGATGCGAGATGAGAGGGAAATGTCCCCCGCCGCTCAGTCGATACCGCTAGAGAGTTATGAGAAAGAGACCCAGCCCCCGTATCCCTTTGTCTGGGCGAGGGATTTCCCGCTGGAGACGCTTTGCATCTGCGAAATGGGAGCGAAGAAGCTGGATCTAGATGCCGACGAGAGTGGGCTGAATGCTCGTCTACGAGAGAAGTATATGGTTGTTGCACAGAGGGGTTTGGATTTTGGATCATCGAGAGGTGGTTGAATTCCTTGAGATATAGATAGTTAGGTATTTAGATTGTGACCGGAGGCCGTCAAGTATAACTATGTAACTGGTGAAATGCCAAGTAGGTAGGTAGGTAGTGCGTAGGATTTACAAAGATAATAATATAAGATAAGATGATATAGTGTGTAAGTTATCATATCATGCACAGAATCTACTCAGAACAAAAAAAAAACCACCTCTCCAACAACATAATGATAGAAAAACTCCAAACACCACGCTAGAAAGACAAGCAAGATCCCCCCCCCCCAAGAAAAAAAATCACCGTATTCTACTCATAAGAGTCTCCAACCCACGCTCAACCGACAACTCTGCAGCTTTCGCCTTCACAGCACTCACCATACTACGTTCAAAGTCATCTCTCGTCCTTAGCACAGTCTCGATCCACGACAGCTGCAAATCCCAGTATTGAGTCTTGAAGCTCTCATAAACCGTAACCACCGGCGGGCCCTTCTCCGCCTCAAGTAAACGCACCAACCAATCGACAAGCCTCCACTTCTGCTTGATGGTCCCTGCAAACGAGTCCGGGTATTTCTGGAAGAAGGCGAAGACGGTGAGGACGTCGTCCGTGAATTTGTCGGTGTAGGGGTCCGTGTGCCGGCGGAACTTGACGCCTTTGTTGCGGACGGAAGATAAATACCGGACAAGAAGCTCGTCGGAGAGCTCCTCGACGAGGATATCGGTGAGAGAAGGGTGGAGAACCGGACTGTAATCTGCCATGTAGTCTTCAAAGGTAGAAGTGATGCGTTTGACGGCGAAATCGCCGTACCATTTCTGGCTGAAGAATTCGGGGATCGTAGTGCGCAGATCGACTGCGAAAATGACTTCCACGAATTGAGAGAGGCAGTAGGTACTCAGGTCCACGTAGCCGTCTCGAAGAGCATCCAGCTCCGGGACGGCTCGCGAGGCCATGTACTTTGGGTCGACATATTGCTCGATGTCCCGGCGGAATCGGGTCAAGTATCCGAACTGCCCTGCTTCGTCGTTATCGTCAATACAGGCGATCTGATCGTTGGCTACGGCCACGAGCCAATCCTGCAGCAACTGCAAACCCTCGAGCTGATCGCCGCCGGGGGCCTTGTATTTGGCGCATTCTTCGTCGATGAGCGCTTGCCAGTTGGTCTGGCGGGCTTTGAGCACCCGGAACATTGCGTCCATGATGCCCTCTATTAAATCGGAGCGGGAAGACGAACTGGACGCGAGAACCTGCTCGTGGAGCATCCGCCACATGTCCGGTAGAGTCTGGGTTCGAAAATGGCCCTCCCCGTTGGTATCCAAGGAATCAGGAATCCGTTCGGTAAGAGCCTTTCGGTCAGTTTCTGTGATTCGGTCCATCCATTCTTCAACGGCTTGAATGATGACATTCTGCCACCGTCGGATGAGATCAGGCTCGCGGTTGTCGAGGATATCGAAACCCAGGTCAGGCGCCTTCCAGCCAAGTTTATCCATCTTTTTGTAATACTTTGCCCTCCAGTGGAGAATCGCAAGCAGATTGTCAGCTGCTAGCTCGGGGTCATTGATCATCTCGATGAGAAAATCGTGCATCATGCGGTGGTAGACGTTGGTATAAGTTTTGTAGATCTTCCATTTCTTCGGCATCAGCGACTGCATGCCCTGTTGCACTGTATAAAGATCGTTGAAGAACCAGCGGAAGTCCTTCTCCAGATTCTCCGGGTCACCCAAAAAGTCCTCCTTGGTATTATTGAACTGGTTCTGGGCATAGAACTCAATTGCCTGGAGAAACTTCTCCTTATACCCCCTGACCGTCCTGGGCCCTACGTTCATAGATTTGAACCGACCAGCCAAATCCTGGTGATCCCTCTGCGCCTCCTGCAACGCGCGCACCGTGTCATCATTCTTCTCTTCATTCATCACCACCACCGCAAGCCGCACGACCATACTCGGATTATCCGACTGCAGTAGCGGAATGAGGTTCATGCAGGCGGTGCCCAAATGATCATCAAACCAATCAACCACCGAGTCCAGGCCCTGGAAATAATCCTCCAACGTCGCCTCATTACTCGGGTCCTGCGCCTTGCGAATCTGATCCATGGCCTCGTCGCGAAAATCCCGCAGTCGAGAAATAAGCATATGCACCCGGAGCAAATTCGGCTGGTTTTCGATATCCTCGTCATCCTCCCGCAAGAGAGACTCGACCTCGGCCAAATCGGCGCTGAAATTCTCCAGCCCTTTCTTCATTGTCAAGGTCGCCTCAAAGTTCCGCTGGATCTTCGCCAGTTGGTCGATTTGTGAAAAGTCGTCCACGCTGTTCTGTGACTCCTTGCAGAGCTTGTCAATTCCTTGCAATTCATCCTTCGTCTTCGATACCTGGCGCTGGCCCTCTGTAAGCGCATTGATGCTGCGCTGCACAGTCGCTAGCTGGTCCCGGAGTCCCTCGCGGAGCTGCGAATCAACCGCTGCTTTCTTCCGTGTGTATTCCGCTTTCAACCCGATGATCTTATCCAGGTCCTCAGGGTGTCGCAGGAGGTCCTCTAACTTGGGCATAGCCACCGCTCTATCGGAGTCTCCTGCGCGGGCCATTTTGATTCTGATCTGTAAAGCTAGACGTCACAACAACGGTGGGGAGAGTCATTAACGTTAATAAGTACTCCGTAGTATATAATAGCAATCGAATTCGTGTGCCGCATGAAGATTCACCCTGCCCTCTCATGCGACCATTTTATCTTGCATGAAAGAAAAAAAAAAGAACAAGAGAAGAAAGAAAGAAAGCCAAAGAGTAAAGCTACCGCGGTAGTTGTAAAAGTACCTGTTCGTTCGTTCATTATAGCTGCGTGGTCCAAGACCCCGGCAGAACACATCCCCACGTGACTCTCCGCCTCCGAAAGCCGACGTGAAATCAGGAAAACCCAAAATTTCCAGCTTCAATACGGAGTACCTTCTCACCTCAACGGAGAGATTCAGCAATTTCAAGTCCCAAAAAAGGCTCACACGTTCCTATACTTCAGCGGCTCTTGCCCTATTTACCCAACTGGAACCAACCACAGCCGTGCCAGAACACTTCGGTGCCAAAACTACCATACCACACGACCACCACCTACTTCCGTCCAAACCTAAACCATCACTCCAACCCCTTCCTCGCCCAATCTCAAAAAAAAAAAGCAAAGAAAGGAAGAAAGAAAAGGAAGAAAAAAAAATGAGCTATTTCCGAATCACCCTGGTTCGATCCGCAATCGGTCTCCCCCGCCGAACAACAGACGTGCTCAAGGCCCTCGGTCTCAAAAAGCGCATGGCAACCGTCTTCCATCCCGTTTCGCCATCCGTGGCAGGTCAAATCATGAAAGTCAAGGAATTGGTCGATGTGCGTGAAGTCGAACGCCGATTAACGAAACAACAAGTGCATTTGGAGCGGAAGCCGGATCCGGGATATTATGTTGAGAAGACTTCGGGCGTGGAGAGGAGTGAGATGAGAGGAGAGTAGAGTAGACTGGGCTCTTCTTCTTCTTTGAAAATTTCTCATGTTTTTTGTCTTCCGATTCCTCTTCTTTTGTTCTTCTCTTCTTTGCATGTATGATTCGATTCTTTTTTGATTGGGTTCGGGTTTCATTCGATCCCGCCAAATCTTTTTTTTTTTTTTTTTTTTTTGCTTCCGTGGCCGGAGTCTGGATTATTGAGGTTATCGACGATATTGGAAGAGGTGAAGTCGTTCGTGAAATATGCCTGTGGCATTTTGAAGGTTGGGAATGAGAAGCGCATAATACTGGCTTCCTTGATTGCATGAAGCGATGCCTTATATTTTTGTCACTGTACTATATACATCTATTGTTACAATACTTCTCAAAATCTGGAAATCTTGAACTTATAAGAATTTACCCTGAAAATGCCTGGGAGGGGCGTGGTAAAGATAAAGATTTTCAGTCTAGGAGGTTAGAAAACAGAACAATAACCTTCAACACCATAACACCGTTTCCCCCTTATGTGATGAGAGAAGATCAGGGTCACCCGGGAGTAAAAACCCCCATCTTACGTGGGACACCTCACACTCTTGGATGCATATTAACAGTACAAGTATTCGGGAATGTGGCCGAAGCCAGTTTTAAGCTTTGTATAACGTGTCAAGGAAGCCTTCTGCAAGGCGGCTCACAATGCTCTTGTCAGGCATGCTTCCAGCCACACCATAAAGGGCTGCAGTGTCACCGCGTTTGATGATATATGACTTGCCCTGTCGCTTCCTCTCCTCGGCCTTTTCCAGTTCCTTGCCAACAACCTCAACCAGGTCCGAAGTGAGCTTATCGACGGCAGCGGCCGTGGGGATGGTGAAAGCTACATGGATCGCCGGAGGAGATTGAAGGGCGTTGAGGTGCCAGCCTTTCGCCGATAAATCATCTGCAATATCGTAGATATAGATAGCAGGGTTCTTGCATTCGAACGCAACAACACTGACCATGGGCTTTCCCACAATTCCAAGGTGGTTGGAGAGTCGTTCGTCCTCCATGATGGATGATTCGAACTTCTTAGCCGCATTGACAATATCAAGACAGCTTTTAATATATCCAGCTTCTCCAACGCTCATGAGACTGGCCCAGCAGCCTGCAATCAAGGCACCAGGGCGGGAACCAGCGACGCCGGGAGATGCGTAGACACCGCCAGACCAGTCGGGGTAAATGAAATACTGATGGCTGCGATATACCCGGTTGCGATACAAGAGGACCGAGTTACCCTTAGGGGCGAATCCGTATTTGTGGGTGTCAACACTGATACTGGTTACTCCTGGTTGGCGGAAATCGAAACCGCCCTCTTCTTCATATGGCGAAGGGAACCCTGCCTTCTTGAGGTGGGCGATGACAAAAGAACCCAAGCAGCAGTCGACGTGGAGAGGGACCTTGTAAAACGTGGCGAGTCGGGACAAAGCCGGGATATCATCAACCATTCCGTGAGGGAAGTTTGGTGCAGACCCAACAAGCAGAACAGTGTTGGGGTTGATCAGTCGTCGCACGGCAGCAATATCGACCTTATACTCAGGAGCAGGACAGGGAACGCGGTGCAACTTGATCCCAAAGTAATTAGAGGCCTTGATGAAGGCAGCATGTGCGGTATCGGGAATAATCCTTTAGACCGGTCAGTCAGAAAAGAAAACACCCGATCGAAAGGGAGTTGCTATAGCTCACATTTCGGGCTCAGTCACACCTCGTTCGGTAAACGCCTTCTGACGCGCCCCAAGACAGGCCATAAGAATAGATTCAGAACCACCGCTGGTCGTAACACCGGCGCCATCAGAAGGACCATTGAACAAAGCAAGCACCTGTTTTCGGCCCAGTTAGCATCTATGCAGTGCCCGAATCCTCTTCTAAAGATTGAAATACCATTGCGACGATCTCCGCCTCCATCTTGCGCACACCAGGGAAAACATCAGGGTGGATTGGATTCGCGACACCGAATTGCTCAAAGGCCTCGGCCTGGATCTTCAACAGGTCCTTGCCACCGTGGTACACTGCACCACTAACCCGACCATCTTCCCATCTTGTATGTTCCATATTCGCAAGCTTGTCGAGTTCGGCGCGTATCTGCTCGGGGGTCCATGCCTCCTTGGGCAGGGTCAAAAATCGGGTAACGCCAGGTCCAGATGCTACGAGCTTCGATTCGAGATTCTCAATGGCCGTTGAAACCTGCTTATCGACTTGCCCGCGGACTCCGGGGACACGTAGGAAGACAGAGTAACAGAAAAGGCGAATCGACAGGAAAACATGGCGGATGCCGCCAAAGAGACCGTAGCCTCGGAGGAAATAGAATGTCTTGCGAACGTAGCGGAAGAGGAAGAGAATGAAGATAAGATTTCGAATCCTGCATTTTCCCGCAAACCTCATGTTAGAGATAAAATACCCAAATCTAGAGCTTTAACTGGACCAACAAAGACTATGTGTATGGCAAACCCGGACGATGGGAGATCGATGGATGCTCCACTTACAAATCCAAGTTTAGGATAGCCAGCTGAGCGCCGTGAGTTTTGCTATAGCCCAGCAGCTTGTTCTGCAGCGCGACTGGCAGAACAGAGGAAGCCATTCTCCCCCCTTGCTATGCTATTCAAGCCTTGGTAACAATAAACGAGGGGAAAATGTCGAAGGTAGGTAGGTAGGTGGGGTGGAGTAGAAGGAAATATGGGGGAGAAGAGTCTCTTGTTAAAGGAAGCAGGACGAGAACCGAAGGAGGGACGGATCTCGGGTTTCGGAAGCCACAATGCGCTTGTGTTGGAGAGAACTGCTAGTAGATAGGTGGTTAGTTAGTTAACCTAATAAAGTAATAATGACAAAACAATAGAAATCACGATGATTGGAGCCGGCACTCACCCAAGTAAGGCCCTTAATCATGGTACAGAGAGAGATAGTTACAGAACAGTGGAGACCGAACGGTCCGGAAGGCTGCCTCGGCTACTTTCGCATCCCACTCCGTGATGGGAGTTACAAGAGAAAGAGTTATAACTGGTGCGATGGAGTCTACCAGTGGAGTTTGCAGAAACCAAGTGTTTAAAATCTTGTCGTACCTACTACTTTATCTATATATTCTCCATTCTAGGAACTGCACTGCTGCGGCCTGTTTATATACAGGGCCCATCTGTAGGACCAAAGCTCGCATCACACCAGTCTCTCTCCCTCTGCTTTTGTTTCAGGGATAAAAAAACCCACTTTTTGGAACCCCCAAATAACACAAGATGAATATCCCAGTCCACATAAATAAACACCAGTTCATGAAAAACCAAAAAGAAAAAAAAAAATTAAAGAAAGGAAATCCACGTCTCTCTTCTTGCAAGGAGTCGCTTGGGGAATATGATCAAAGCTCTAGGAAAACAGGGTCACCGTATTCCAAATGGAATAGTTCATAGCAAATGAGAGAAAAAAAAAAAGAAACAGAGGAAATGAAGTGCTCGTTTAAGCGGCAACGCCCTGAGCAGCCAGCTCCTTTTCCTTGGCAATGAATTGAGCATGCTCATCAGCGGTCAGATCAAGAAGAGGCTTGTTCTCTCCGGATTTGAGGTTGCGGTAATAAGCGCGGATGATGCTGTCAGCATCGTCAACGGCAATGGGGCGGATATCAGCCAGGGCCTTGATCTTGGCGGTGCACTCCTTGTACTGGTCATCGGTCATCTGGACGTTGAGTTGCTGAGCACGCGACTTGATGGCATTCCAACCGGTCAAACGCGAGGCAAAGTGGACGTATCTTGTCATACCGAAATCAGCGGGGTTGATGATCTCGTAGGTACTGGGGTTGTTGAGGATGGCCTTGGCGTGGATACCGGCTTTGTGCGTGAAGGCACAGAAACCGGTGATGTAGTTGTTAAAGGGAATGTTAACCTCCACGGCCTCGGCAACGAGATCTTCGATATCCTTGAGCTTCTCGAGCTTATACTTGCCCTTAACGTACTGGGGATCGGCAACCATCATGCGGGCCATGAGACCCCCCAGAGGGGTGATACCGTTGCGCTCACCGATACCGAGAACGGAGGTATCGATGTGGGTAGCACCAGCCTCAAGAGCACAGTAGGCGTTAGCGATGGCGCAGCCGGTGTCGTTGTGGAAGTGAGTTTCAATGTCGCAGCTAACGACGCCTCTCAGAACGCGGACGAGCTCGTAGACTTGGCGAGGGGACGCACAGCCAACGGTGTCGGCAATACCAACACGGTCGACACCAACCTGGTCAACGGCGGAGTAGATAGAGAGGAGGTCAACGAGGTCAGAGCGGAAAGAGTCCTCGGAGGAGAAACGGATCTCAATGCCCTTGGACTTAACAAAGTTGATGACTTCAATGGCAGTGTTCTTGATGTAGGTCATGTCCTTACCGTGAGAGTGCTCACGAAGATAAGAAGAGGTTCCAATGACGACGTCACTGTGCAAATGGATCAGTACAGGGCCAATAGGTACACGCAAAACAAAGCCTTCCCACAGAATTGAAACTTACACTCCGTCGACACCAGTCTCAACGGCAACCCGGGCATCATCCATGTGGCATCGAATGTGAGTAAGGATCTATATAAATTATTAGTGACGGGATGCCATCATCAACTGGGCTCGCAGTTGAACGTACCTTGGCCTTGAGACCTAGCTTGCAGATGGCCTCACAGTCACGTCGGGACTGCTCTGAAGCACAGGGGCTAGTAAGCTCGATCTAAATCACCATTAATCGTTAGCGATTATCCTTGTTAAGAATAACGATATTCATCTGGTATGACTCACATAGTCGACACCAAAGTCATCGAGAGCCTTGGCAATCTCGATCTTCTTCTCGGTGTCGAAAAAAGCATTGGCGAATTGCTCACCCTCACGAAGAGTGCTCTCGATGATCTTGAAGCGGGAGACGTTGCTCAGGAAATCAGTAACACCAACGTTGTGGCCGTAGGGGTTGCGGGTAGCAGAGGGGTGAGGGTTCTGGCGGGTTTCGACAGCAGTGTAGCCGGGATGGTTTCCTTGTTAAGAAATCAGCTACAGGTGATCGGGAAGGGAGATTATCTTAGACGTATGACTGTACCTTCAGAGTGGCCGTTAACGCCATTTGTATGCCCATTGGGCTCGTTGTCTGCACCAGGGCACATTGTGCGAAAGATAGATAGTGGGGGAGGGGATGCCTAATAATCTCAATCCGGAAAATGGTGGGATGGACTAGAAAATATGGTGAGTTAGGTACAGGTGACGAAGTATGAGAGAGCGGGGATGGAAGAGGAGATACTAACACTCGAGTCCACGGGTGAAATTCAAGTGTTTATATGCTTTAGCAGATGAAAAGGAGTCAAGAAAAGAGTCATAGGCCTAAGAGAGAGAAAGAGAGAAGAGAGAAAAGTGGGTGGAGTTTTAACAAAGCGGGCAATCTACTATGATTGATTAATCATTCACAGACTATGATGACTCCTCTCTCTGCTGCTGGCGGCGGCAATGAAAAATTTCACACACGCCGAGCACCGCAGTTGGAACTTTTTTTTCTTTTCCCTCATTTGTGGGGAACCTGCGTCCATTTGCTGCACATTAAACAGTCCAATTACTACTCTATAGCTTCCAAAGGAGAGAAAAAATCATAATAATTCCCCCAGTTTGATCAGTCTAGTTAATCTATCTAGTCATTGTTATTACTACTTCGAATTGTTCTTTACTACCTACTAGTAGTAGAAGTAGAAGGTACTTGAACAATGAATTAATGGAAAGGCATCCAAATCATTGTCTTCGATTCGGTATTGTCCAGCGTAATTTCTATACCATACACTTCGTAATTTTCCTCTGTACCCTGGAAAGATTTGCCACAGCAGACCCTGTCATGTCGCGAGGGTGAGTCCACTGCGTGCTTGTTTATTTCAACTTTTATTTTCATAGCCTTATTCTCATTGAGGTATGACCTGACATTGTGAACTTCCATCCTTGCGCGTGAGAGTGGGTATTCTGTACTTGGTTTATATCATTTTTAAAGGGGGCCGACATCGGCTGGTGGTAGAAGAAAGTCCGAATGAAGAAGTCGCGAGGGCGATTTTCAACCAACCTCAGACCTAAGGAAAGTGTTTTCCTATTACAGTTTATTACGGGTTAAAAGTACCAAAAGTACTGGCGTCTAGAAAGTCCAAAATTGATAATCAAGGGTCAAAGCCTGGATCCTTATTTGTTGTAAGCGACGTACCTAAGTCTGTAATTCTTTTGAATCATTAGAGAGAAGCGAGAATACTTTTCTCTCGTTGGTGGTCGCCATGGGAAATGATCGAATAATAGCCATGGTAAGTCCTGCCCAGCACTTAGTAAACCCCGAACTTTATGCTTTCTCTCTATCTATATGTATACCTTGGATAGGATAATAGCCTCTGCGGGCATTGTCGCCAAGTTTCCAATTATAATAGTTCATAAAATACATACCCGTAACGCGGATGCTAATTCATTGTTGATGGTTGAAGCTTTCCCCATAGTCGTTTGACTCACACCCCAGTTAAGAATGTATGGATGCCCTGATCTAGAGGCCTCGGGAAGCGGAGTATGAACAAAGAGAGACGACGGCTTTTCCCACTCCCTCTCATGGGTATCATATCATATCATATCATGGCCATGCCAGCATGCTAATTTTGGGCCTTCTCAAACCGCCCAGCTTTTTAATTTAGACACATCCCGTCTGAAAGCATAGCTACCAGTGCGCTCGAGTTCATTGTTGTACCTATTTGAAGTAGTCCCTTCAAGCAGCCCTGCCTCAAGGTCATCCGAATATTTCTTCAAAACGGTAGATTCGTCGGAATCACTACTTTGCTTTCTATCATTCTCCAGGCGCTGAGTCTTGGATTTCCCGATGCCGTATCCCTTGTTTCGAAGTTGGGTGAAAGTCCGCATAATAAACATCCTGTTCTTTCGCATCCCACAGACTAAGCCAGCCACAACAGCAACCACAACAGCAAGGCTCACCGGAAGACCTATGTAAAGTGCCAATTTATTGAAAGTGGCCGGTGGAGAAGGTTTGGAGTAGTTTAAAGGTTTAGGGCGAAGCATAATGGTCGGGCCCTGTCGAGCGCTAGCCCGACGATCCAAGGTAGGGTCAAGCTCGATAATGTAAAGAGTCAGTGAGTTATTGGCTTTACCCTGGAGCCATTCGTAGCGCATATGAATAGGGATATATCCGTAGCTATTAGCCGTCCTCTTGGATGTGAATGCTGAGGTCCCTTCGGCTGAGTCTGAGTATCTCAGCTCAATGTTTACAGTAGCATTAAGAGGATAAAAGTCGGCATTCCACGTTACATAGTATGTTGTGTCAACCAGGACATCTGCGCCATTCACTGGAAGACAGAATGGCACAAAAGGACCGTTAAAGTCAGTGCAGATCGGGAAGTCACCAGAGGAGATCCGGTCAGAACTGTTGTTTCGCTCTGGAATGATACTGTCGGGGCTAGAAATGGATCCATTCGCCAAACTTGTTCCTATTAAGCATATAGAATCAACCAGGTCAAAATCTGTTCATGCTATGACTCGATTGCTTGGCCATACTAACCGAGATCAGAATTAATGTCTCGTCCCACGACAGCCCCGAGGCTGTAGCTTGCAAGAGCTATAGTTGTCAAGAGTATGACAAGTTGGTTCCAAAAGACCTCACGGTAACTCGGTGGTTGCCTCATAATAGATGCAAGAAGGGATACGTCAGGTAGAAGTCAAGCAATCGATAACTGTTTCCCGTGCTAGTGGGTTAATCAGATGCCCAAACAATAATCTGACACGACAAAGACTTAGAAAAGATATTTTGTGGTGCTTTATTCTGGGTTGATGATGCGTACTTTGCGGGTAGAAAAGCGATTCAAGAAAAAGACTGGATGGCATAGGGAAGGCGCCATCTTATGAGCGCAAGCGATAAATTTGGAAGTGACCCCCTTAGGACTACCCATCATAGCTATTAAATTGCAATTCCCCCGCTGGCAAAGTTGAATAGCTGTACCAACTATGGTTTGATTGAGGGTTCCGCAACAAATCAACTCTGTTGGAATGGACAAAACACTATTACTCAGAGGAACAGTTCTAGATAATCATGTATCAGAGTAGATTCACCACCTTTTAGACTCAGATCGCATGAAGGTTGGAGAATACCTACCTAAGTATTGGTGATGGGAGTTTCATACATTCTTCCTTGAGTTGATCGGATGATATAATCAGCCTCTCATACAACAAACAGGGTAAACACCAACTCCCCAGGACGATGATGTTACAGCTTTCTTCCTGCCATATTACATACAAATTTGAATTTGAATTTTTCTGTTTTCTGTTTTCTTTTCTTTCGAGGGCTTCTTCGAAGCTTCCAGTTCCAGTTCCCCGCTCCCGAAGCTGCCGTGCCAGTCGGGGCATTGCCATTTAGAGTTAGGCCACCTGTCGCGGGCAGTCCGTGTATCGTGGCTATTTCAATTTAGCCAGAACACGGTTCCTAAGCTGCCTACTCCGTACTGTCCGTTCTTTGGCCTTTCCAACCGTCCAGTCCTCTCCAAAGTGCGCCTGCCATCTCATCCATCAGCCCAGGTTTGTTCATTCCATCAGTATTGTATATTTCGATGACTTTAATGCTTACCAACGCATGATTCTTTGATACTAGCATCATGCGCTTCATCCAACTTCTCGTCCTCGTCCCAGCGCTGGCTGCGGCCCAGGAGCAGCAGGTTCCTCTCGCGGACCGTGTTCAGGGCTGGTTCAACAAGGCCAAGTCTTATCTACCTACTGCGACTCCGGTTATCCCTGTCGTCGAGAAGGTCGCTGAGCCAGTGAAGGTTGTCAAGGAAAAGGCTGTTATCCCTTTCAACCTGACTAACTGGGAGGGGCTTCTGGAACCATCCTCAGAGCCTCAGGATTGGCTTCTTTTCATCACTGGCGGAAATAAGACTTGCTTTGGCCGTTGTGCCCAGGCGGACAAGTCGTTCAATGTAAGGCCGTCCGTCCATGGGGGAAATGAAGACGGTAGAAATGGACTGCACTGATATAGGGGCTAATCGTTTCGTTTTATAGGAATCCGTCCCCCTTTTCGCCGCTGATCCCACATCTCCCAACCTTGGTTACCTGGATTGTGAATCTAACCAGCTTCTTTGCTCCATCTGGTCTGCCGGTGCTCCTTCCGCTTGGTACTTCAAGGTCCCTGAGGCTCAAGCCAGCGGAGAGCGCGCTCCTACCGCCCTGCACATGGTCTACCTCAACACCACCACCGTTACTCCGCAGACGATCTATAGGATTCACGCTGAGAAGACCTATGAGAAGAGGCCTGCCTACGATGGCGCTTTCCACCCCACGGATGGCTGGTTGGCCCAGTATGGTCTGCTTGTGCCTGTCGGCTATATTATCTACGGCTTTGGTGCTGTTCCTAGCTGGCTCTTCATGATTCTTGTTAGCTTTGCCAGCCGATCCATGATGTAAGTCACATTTGACAGGGCTACTGTTGTCATTCTACTAACCGCAGCACTAGGAGCCGTCGAATTGGAAACACTGGAGCCCCCGCTCCTCGTGCTGATTAGGCACTGTTCTCATGGGTGGAGTTTATTGTTCTACAAAATTTCGTGATCAGGGATGTATATATAATGATCTAGCCGTATCCTCTGATCTCATAAATACGGACTGTGTTCTGGCATTTGGTTGTTCTTTATCATTCATCTTACACTGTACTTGTTTTAGTCGAAGGGGGTTTAAGAGACTGTCCGCATAAAATACAATAGACATAACGTCTTTAATCACGATCACCTACCTTTCTGACTCCTTGGAAACTCGGTCTCCTATGCTCCGAAGTTGAGCAGAGTCCTATCAACGTCAGCTATATATAATACTTTAGGTAGTTATAATTCTGCGGTTGATGAAACTATAAAATACACGTGATAGCAGAATGTTCAGATATGAATCGGATTTGAAAAGCCAATAGAGAAGAAAAAAATGTATATTAAAGACAATCAACTAAAATCCTCGAGATCATTCTAAAAATTCCCAGAGAATTTGAAAACTGAAATCCACCCCCACAAGGCTAGTAAGATTTTTTTTCCCTCGCCCACCTACTATACAAACCAGACACTTGAACTCCCGCGACCACCAAACTCATCTTAATCCCGCTGCGAGCTTTCCCGTCAACTTTCCCCATTCCCAACCAACCTAGCAACCCTCCCACAGCCATCGCCAATATGACGGACCTTGACCGCATGCCTCCCTCAACTACGACATACATAGTCGCCACAGCCATTATAGCCGGTATTACCGGTTACTTCATCGGACAGGGAGCATCGCTAGGCCTATTCTCCGCCTCGAAGGAAAAAGAAGGCTGGCCGAATAGCTACAATGTGAAGGTGCACCAGGACTCATCGGACGAGGAATACGAGGAGGAAGAGGAAGAGGAGAGCGAAGAGGAAGAGCTAGAAGGTGAACTGGGTAATTTTGAGAATAATACGGAGGAGGTCAAGCTTGTGCTTGTTGTGAGGACGGATTTGGGGATGACCAAGGGTATTTATTTTAACTATTTGCCTATGCCTTTCGCAACTCCCTCCATTTTTTTCTTTTCTTTATTCGTTCGTTTTAAAAGCTTTGTTTATTATGCCCTTGGCCTTGAGTTGTCTTGACATGCAGAGTCTTTTTTTTTTTTTTTTTGGGGGTTGAGGATGAGTGTGCTAATATCTATCTGGGTTTCCTACTACAGGCAAAATCGCTGCCCAGTGCTCTCACGCTACACTTGCATGTTACAAATACATGGTCGCAAACTCTTCCGGCTCTGTACTGCTCCGTCGATGGGAACGACAAGGCCAGGCAAAGATTGCGCTGCAGATAAAATCAGAGGAGGAATTGCAGCTGCTCCAGGCGCAGGCCGTCAGTCTTGGACTTTGCGCTCGAGTTATTCAAGATGCTGGACGCACTCAGATTGCCAGCGGAAGCAGGACGGTACTTGGCATCCTGGGACCCAAGAGCGTTGTTGATACAGTTACGGGACATTTGAAACTGTTGTAATCGGGTTCTGGGTTGGTGTTCTGCGGGATTCCAAGAACGACGGCGTTAGGACTACCCCTATTTGCATAGATACTCTTTCGAGTACTGGGAACGCAGCATGATAATGATATGATATGCCATGGGCTTCTAGACACCCATCCAGTAGAAGCATAATGCACAACGTGTAATATTTAAAGCTGCCAGCCAGCATTCAACAAAAGGGTCTTCGCTTTCCGGCTCTACAAGCTATAGGTACTTCACATAAAAGCTATTTGTGAGAAAAGAAGAGATGTTGGCCAGTCATGGTTTATCCCTAACCTCATCAGCCGACGGCCAAATCGGTAAAGAGAACAGGAATATGACGCCGTCAACAGCCAGGCCATCCAGCCGAGCTCACCGATCATCCGAAGACAAAAGGGAGCTCAAGACCAGAGTGATACCTAGCGCCGACATTTAATCTAAGATCTGTCGACCGGAAAATAAACCACCAAACCTGGAAAAAAAAGTGGTGGCTCCTTAAGTCGTCGAACTGTCCAGTAATCAACCGAAACACAGAAACAGCTTTTCTCGTGAGAGAAAGTGCCTCCATGATCAGGATCGCTGGACACAGATCCGTTGTGTTCTGTTGATGAAGAAGAAAAGAAAAAAAAAATTCTTGCGGACCAGCAAAAGCCGCCTTTTATCGCTGGCGCTAAGTGCGCGCTAAGGATTTATCGCGCTAAACCTTACCGAGAAATAAATCGATTATGTAATACGCAGCGAGTCTGTCTGTTATGGGTTTAGTCTTATGGAGGTGACCATGCTAAGCTAAGCTAAGGGCGTCATGTGATAGAGTCCCGCCTCCAAATTAGGTGGCTGACTTATCGGGAACTGCCTGGATAAGTTTAACAAACGGGTTTGTTCACCACTGAACAACCACCACCCTTCTCCCTTGGTTTTGCTTTCTTCCGACTGGTATTATCTGTTATACGGCCGGTAAACCCAACATGGCGGACGCTATTTCAATCGAGCAGAATAACAAGATCCGGGCGGCCCTAGGACTCAAGCCTCTCCCTGTACCTGGGGCGGACGGTCCAGTTTTCAAGGAATCCAACGATGGCTCTTCGTCGGACGAAGAGCCAGCCAGCACCCTGGAATCGCGACAAGCACAGGCCTCCGAGAACTGGAAGAAGATGCAAGATGACACTGAAGCGAAGCGCAAGCGGGAAGAGCGGAACGCTGCAATCAGGAAGGCACGCGAGCTCGCGCAGAGGAATGCGAAACTCGAAGGAACGACACTAGGAGATGGCATGGATATGGATGTGGATACGAAGACGTGGTTGATCCAGTCGAAGAAGCGACAGAAGAAGATCGAAAAGGAGCGCGCGCGCAAATTGGCGGAGGAGTTGGAGGAGCGGCAGCGCGTGGCGGAGTATTCGGCTGCCGACCTGTCCGGGATTAAGGTTGGACATGAGGTTGGGGATTTCGAGGGAGGCGAGGAGCATATTCTTACGCTTAAGGACACTACGGTTGACGAGAACGAGGAGGAAGGCGATGAACTGGAGAATGTTGAGTTGCGGGAGAAGGAAAAGACGAGTGAACGACTGGAGCTGAAGAAGCGCAAACCGGCTTATGATCCGACGCAAGAGAACGCTGGGATATTGTCACAATATGACGAGGAGATTGAAGGCAAGAAACGAAAGAGGTTCACGCTTGATGCTCAGGGATCTACTGTGGAGGAACAAGAGGCCAGACAACAGGAAGCCTCCGACAGGTTGAAGAGAAACATCATCAGCCTTGACTTGGACACGGAAACCCCCACGTCGGATTACATGGACATAAGCGAGATTAAGGTGAAGAAACCGAAAAAGAAGAAGGCCAAGACAACCAAGAAGAGATCTGCCCTTGATGATGAGGATATCTTCCCCGCTACAGAATCGGCGGATACATCGAACGGCGGTTCATCCATGGATATTGACACTATCAATGGCGCCCCAACACCAGCGCCAGCTCCTCGCAAGTGGGAAAACGAGAACGTTTCATTTGTGGACGACGACGATCTACAAGCCTCTTTAGCTCGCCAAAGACGAGCGGCATTTAAAAAGCGACAGAGGGCGAGACCAGCGGACCTCGTACAACAACTTAGAGAGGAAGAGTCGCAGACCCCGATGGAAGTGGAAACCCCAGATGAGGAAGAGCCAGGGCTAGTAATCGATGAGACTTCCGAATTTGTCTCCAATCTACAGAAACCAACACTACCAGAACCCCGTGAACCACGAGGAGCAACGACGGTAACCGAATCCCCGCGAGCTCAAACTGAGGAACCTGGCGACGGCGAACAGCCGCCTGAGGTTGATGGGGACGATGTGGATATGGAAAGGTCTTATCATGACATTGACGACGAGGAGGATCTCAAGCGCGAGGAAGCACAGGGTAACGCGTCCATCAGCGGCACTGGGTTGGAAGAGGAAAGCACCTTGGCCCAGGGTCTTGGTGCTACTTTGGAGATGCTGAAAAAGCGCGGTCTGGTCAAGTCAACCGATGCCGCCGATCATAACTCGCTTCTTCGCGACCGTCAACGCTTCCTTTCGGAGAAAACCCGGCTTGAAACGGATGCTGAGAAGCGTGCTCGCCAACAGCGTGAACGTGACCGCGCTTCTGGAAAGCTGGACCGCATGTCTGCACGCGAACGAGAAGAGTATGCGCGATGGGAAAACAAGCAGCGCGACCAGCAGGATGCTCGTCACATGGCCGAAGTGTTCAACAAGGAGTACAAACCAGATATCCAGCTGCGGTACATTGACGAGTTTGGCCGTTCGATGAACCAAAAGGAAGCATTCAAGCATATGAGTCACCAGTTCCACGGCAAGGGCAGTGGCAAGATGAAGACAGAGAAACGACTGAAGAAGATCGAAGAGGAGAAGAAGCGTGAGGCTATGAGTGCTTTGGACAGCAGTCAACACACAGGCATGAACAGTGCTATGGGCGCGACTGCTCGGAAGAACCGCCAGGCCGGTGTCCGCTTGGGCTAAGGGAACGGTTTATTCGGTGTGCATGTTTCTACCTTGAACTGAAGCTCTATTATAATATTGTTTGTATCGTCTGATAACTTGATACCAAGAGAAAGAAGAGATTGGTCCTGGATTGACCTTAGAAGCCAAAATTGAGCCATCCCAATCCCTGTCTGTATATATCTTTGTCCCTGCCTTACAGGCTTACAGTTGGTCAGAGCCCGGAATAAAGAAAGTCTATCACGAACTTAATGGGTGCCTGCATGGCCTTCCACTTTATCTCACCAACACCTACATCTTCACGCCATCGGTCGAGCCTTACTCAAGGCTGGACATATTTGAGCCATGCAACAGCAACCCTTTTACGAAGAGAAGATCCCCCTCGCTATCTCTCAACTTCGAACTGATAAGCAAGTCTCCTGTTCTGAGCAAGCACTTTGACGGTGGCCAATGCCGAGTCCGAAGTTCGCATTCTCGAAGAGCTGGAAACCAAAGGATTCCCCGTGGGCTGCAAAGCTCCAGGGCAGCAGTCTCACATTCGAGAATACCGTTGGATATCCCTTTCTCGCATTAACGTGGATTTCTGGTAGTCCGCTTCTGTGGTCTGACGACTTCCCTACACGGCCACTTCGAGACAAAGTTCTGAACCAAGTCGCGGTGATACATGCATCGCTGATTGAATGCACCAAGGCGACTGGTAGTACGTCTAGTAATTCCTTGTTTTTTTTTTTGTTCAGATCTAATCCGCTCACCATTTTAGGGGTCACTGCCACCGACCATTTTACGAGAATAATCAACAACAAATTCCGCCGGGTCCGCGATGGCCTTCTTCCAGAGACCACAGAACAGGACTGTTTCGATCAACTGAACAATCTCTCCAACAGGCGGCCTGTTTCCCTCGATTCCTCCGCCTCCAGCAGCTTCTTCCCCTGCCACCGAGTTTCGTCGTCCAGAAAGATCGAGAGACTTACACCGCATCACTTCGGCCCCAAACATCACAAGAGGTGGCGTGGATGGTCCGGGTTTTATCTTCAGAGGATGCTGACTTTGATGCTTGCTTTCTGGAGTCAAGCACCAGCAAAGGGATGCATCAATGGCTCGCGCGTAACAGGTGGAGGCTTCCGTCCTGTGGAAACACCAGCAATAGCGAGTGAAAAAAATAATAATAATAAATTACAGATATTAGTCTGGCCATAGTATAATAATACAGTACTAGCTTTGTTGCCCTGGAAATAATAAGAGGAGAGGCTATACATTCCTAGGTACGGAGTATAGTTATACTAACCAGAGCAATGAGGAGAGGAATTTCTACCCCAATTCCCTGTGAGGGGAAACTACGAACAGAACAGCCTCAGGCCACCTAGAAGAAGTACACCGAAAGCGGGTCTGGATATGGTGCGATCGAATTGAGATTTGATAATCGTGTCCTTCTATTCATATTTCATACGAGAATTAATTAACCAGTTAACTAGTTAACTAACTTTTGGAATAATTTGTACCGAGTACGGAGTATCCGAGTACCTACTCCGCTCCGCTCAGGCCTGGGAAAAGCCTTACCGAGTAAGTGACAGCAGGGTTCTCCGCTTTAACCTCGCATGCCTCTAACGATGCAATTACTCTAGATCCTATGCAAGAAACATTTGTGCAGGGCCGGATATAAAAAGGGATTAAAGGCTCATCAGCCTTTTTGCCTGTCAAGTCTTTGCAAATGCTTAAAAGTTCTCGAGTTGCCTCAATATTCCACATCTTCTCCCACACCTATCATTCTCGTCTTGATCAAGTTTAGCTTCACAGAACCAGTGGTCATCAGGAAGTGTAAGAACTGCGGCACCGATGTTTTGGAAATTCAAAGCGAATGCGCCATATGCTTCAACCCCCCTCACTAGGCCAAGTATGTCTCAGTTACTCATCCTACGATCTGCGTAGGCTACCCTCTTCGTCGTAATGTTCAGCGTGCGATGCAAGATGAGGGAGAGGCTCTGTTGGTCCTCCAATCTCGTCTGCTGAGAAACTACTCAGACAGCCTCCAAAAATTGCAGCAATTCTGCGGAATCGTCATGTTCACCATCCAGCACTATTGATGGGCCTCGTCTTTCGTAGAAAGGCCACTCAAAGTGCTCAGGAAAAAAACCCGGCATATTCCCAGTCAATAATAGCCCGGATTTTCAATGTTTGAGGATCAACAATGATATTGTGCTGGCCAAGATCATTATGGCAGAAGACATATTCGTGATCTTTGGATACTTTGCGTGGCTATTCATTCTTATCTGAGAGCCGCATTACTCGATAGGGCGGCATTACTATCCCTGAAGGGCCACCAAGTACTGCTCAACTTCAGTACGGACGATACTTTTTTGATCTTCTGATAAATTTGACATAGCCACGCCGTCAATATGCTCTGTGATTAGTATGAACGAGTCATCAACCTCGAAAGCACCGTACAAAGTCGGTACAGGGATATTGCTAACGCGTCGGATGAAACGCAAAGGTGCAGCCTCCTAGTTGAGGGATATGCTTCGTGCCTTGAATGGTAGTAGGCTCTTTCGGCAGTCATTGCAGTAGACGTTGCAAGCGAATCAACCTCGATATCTCTAGTTTTCTGCCATGGTTAGGGGGATGCCACACTTCAGTCGATAACTTGATGGAATTGTTCTGGGGGAGTCACGATCGTGTTTGTGGAGAATAACGGAACCGTAGGCGGTGGAGGCGGAACAACCCCCTCTGGGCGGCTACACACCGCAAGTTCGACAGATACTGATATCAACTATTTACTCGACGAGGACTGAGAGAATATTATTAGGGGGACGTCTAGAGCCGTAGGGATCTCGTGGAAATCATGTCGATAATAAAATACCAGCGTGGTTATTTCTGGTCCGAATACATTTCTTACTAGCGCGTCCAAGACCCCGTGACTTTTGGTGCTCACCTCGGGTAAGTACATCCAAGGTACATTATCGTTGTATGGGTTCCCCGAGTCTAGCCTAGGTAGTTGGGAAGTATCAATTTACCCGACTGGAGCGGCGCTGCAGGGCCAATCAGACGGGAATCCCAACTCTCCCAGAGTCCTCAAACAAGCCCAAAATCATATGAGTCAAAAAAAAAACACCTCCGACTCGGCATCCTACTTATTTATCGCTCCCTACGGTACGATCCTTGCATTCCGATCCTCCGTTATTTTCATTCCTCTGTTGCTCGTGGCTGTCCGGAGTACGATTTCTTTTCTTTCTTTTCGTTTAGCAAGTCCCCTTCCCCTCTTCTCCCCTTTATTTCTGATATCTCTTACCCCCGGATTAATCCAATACAATCCACCATGCTGTCTACTTGGAGAATCGCCAGCCGAAAGGCTGCTTCCCGTGGCGCTAGCATGCGCACCGTGATCGCTGGTGCCAGATATGCTTCGACCTGGTCCAACGTGCCTCAAGGCCCCCCCGTAAGCTTGAATGCACACACCCTGGGAGCGATTGGCGATACCATTGCTGACAGCACGGCGCTTTAGGATGCTATTCTGGGTATTACCGAGGCCTACAAGGCCGATTCCTTCAACGAGAAGATTAACCTTGGTGTTGGTGCTTATCGTAAGTGAACCCCTCCTTCTTTGCTTCTTCGCTTCAATTGAAGTTTTTTATACGATGAGTGGATTGGAATTGGTATGCCGTGATCTGATTCGGAAACACCTGCTCACATTGTATCCGCTCACAACAGGTGACGACAAGGGCAAGCCCTATGTCCTGCCCTCCGTCCGTGCCGCCGAGGACAAGGTTGTCGCGACGCGCCTGGATAAGGAGTATGCTGGAATCACCGGTATTCCTTCCTTCACCAAGGCTGCTGCCCAGCTGGCCTATGGTGCCGACTCTGCCGTTCTCAAGGACGACCGCCTCGTCATCACCCAGTCTATCTCCGGTACCGGTGCTCTGCGAATTGGCGGTGCTTTCCTCCAGCGCTTCTACCCCCACGCAAAGAAGATCTATCTGCCCAACCCCAGCTGGGCTAACCACGGCGCCGTTTTCAAGGATGCCGGTCTGGAGGTCGAGAAGTACCGCTACTACAACAAGGATACCATTGGTCTCGACTTTGAGGGTCTGATTGCCGACCTGAAGGCTGCCCCCAGCAACAGCATCATCCTGCTCCATGCTTGCGCTCACAACCCTACCGGGGTCGACCCTACCCAGGACCAATGGCGCCAGATTAGCGACGTGATGAAGGAGAAGGGCCACTTTGCTTTCTTCGATATGGCTTACCAGGGCTTCGCTAGCGGAAACGCTGATACCGATGCCTTTGCCCCCAGACACTTCGTGAAGGAGGGCCACAACATCGCTTTGTGCCAGAGTTTCGCCAAGAATATGGTAAGAATGATGGGGCTTTTTTTTTTATCGTGGATTATTTGTCGATTAATCTCATCTACAGGGTCTCTACGGTGAACGTGTCGGTGCCTTCTCCATTGTCTGCGAATCGGCCGAGGAGAAGAAGCGCGTCGACTCCCAGATCAAGATCCTCATCCGCCCTCTCTACTCCAACCCTCCTGTGCACGGAGCTCGTGTGGCGTCTGCCATCATGAACGACGCCGCTCTCAACGAGCAGTGGCTGGGTGAGGTTAAGGGCATGGCTGACCGTATCATCGAGATGCGTGCTCTCCTCAAGAAGAACCTGGAGGACCTTGGCAGCAAGCACGACTGGTCCCACATCACTAGCCAGGTAAGAATTCTTTCCGAAGATTGGATGGGCGTGATAACTAATTATTTTGTTATAGATTGGCATGTTCGCCTACACCGGTCTTAAGCCTGAGCAGATGGATGTTCTTGCCAAGGAGGTATGTGTAGTCCCACAACAGATTTTACTATCTTATCTGATACTGACCTCGACAGCACTCCGTCTACGCCACCAAGGACGGACGTATCTCTGTGGCTGGTATTACCTCGTCCAACGTGAAGAGACTGGCTGAGTCTATCTTCAAGGTGACCGGTTAAGTGAGAGAGAGAGAGAGAGAGAGAGAGAGAGAGAGAGAATGATGGGTTAGTAGGCTAAATTGCTTGATTCTACTAGATCTATCTACCGGGTGAAGGGGCCTTGTACTGATATCCGATTGTTTTATTAGCATATTTTAGGTAAAAAGGTATATTCTTGATGACATTCATTTTACTACTTTACATCCCTGGGGTGTAATACTGCAACGTTCCAAAAAAAAAAAAAAAAGAAAAAACCACTTTTAGTAGGATTAAACATAAGTAAGCTCATGACCACCCTGATCAACTGATCTGAAATAGGATGCCAGCTCTGTACATATCACCAAGCTATTGTCCCGATCATGATCTATCACAGGACTCACATAACCAGTCTTTTTTTCTTTCTTTTTTCGCACAGATGATTGTCTCGATAAGCTGTAGTCGAATTTACCTATTGAGTATTTAGTATTCAAAATATTAACAAGGACAGAACAACCGGAATTCTTATTCCGACTCCCTGCACACAAGGATTGACCTGCAAAAAAAGAGGTCGTGGTCACTCTCCAGGGATGTGGATGAGAATGACTTTGTCTGAAGCATGCTGGTCTCATTTAATTCAATCCGAGACTTGAGTTTTTTCTTGTTTCCCGGTCACATGTACATACACCTGCGAACTGCAACTGCAGTGTTTGTGTGGTTCGTGGTCCTGTAGAGATCCGTACAGTATCTACTACTTACTTACTACCTACCTAACTACTAAGTAGCAGTAGCAGCAGCAGCAAGCTTAGTTATACGCAACTAAAGAATAGACGTGAAGTAACACTGTAACTAGAGGAAACTGTACTCTGCACATAAGATGATAGATAGGTTTCTAAGCTGTTTTACATGTCGAATTAATTATTCCAACTCCCGTACATGTCTATTCAACTAGAATGTCCCATGGGTACTCCGTACCAAGGACTGAGACTGAGACTGAGACTGAGACTGAGACACGGTTCGTATCCATTCATTCATTCATTCATCCATGTCTGCTCTTTTTTTTTTTTTTTTTTTTTTTTTCTTGAGGCAATCGAGTATGTACAAGACAAGGACTGACAACTGACAACCGACAACTAACAACGTACCTAGATATTGATTGTAAAACAGGTTTTTCTTTCTTTCTTTCTTTCTTTCTTTCTTTCTTTCTTTCTTTCTTTCTTTCTTTCTTTCTTTCTTTCTTTTCTTTTCTTTTCTTTTCTTTTCTTTGTATGGTTGTCTTTCTCTTGCGATTACTGTTATTATCTATTATCCCTTGTACTTACTCCCATTCTGCCTGCTTGGTACTCCCTTTACCTAGGAGAAACCCGCGAGGGTCTAACTTAGGTACATACAGAGTAGTAGGTAGGGTACCCTAACTACTCGTACTTACTCCGTACTTGAATTGCCATTCTAACAGACATGCCATAGCTACCACCAATAAGTACTCCGTACGGATGTACCAGGAGCGATCTACCCCTGTAGGAGAGTGAAGATACCTGGGCAGGTGGACTAGGTAGAAGAAGAAACCTACCTACCCGTCCCGTATCTCGACGGAGCTATGTACTGTAAAATGGGTCGGTTCGATTTCTAGAACCCCCGGGGGCGCTAAATGCCAATGTGTCAGACAATTAATTAACCCCAATTTGAGTCATAGAGAAAGAGGTAAATCCATAATAACTAAAAAATAAAAATAGAGTGGAGGGGTGTACTCCGTACTAGTAGGAAGTGGAGTGAGGACTGAGGCGTGTCGCGGCTATGCTGTGTTTATTATTATTAGGTAGGTAGGTAGGTAGGTAGGTATCCAGTACGCTGCGCTGCGTGCTCTGTACTCCGCAGTACGACCAACTAACTAGCTTAGCCACGAAGATCCGACTTGGAAATTAGCGAGGCATACTAGTTATGTATCATTCAACATTGTATGTTCAGGTTGTTTTGGTTTCTTTGGATTGTGATTAACTATTAGTCGTATTTCTTAGTTTGTGTTGTTGCTGTTGCTGTTATGGTTTGGAGGTTCGCATGGTGGATATGAGTCTAGCCCTGTCTGCCCTGCTCTAACGTTCGAGCCGGTGAGATGAGACCTGGAAGTGAGTTGGTGACCTGCAGATCATTTGCAACTTTGTGCTAGTATTATTCTTCAGGTGAATTTACTCGTACTACTCTGTACGGACTACGGAGGAGAGCGGACCTGATCTATAAATACAGAACGAATCTCTCGGTAGAAAGGGTTGTGATTGAGAATCAAGCTTGAAATCAAGTGAGGTGTTATAATATGTCCAGAATACCATTCTTAGCTGTTTAAAGATGGTGCAGAATGCCTACTCGGATCACTACTGCTCGTACTCCAGAAGTAATAGTTAGTACCAGTAGTCCTGCCAAGATAGAGAGAGTCGACACTCCACAGCAGAATAAGTTGAAGAAAGAACAGGGGGGCTTTCTGCACGTTTCAGGGCAAAGGCCAACGATCATAAACGAACCTGGTTTCAGTTTCACAACATGCTGCCTGTATCTGAAATGTATTATTATTATTCCCCCCCCCCCCCCCCGGTTGAGGTACCGTGTTACCTAGGTACCGACTAGGGCCTTGGTCCATGACCAAAAAAAAGAAGATAGATGTGTTGGCAGTGGCACCCATGAGTACTCCGTATACTTGGATGTTACTCCGTACATACTCTGTATAATCATCAGGGCTAAACTCCAGAGAACTGTACGGAGTAGTCGTGTCTAAAGTGGCCTGGTGGCAGTACGGCTGAAGTCCCTCGCATCGTTCGGGCCCACTAATGATCAAGGTGCAGACAGCCCAGCCAGCCATCCGGGCAGCGATCATGATTCCGGGCTGAACTGTCCGTGAAAGAAGAACCATTCCTAATGAGTTAATTCATCCAGCAGGGAAACCCACCACGAATGATGCCTGGGTGAGACGGAGGAGGGGGAGAGTTCCCAGCGTTGCGCTTCTGTACGTATATACATACAGGAGCAGTGATGTTGTAACACAGGTCCCAATGGTTGGTAGTCTTCTCTGTGGGATTTATATTTCAATAACACCCGAACCTACCTTCCTATCTTTATCGATCCTTGCGTCATCGCGAGGCCGATGGGTTATATAAGTCAGAATTCCCAGGTTGGTTTTTGCCCAGGTGGCAAATTTATATCTCATCACCTGTAAGATTTCCGTTGCCTTTTCTGCGCTTTGAATTTCGTTCCTCTAGGCAGTATTACCTAGGTCTCGCTAGAAAGCGAGTGGTGAAACACGTGGACTCATGAAGGAAAATATGTCGAGTCTGATTAAATTTAGGAGTATCTTTAAAGGGTCACTCCCGGTTATAAAAGTTATTATCAATTATCCGGGGGTGGAGAATATGAAGCCGAGAAAAAGTCCATCCTTCTACCCAGAGTACTCCGGAACTAACGCCTACCTAGATAGCCAGAGCCAGTCTCCAACTTTTCCGTTCTTGTTCGGAGTTTCTTCTGAAGTAACTAAATATCTCTCTGCGGGTGGTACTATCCCATTGATTTTCTAGTGCAAGATCATATCATACCTATTTAGACTGGGCGTTTTCCCGGCTGGAGTGGGAACTTGTAACCTGGAAGTTGGAACTGGGATCATTTGATTATTGCTCGTTTTCAATCATAAAGAATACCGAATATTAATTATTATTATTAGTGACAATCAACCAGTTTGGTTTCAATGCTGTGTATCCTTCCATTCTTCTTTTCGATGAGTGTTTTGTTTCACACAGCCAAATCAATTAAGGAGAGTCTATTTATCTAGGTAGTACGTACCTAGGTAACCCCAATAATCACTCTCACAACATCCTGAGGCGGATGGAGTACTCATGACACAGTGGGAGCGCCTGGTCGCACTGGTCGGAGTTTGTTTGAGACCCACGATGTCGGCCGGCACGAGAGATGCATGATAACTGACCACTTTACTCGTATTCTTCCTCTTCGTAACCAGAGTTATGGAGAAATGCGACTTGAGAAATCAGTCAGATTGGTCTGTATCTGCCGTCAAATTGTGAACGACATACTAGTAGTCATCCGTAGGGATATGAAAAACGAAAGCAAGGCATACCATACCGACTGGGAGTAGTATAGCATCTACTTTATTTGACTTTTCCCATTCTGCGTTTCCCCTCACAATACCTACCTAGTATCTCCTAGTGAGTTCGCTCGTCTTCCCTTCTGGTGTCGACGAGGGAGTCCGATCTTTGATGGAAATTCTCCTTTTATCTGTTTAGAGTAAATGACTGGAGATTCCTCACAATTGAATACTATCAAGATCCCTGTCATTCTTCTTCTTCTTCTTTTTGTTAGTTAGTTAACTGCTTAGTGGTAGCGTTGTCAGTACTAGGTAAGTTCCGTATAACAACCTCTTTACAGGGTGGGACTGGAGGACTCAAGTTGATAGACAAAAGGAATCTCTCTTTATTCTTGAAATCTATTTTCATTGATGGTTAAATAAAGAAGAAACCATTGACGAAGATCTGGTCTGGATCCTTGTTAATCCTCGATGAACATTGAAATGATCGTTGGTAGGGATCGAGGTTACCAGTGACAACTTCCATATTACCAAGCTTGTAATCAGTAATACAGAGAGTACTTGGTAGTGCTACTGCTAGTGGCCGTATGATCCCCTTCTCCCTTTCCTATTATTCTTCGTCTCTCTCTCTCTCTCTCTCCCTTCTAAGGATTTTCCCGAAAGTTCGTTTGAATCATAGGGAGGACCTATTTGGTATCCAATAGAGGAGCTTTTCTTTGACTGGATTTGGTTCTAGGTAGGTATTGTGCTGCTCACTGGGTTAATGCTCTCTCTCTCTCAGGTCTGATGATCTGTAAGGTATCTATCTATCTCCCAGATTCCAATACTTGGTGCTAAAGGAGTCCTTAGCAAGCCGAGAAGAGTAGGACGGAAGAGTGGGAGCCTTCGGGGCCTGCAAGTTAGCTAAAATGGTAATAAAAGGGTCGATAAAAAATTATTAATTAATTAATATGAGTGACAATGGGTTGTTGGTGGTTTTTTTTTCTTTTATTCTTTTATTCTTTTATTGGTAACCCTCTATTTATTTTAACTAGTTCTTAGTTACTACCTAGGTACTGTATGTCCGTATGTCAATAATAATATTATATTATTATTATTAATTTCTTCGTATTAAATTATTATACTTCTTAACCTACTTGGACGTACTAACTGCCATTATAACCTTTAAGCCAAACGGGTCTGACTCCTTGGGCCCAGGACAGGTACCCCGAACAATAATACCATACCGCTCCTCTCCACTCATCCTCTCTTGGTCGCCCTCTCACGCTCCGCCTGACGCTGTTGCTCTCTCTTCGGCATCATCTCATCTCATCTGTTTCCTTTCCTCTTCTCCCTCACTCTTCTCCCCTCCCCTCTCCCTCTCTCCCACTCCCTTCCTCTCTCTGAACCTTCCCCCCTCTCTGACTTCACCTTTCTCACTTACTGAACCTCCTCCAATCCACCCCATCTGCCATGGGGTTTGGTGGTTTCCAAACCTCGTTTGCCCTTCTAGATGCAAACTCCCTTTCATCTTGTTGCTTGATATATGGCGAATCTTCCTGACTCGCCTCTTCGTGAATTCGGCCGCTGACCTGCAGCCCTCACGCTGCTACCCGTCCCTCCTCCGGATCTCGAACCCGATCTCACCTATCTCAATTCTTCCTACCTGACTGACCCTCCCACCCTCGCCTCCATTACCCCTGCCTATCTTACGGCCTAATGCCTTCGCTCGAAGTCCCCGAGACCGGGCTGTCTCTGCAGAGAGATGGCCCCGGAACCGACTCTACCCTCAAATCTACCCAAATTATGCGGTTGAACCTTGCCCAGAGCACGCTCGACGACCTCATTCAAAGCCTCCGTGCTGACCAACCAGCCCGAATCCGACTGGGGAAGCACCAGACCCTCTACTACGGCTCCAAGTCCCACCATTTCCACTCCACCCCCGAGTCAATTCGATCCGAGATCTACACTAGGAATACCGGCGAGAATGGGAAACTATATTTCACAGGTGTCTTGAGCCACAGCTTGGAGGTCCAGAGGGCCAAGGAGGCTACCGCAGCCACCGACCAGGCCCTGGCAAATCTCGAGCAGAGCTTGAATGCCTTTGAAAGAGGAAAGGAATCGAAGAAGACCCACATCATAACCAACATCGAGGAGGTTCGGGCGTTGCGAGCGGGTGACAGCCGCTCAAGCACCGGCAAACAGGCTGCGATGCTTGCCCGCATGCCCTCGAGCAAAATCGAGCTGGAGAAAGATAGACTTCTCAAAAATAAGTCCAATGCCAACCGCTCCGTCACGTCCAGCCCGGCTTTAGGTGTTGCTCGCTCTCCGATCTCGGTCCCTCCCCTTACTCCTACCTCCGCACCCCTCTCCCAGAACAAGGACCGTATTCGGCTCGACGCCCTCAAGGTCCCCTTTATTCACCTCCTCGCGGTTCGCGCCGTGTCCACCAAATTTCTCGCCCGTCAGACCCGTTCATCCGTCGAGGACTGCACAGAATTGGCCCGAAAATACGGTACTGAGAATCGAATCAACCCAGAGAAGTTCGATCTGAAGGATAAAACATACAGGGACCTGGATGTCTGGAATTTTCCCTACCCATCTCAGGAAGACAGGCAGGAAGCTATCGAAAATGCCGTCTCGGCCTTTGATCGGATGAGAATTTCACGCTCCGACAAGCTATGGCAGAGCTTACTCCCCAAAGATGAGCGTGGAAAGGGCAAGTGCCTCTCACGGCTGGACTTGCGAACAGGCCCAATTAAGAAGTCCCTCACCCCGCGGGTACAAATCTCGGACGAGAATGGGAAAGAAGGATACACCACCAGCCAGGAAACCGAAAAGCCTGTGAGCAATGGCTCAAATGCCAAGACTGCGGAGCAGCCCACGCCAACCCCTAAGCCTGGTGTGAATATGCAGAAGAAACGACCCGACAAGGATTCAGCCGCGAAGAGACTGCCTGTTAAAGCTAAGACTGCTGGTAACAGTACTTTGACCGGACGTATCACGAAAAAGACCAAAGCGCCGGCGAAACCAGAAACCAAATTCAAGTCGGCCGAGTATGTCCACGATTCGGACGAAGACGATACTGATATGCCGGACGTATCTTCGTCTGAAAAGCCTCAGCCACCACAGGCCAAACCCAAACCCAAGCCATCGAGCAGACCTGCCGAGCCAAGTGCTCCCAAGGACACTTCGCATACCCCGACCCCCAAAGTCGAGCAGCCGGAAAAGCCAACCCCCAAGGCGGAGCCATCCTCCCAAGCCTTCAACAACAAGCCCTCTGCAACCAAGCGACTACCTACCGCCCGCCCACCTGGCCAAACCTCTCCCCAAAAGCCGTCGCCTCTCGGTTCCTCCCCACCAGCCAACGCCTCCGACCTGCAGAGTCGGAGTCGTTCGTCCAGTCAGAACAATTCATCCAGCTCCTCATCCTCTCCCTTGATAACCCAGCTAGCTCGTCCGCGCATCAATACGGTGACGCATGCGAAGCCACCAGCGAAGCCAAACGGGGTTACTCGACCCAGTGAAGCGATGAATCCGTTAAAACGCAAGGCAGAGCGGGAGCGACCTTCATTTCAGAGTACTGGCCGTACCGCGATGGACCTGGAGCACAAGCGACGACGGGCAGTGAGCACTTCGAGTGGCAGCACTGGGAGTGCATCCCCTCCCCTCAGTCGTGAGCTGCTGATGCAGCAATTACGGGAGAAGTCACAGAAGTTTAAACGGTATTATGCCAAGTACCGTGCGTTGCATGATGCAATGGCATCACATTCAGACCCGCCGCGGGCGGAGTTGGAGAAACTACAACGACAGCATGTCCAGCTTCAGCGCATGAAGAATGAAATTTGGGATGAAGACCGACGGCTACGAGACGGACTTGGATGAATTGACCGAACAAAGGCCTTGTACATGATATACCATGATTTTGATAATTTGGTATTTGACGGGAATCTAGGATCTACAGAACGATTTTTCCGATTATACCTTGTGTTTTTTTTTTTTTTTTTTTTTTTTTTTTGCTTTTGATTTCTGTTTCATTCTTGTTCTTGTTTTGTTGCATCTTCAGCATGACGAAGCAGTATTTTCTTTGCAGTGCTTCGAGGGCGTTTCTTGATTTCGCATTTTCTATGTGTTTGCAATCTTTTTTTAAACACTTTGCATATCAACCTGCATCCCATACTGTTTTCATCGATGATAGCTACACCTGTGCATGTAATTGGATATATAGAGGATTCCCCCAGCAAGGAGAGATGATCAGCTGCAAGGAGACAAACTCAAGCATGACATAAAGTTCCCCCCAACCGAGTCCATTTACACCGTCTTCATCCGTAGTCTGTATGTCTCACTAATTCCCAGTCTCTCATGCTCCCTGTAGAGGGCAGCCGCGTCCAGTCCAATCAGCACCGGCTTACCCCTCCCGTGGCTCTTTGGGATGGGAGTTAATTAACTTGGTAGTGAGTGAGTGAGTGAGCCTCCGCCAGGTGCCTTGTTAAGTAACAGTAACACTGACAGTTTTCGAGCTGATCTATTATTTCCTTGTAACAGGGAGAGAGAGAGAGAGAGAAACAATGTCACAATCTAATAAATTACCCCAGATCGTTGGTTGATTCTTGATAGAAACCGTCAACCCGTATTCTCAAAACCGCCCGCCCCACTTACACGTGGCTCTGTCAATACGGGGGAAATCCGAAAACTTCCAATGATTTGCTTGCGAGGCGTTTGTATTTCGTATCGGATGCTTGTCTCGCCGATGTATTGCCCGCGTATGGACCCGGGTAAAATTACACTCAACGGCACAGAAAACCGGCAGAAACGGTTGGACGTTACGTCATTCCCGATATGCCTTACCTGACGTTACCATACCATTACCGCCTTTGCCATGCCTCAATCAATGATCGCATATCGATCGTATCACCATCAAACGCCCCAGATTGTGCTTCCATTCTCAATGGTCTTGATATCTAGATGAAGATCTCGTGGATGGGTCCTGATTGAATTGGAGCGTTCAATCTCATTGTTCTCGACCATATCTGCGCACAGAAGGATCTTTTGTGAATTACTCCCTGCCAATCATCGATAATGTCTTCTTCAAGAGGACGTGGCCCGCAGAGAAGTCCTCATGTCCTGGTACGTGTTCTCATGGCACCCTGAATCTCTCTCTCTCTCTCTCTCTCTCTGTGCTATATCAAGAACTCACCGCCCCCTCAACTTTTTTTTTTATCCAGGTAACCGATTCCCGCGAACAACAGCTATCTGGTCAGCCCCGTCGTCGCCGCTCCCCAGCTACCCGCTTCATCACCGTCGACAACGTCCTCCAATACGCCTCGGATATCCCCTCCATGCAACAACGGAACCCACCCGACGCCACCCGATTCCGTCCACGCTCCCGTCTCATATCCACAGCCGGCGGATTAATCGGGTCTAGCAGCGCTGGCATAAGCAGCGGCAGCCATGCGGGCAGCACGGCCGCACGACTCGCCGCACAGCCGCACCTACCACCGCGAACCACCAAAGTCAGTGAGAAACTCGTTCTTCTCCCCGAGGAAGGCGTCGAACCTCATCCGGGAGAAGAAGAGGACGAAGCAGACGAAGAAGAATTTGACCACGATTACGGCGACGAGGCCGTGGACGAGGAATTCGTCCAGCGGATAGCAAAGGAGAAAAGCCTCGACCCGGAATCTGTACGACAGACGCTGATCGCGCAACGGAGATTGGGCGGGGACTTTGGTGTTGATAATGAGCTTGCCCCGCTTTTGGCCGAGGAAGAACGATTCCGGCGCAGGAAGGTTGCGCCGGAGAGGGCGAAGAGCTATGCGGAGAGGTTGCCCAAGGCGCGGCGCGCGGAAAAGCTGGCTCGGGTGACGGCTTATTGCACTGCTCAGGCTTATAAGATGACGTCGCTGGCTTCGTTTGTGAAAGATCGACATGGCGGGAGGACGAAGTTGTATGATGATTGCTTGTATACGGCGTATCATTTGCCATTGTTGCCTGGCCATGAAGGGTACCGGCTGCGGAGTAGTCCGGTGGTCAAGAAGCCGGGTGGGAAGTCTTTGCTGGACGAGGAAATTGAACGAAACGAGCTACGAGACCACCATGAGGAATACATGGAACCGGAGGAACACTCGGTCTTTGCGGGTCACGAGCCTGTCACCCAGTATGTGCATAGCAACCCGCAAGAACCAGAGTCCGGAGAAAGAGCAGGAGACATCAACGGTGCAAGCGCAAGCCCCAACCAGCCGCAACGACTATCCCCGGGCGCCGCAGCGGCTTCCAGCCTTCCATATAACGTGGCAGAGATGTTCGTCTTCAGCTACGGTGTGGTCGTGTTCTGGAACCTCACGGAGAAACAAGAAAAGGATATCCTCGCGGATCTGGCATTCGCTACTTCATCTGCGACAGGTACCCCATTACCTCTGGCAACTATGCCTCTCCAGGAGGAGGACTTTGAGACAGAAGAGTTTCACTTCGAGTACTCCACCGAGATCTCGCGCCCGCGGGTTTACAACGACATGATCACTCTCCGAAGCGGTGACCACATGATCAAGCTGGCGATCAGCCACGGCATCGCGCAGAGCACGAAACTGTGCTTTTTTGAAGAAGTCATGGCTCGTCAAATGGCCGAAGCTAAGGATGTGCCGCGCCGTCTTGCAATGACGGGCCAGCTCGGCATGAAGCGCGAAGAAGTCTTCCGCATCTTAGGCAGACTATTTAAGAGTCGAGTCGAGGTCAACCTCTGTATGTCCCCTAATTTTACTCGCCAGTTGATTCATTTTAGTCTACCCATCCTAACAAAAAGGGTAAATCATCAGCTTCAAACGTTCTCGACGTTCCCAATTTCTTCTGGGAAAGTGAACCGACCCTGTACCCACTGTATCTCGCCGTCCGCGAATACCTCGAAATCAAACCCCGAATCCAAGTCCTCAACGAACGGTGCCGTGTCTTCCTGGATCTCGCAGAGATTCTTTCCGATTCTATCGCAGATAGTAAAACATCTCGTAAGCCCCTTTCTTCCCAGACCAATATCTCCATTTCAGACACCAAGCACAGGCGATATATATCACTGGACTACATACACATATACTAACACTTGCCCCCCCCCCCTTTTTTTTTTTTTTTCACAGACCAAACCTGGATCATCATTGTTTTAATCCTGATCTCCATCGTCATCACCACATCCGAAGTCTTCCTCCGGTTCGGTATCCTCTCAGCAGAAAAGGGGACCTCTGCTGCAACGTTCGCGGGAACATTGTTTACCAGAGCGTTGCGGCATCCTTCATCGTCGGCCTCCTTGGAGTGCTCTTGTTCTTGTCCTGGGGGGGATTAATTCGACGGGCCTGTGTAACCTCGATTATTCTCTACTTGCTACTTGCTATGAATCTATCTACCTAGCTTACCTTCTCCAAGTAAGGTAGGATGGTAACCAACAGATCATACTTTTTTTTTTAACATCACTTTAATTTTTAATATAATCTGCTATAAATGACCCAATATATATATATATATATACTATACTGTCAACGTCCATGCGTTATTTCTTGATGTACGGAGTAACGTAACTAAGCGCATGATTGAATAGACAATCCCCCAATCCCCCCCCCCCCCCCCCCAAGGCATCCCTTGCAAATCTGGAGTGCCGGTTTGGCCTCAGTTACTAACTTGAAACCAAATTTACAACCTGCAACAGCAACGGCTTTTGACCTTTTTTGAAATATTCCTTCAAACCCCCCAACCCACTTGTCAATCGAACATACCAATCTATCACAGGGATATATATATATATATATAGTTACTGGCATGCAAACGCTAAGCGACACGCAGACCACAGGATTTATTTATTTCATCCATTCGCCCTTCAACCTTCCTGTATCTTAAGCAGCTCATCGATTTACCCTAAGAATACACATACATCCTTTTGGGGGGGGGGGGGGGGAACATGTCAATTTGACCGTCCAGTCCAGACAGCCATTTGCCATTTCGTCCTGAGATACATAGTATTGTTGTTGTTGTTGTTGTTGTTGTGTGGATCAAAAATCATAGTGTATCAGGACGAACACATACACCCCCGTCCGTGCCTTTAACCGAACACGCTCCCAGACAAGAAAGCCAATATTACATATGTATGCCAGCACCTTGTAGTTAGTTACCTCTTTTCACGATGAGTAAAAATTAGAGATAGCCCTACCGAACTTGCTTTAAAAAAAAAAAAAAAAAAAAAAAAAAAAAAAAAAAAGAAAAAAGTAGGAACAGTGTTCTTCATTACATCATATGAAGTAGAATAAAATCCTTGTTCTCTATCATACATAGGGGTTCATTTACACACTCCGGATGGATTGATAATGACAAGAGTAAGAGTAAAAGGGAAACAGAAAAGCCACAATATGGAAACGAAATGGTATAATGAGAACAAAAGGAAATCACAAAGGAAATTCAAACCCAACATCACAAAACCATTAAACAGACAGAACATGACTGGAGACCGACTGTTAAACTGGATAGGGAAATAAAAATGCACAGGGGTAGTAAGCAAGGAGGAGCACTGGGCAGTAGCAAACCGTGAACCGGAAGAAAGTAGACAGATACCAAACAGACAAACCTAGAGAAACCACCCAAGTAAGCAAGCAATGACCTTGAAGAAGACGAAAACAAGAACCCTAAAAACCTAGCCCCGAACCATATCCCGAATCCCACGCTCTCTATTTACCGGTATGCTTTCGTCTTAGGGTCATATCACACATTACCAAAGGCAGAGCAGAGAAAGAACGCAAACAAAAGAAATAGATAGACGTCCTAACCTACTGCTGAGAGTAGGGAGAACATAACAAATCAGCTAGCCCAGACTCCTTTCCAGCATTGACCGACACTGGGAATGCTAACATGATGGTATACCAATACCCGCAATAATGTGTATAAGTGATGGGGAAAAAAAAAAAAAAAAAAAAAAAAAAAAAAAAGGAACAAAACACGGGAAGAGGGGGAAGAACAGGGGAAAACAGGGGGAATAACAAAACACTTGACAAAGGAGAGAATTGGATAGATGAGATATCGGGTAGTGACAGAGATGGGTTTGTTTCACCACAACAAGCTTAGACCGCTGCAGACCACGAGTTGTTGCCAATTTTTGGCTTCATTTCATAATTCTCGGGTTCGGTGCTTGTGGGCCGGCGGATGGTGGAATTGGGGAAATACATGTGTGGAGGCACAGAGCCAGGGTATGGGGGCCCGTTAGACTCGGGATATGAGTAATCGCCAGCAGAACCGGGTGATGCAACACTGCCATGTGAAGGTGAAGCCCAGCCTAAACTGGGCATGTGGGGACTCCCACTGACGCTGCTGGGTCGATGGTGTTCTTTGTTGGCAGGGGGTTCGAGAGGCTGAGGCGGCGAATAGCCGGTCGGATGAGATGTCATAGATGGGCGGGGAAGCTGAGTACTGCTGAAGCTAGATAGAGATGGAGACGTGGCAGTTGGCGAGGCTCGAGGGCTGGCTTGCGAAAAGTCCCCACGAACATGGGCTGGAATGGAGCCGTTACCCATGTAATAATCGCTGGCAGACCGGGGGATATTGAGTGGAAGGTCGCCTGCAGGTGAGAGAGGATGCAGTGCAGGAGAGGGAGTTGAATGAGCCGAGGCATGGTCAGAGAACATTCCGTCCCCGGGCATTCTTCCTCTTTCCTTGTTTTGCCGCAAATTGGCCTCGGTTTCCGCAGCTGCTTCTTCAATAGTACCAGTATGGTGATTTTGATGGCGGGTCAAGGTTGTGCGGCGCGTGAAAGTTTTCTGGCAGTTCGCATAAGGACACTTGTACGGCCGTTTTCCCGAATGAATTCTTCGATGCCTGGCCAGGGAAGACGAGTCGCTAAAGGGCTATTTGGGTAGAATGCTGGTTATTATATGCACACACACACATTCTCAAGGGGGGGGGGGGGGGAAGACCGACCTTTCCACATCTTTCACACATATGCGGCTTCTCACCAGTGTGCACACGAGAATGTACCGTTAATGCTGAACGTTGGATGAACTGTTTGCCGCAGCCAGGCCAGTCGCAAGCATGAGGCCGAATGCCAGAGTGAATGCGTTCTATCTAGATTAGAAATCACAATCCCCCCAAAAAAAAAAAAAAAAAAAAAAAAAAAAAAAAAAAAGGTTGCCTCGTTTTCTTACCATGTCGTGCCAGGTCACTGCGTCTCGCAAAGCCCTTCCCGCAAGTCCCACAGTGAAATGTTTTCGGAGGAGGATCTGGCCGCCCTTGAGCAGCACCGGTGGTTGGGATCTGGGAGTTACTGGCGTATCCTCCAGGAAGATACGGATTCTGCAGTAAAGGAAGCACTGGGTTGGGTGGCGGTTGCGCCTGGTACCGCATATCCTGATGCATGTTTGGCATCTGACTCAGCGGACCATGAGGAGGGTATGATAGCACTGGTTGATCGCTTGATGCGGACGGTTCGGATTTCATTTTGGGGGATGATGAACTGTCAAGATTCGAGCTCTGCATGAACTGCTGATGGTCGAACGGAGCATCTGCATTAACCATAGCTACAGAACCTTTTCTGTTCAAAATAGTTGTGATATCCATGACCCGACCCAGCGGGTTGCTGAGTCCCAACTGCGCTTGGACGCGATCGCAAATCGATGGTTACGGCGTGGGGTGTTCGTGTTTGGATGCTGAACTGTCTCGTCGTTGCGTTTTGGCAGGTGGCGGATCAGGAGACGAGGAGGGAGGGAAGGGATAGTAGCCCGATGGGTTTAGCCTGTGCGAAAGCCGCAAAACATGTTAGCCACGGAGTGTGCGAAGTAAATATCCTCTTGGTAGTTGTCTTCGGCGAATCTCAAAGTTTTCGAGACCGGAAGCTCCAGTTGATGCGCGGATTCAAGTTATAGGGCGATTCCGATGGCGTGGTTTCTTCACTTCAGCTGGAAACTGCGCAGAGGAACTTGTACTTTCATCGAGCAGGGGTGTGAGAGGATTGAGGAGCTGAAGAGGGATCGATTGAAACTGCGTCATCGGAGCCGAGTAGCGGGGAGCTGGGGGTGAAAGACAACCACCAGAGGGGAAGAAGAAGAAAAAAGCAAACAGAGGGAAAATCGACTTACGGAATATAAACCCCGCCAGTAAAAAATGGTACAGCGAGGAACCGATAGCACTCAACGCGGCGAGAAGGTGGCAGACGGCGGTTGCGCGCGGAGGATGAAGGACGAGGGAGGTAAATACTGGCAGAGGACCAAACCCGTGACTTTTGTCGGGCAGGAGGATGAGGGGAAAGGAGAAGATGGAGGGGGGGGGGGATGAAGAACAATAGAAAAAGAGAGAGAGAGAGAGAGAGAGAGAGAGAGAGAGAGAGAAATGGGTGGTGCAAAGGGAAGACAGGGAGGAGCAGAGTATTTGCAATGGTTTAGATGAGAAGAGAGAAAAAAAAAAAAAGGTGATGGGAGGATTTGGGGAGGGGAGTAAGTCAACAGAACAGGCCAACGGTCATAAATAGAGAATGAGGATGGAAGTAGCGAAAATTGGACGATGAAGGTTTCAGAAATTTGATATTATAAAAAGATTATTATAAGCAGCAGCAGCAGGTCCGGATTAAAATTAATCTTATTCTACTCCGTTGACTTGAGAGAACTAGAGTCACCGTCAGGCTTCAGCGCGATGGCTCCACAACGTGGTCCTGTGCGAGAATCTGTGGATATGTCGATCGAACATACATTACCTACTCTGTATGGAGTCTACAGAGGTTGAAGCGGTTGTTGAAGACTTTTTTATTGACGATCAGAGTAGTGGTTTATGATACCTAATGTGAAGCTGTATGTTCAGGAAGAATAACCCTAGATACTTACTCTCTCTATAGGATTCGGATGTTGGATCGGGGTGCTTGGTAGGAGAGACCGAGACCCCTTATGCTCTTGAATGACACAATTATTGTCATTATTATTATTATTATTATTATATATTATTATTATTATTATTAACTATTATTATTATTATTATTATTACCCCTGGCTCCTGATTCCTTTTTTTTCAATGGCAAGTGGCATGCATAGTTTTTTTTTTGGACTATCGTGCGACACTCTATGACACCAATCATACTACCTCTCTTACTCATTCAAAAATTGTCAAATAATAAGAAAAATGAATGTGATTATTCTGGATGATCATAATTGATAACAGTTATGAATACTATTCTATATCAGTCAATGATTTGAAGGAAGAAGGAAGAAGAAGAAGAAGAAGAAGCGTTTACCCCTTTTAGCCTGAGATCATCGAACAACGGTGTAAAGCTAATTTCCTTCTAGAAAGTTTCGAATCATGGGGAATTTATGGATATATTGATTGATTCTGATTGATTCTATTCATGATTATTCTCTGGTAAGTCTTTGATTGGAATATGATCATCTTCTATTACTCCCACTCTACCACTCTACTACTACTACTACTACTACTACTACTACTACTAAAATATATGGCAAGAAGAGTAGAAGAAAGCATAGACAGAAACCAGGGGCAAACTTACTAGCAGAAACTAGTGAATGGGCCTGACTGACGGAGGAGGCTGTGACAGGGTGTCCACTTTCCATGTTCAGTTCACTATTCATCCAGAATCAAGGGAAAGAGAGACTAGAGTTCGGATTGAAACCTTCTAGAAAAAATCATGGAACAAGTCGTGGTGGAACTTTTGGAACCACTGTTTAGAAGATCGAAATTCTACGACTTCCTTAATCTGAATGTGCTTCCCTTCCCTTCCCTTCCCCTTCCCCTTCCCCTTCCCCTTCCCCTTCCCAAGCTAATGTCTCTTAGTCTCTGACTCTCTTGTAGAACTTTCATGAATAGAAAAAAAAAAAAGACTAAGATTTCCAACAGACTCCCGGGTTATCCGGAGCTGGATCTATCCTGTGGCGCGACTCAGCCTTAAGCGTATGGAGGAAGTGCCATTAGTATGGTAACTATGGGTTATGATTTTGGGATTGGTTTGCCCTGTCCTCGTGTTACGATGCAGGCACGCGTCCGTGGTCTGTTTCTTTTTTTTTTTTTTTTTTTTTTTTTTTTTTTCCGCTTCTGGTTATGAACTCATGCAGATTTAAGATGCCCCTGCAGGATTCTGCATATACAGAATAATAAGTATTATTATGATTGAAAAAAGATGGATCAGGGGTTTGTCCGACTTGGTTGGAGGAGAGAAAACTGGAATAACATCATCATTCTACTGGTCCCTGTAACCCCCCTAACCTATTCATGAATGCATTATTGTACAGGTTTTCTAGAAGCCGGAAGCATCCTTCTACTTCCCACTGTGGAATAGGAGTGTTCTACTAGGTAACCACCTTCAACCACGCGGACTGTCAGCCTGGATCTATGTAACGATTACATGCATGCATTCCAGCCACATCCTCGTTGTTCTACACGAGCATCGAATGATTCTATTACGATCTACGGAGGACTCCCGACATGGACATTAGCATGATTCCTCGGCGAATCACTATATGCGGGATAGCGTTCCTATTCAGGGAAAGGGACCGTGAACGATGATGGCTCTATAAGATTCCTGCTGTGGTTGTTAGTTATGACAGGATAACTAGTAGTAGCCTCTTCATTCGGTCTCCGGGAGAAGAGAAGTGCCCTATATTTATAATACTATATTTGTCTTGTTCTATTCTAATCATGGCAAGGCTTGTTTCAATTAAAGTGCTGGGGGTTGGCCCTGCTACTAGATAGATACGGAGCACTTACTCTGTACTCCGTAAAGTGACACCGAGCAGAGCAAGCTCTCTCTCTCTCTCTCTCTCTCTCTCTCTCTCGCGTATGTATCATGCATGATCTTCAACTTCGTACAGAGTACTAAGTACCGCACTACTACACGACTAACTTGTACTGGGTTAGGTGGGCTATATGATTGTCCACCTGACCTGAGGCTTTTCTTTGATGGATTATTTTTTTTTTTTATTTAGTTAACTAGTTATCGCAAAGGTACTGAGTAAGGTTCCTGGCATCTCTCCACTTGTTTCAATAGCGAATCTCATCACGTCAGTGTCAGTGCCAGTGCCAGTGCCAGTGTCCGAGTCAATGCATTATGATCGTCATCTACAGCTACACGACTGACTAGTACGAAAGCAATAAGTAATAAAACCAGGTTGGAGTACAAGACGAGCCATGAACAGAAATTTGAATGCACGGATAGGACTCGAGAGTCAGTACTAGGTACTCCGTACCAGTAAACTGAGATTCGGAAAGGGGTAAATCACGGAAATCCTTCTAGAAGACACGTAGAAGGGAGCTCTGAAATGAAAGGTGGATAACGCAACTCCCGGGATGGAGCAGGGGAAATGGCCTAGGCGTTTAGTAAATGAGATGGACCCGCGCGAAAAGTGAGTCCTATTTCTATTTTTGGGAAGGGGTTATACAGAGCGTACCTAACCCATTCTGAGAAAATCGTGGACGAATGATTCGGAATACGGAGAGAAAAAAAAAAAAATCAAATAAAAAAATAAAAAAATAAATTCGGTGGATTGCGTACTACAGAGCTCTACACGCTAGACCTGCATGCATGCATGCATGGGCTGTTTTTTGGGGGCATTGGGAAAGAGGGAGGGGGGGGTAATTTTGACTGAGAAAGGGGTTGTCAGTTAAGAAAATTGCTTGAATTTGGAGACTTGGACTTTGATCAGCCCGTGGGATTGCAGGGATGGCACTTGGTGCGCTGATTGCCAGATTCACGCAGCCATGACACTATGATCTCGGCTATATGGCGATACCCAGCCATCAGAGTCGGGTCATCCTCGCCAAAAGCCATGGCCAGAAACTGCTTCTCCTGCTTCCGAGCTTCCAGCGTCTGCCACACGTGCTCCCTCCCTTCCGCAAGCTCGAAGCTCAACTGGGCCCCGTCGGCCCTCGCAGCCTCCACAAACCCTTCGGTGTCAAACCGGAACAGTGGCTCCGCTGTACCCGCTGAAACCCACGTCTGGGTTGGTAATATGTCCTTCCACGAACCGCGCTCAGAGACCCGGACGGCGAAATTCCCGTGCAGCCTCTCCGTCTCCGGCGGCGACCCCTGCAGCACGAGCTGCGAGAACCGCTCGAGAACTTGTTTGAACGCTGCACTGCGTGCGTCGATCTCCTCGGAGTTTGCTCGTGCGTCGGGTCCGCACGGTTTCAGGTTCACCCAGGGACTGACCATAATCGCCGCCGCTGGTTTACGGAGGGGTGGTTGTTGTTGTTGTTGTTGTTGTTGTTGTTTCATCGTTCCAAGGTGTGTGCGCCGATGCAGCTCGAGGAGTAACGAGAGTATTAAATGTCCGCCGGCGGATTCCCCCATGAGATATAGCTGTGATGGGTCGATGTGCAGTTCCGTCGTGAGCCAAGCATATGCGGCTAGAGCCTGGTTATGCTGTGTCGGAAGCGGCGCACGAGGCGCAGGCGTGTATTCGAGGGAAAAGATTGCCACCGTATAGTTGCGGCGCGTCAGGATTTCTGCAATGAGAAGGAGCTCGGTCGCATTGTCGAGTGGGTGGCCCATCACGTACCCTCCACCGTGCAGGTGGAAGAGTACGAGGTCTGCATCCTGCGGACAAGCCTCCACCGAGATGTCGCGGTAGACCCAGTACCCGGCGAAGTCGGACTTCCGCACTTGCTGTGCGACCTGGAAAGGGACCTGAGCGTAGCGCTGGGACTTCTTCAGGAGAGACCCGCTTCTTGGATAGATATTTTGTTGAATCAAAGATATTGGAAGACGACGGCCCAAGCTTCACATGGTTAGCAGAGGTGTAGAAAGGGGGTGCTGGAGTTCCGGCCGTACCACATGAGGAGTTCATGGCCGACTAGGCCTTTGATGTCTTTCGCGCATTTATGTCTGCGACATAACGATTTAAGGACTGACAGGGGCGCAAATATTGTTAGAACCATCAGAGTCGAGCAGATATCCCGTATCGTCAGTCGTGGCGGGCGATTCGGGTCGCATCCTTCAGCGGTTAACTCTTTCGATACGATTTCGCAGCTCCAGAGGGACCTAAACGCTGATGACAGCGACATCAGCTAAATTAGGCCAGAAAGAGAAATTTTAAGGGAACTGGTTAAGATTCATCCCGAGTCTTGAGAGAAGATGGAATCGCTAATTATATGGTGCCTCTATACTCTATATAAAACCCAAGGAAACCCACTAACTCCCAATCCAACGCAGGAAATGAAGGCCACGAAGATGAAATGACAGCAAGTGCCGTGCTGGCAGTTGTGGAACAAGCTTCAAGTTGTAATAAACAACAAGCTCCCAGGCCAATTAACTTGGGTCTGCAAAGGTGGTTCCATTTTCCCTTCTTTCCATTGCCGAATTCGATTAAAAGATGAATACCTTTGCCACAATAGCCGTGTCATATCATCTCTAAACGCAAGTCTTTGAATGCCATGGGCCTGTTTCAGGATCTTACAGTCAGTGTCTTCAGACGACATCCTGTTTTCCTCTGTCGAGACAAGACTAGGGGTGGCTGCAACAGCTCAACAATTCATTACTCTGTATAGAAGTATAGATCTATCTTGCACTATGTAGTAATTCTCTACTCTTCTCCAAGCCCTGCGATGAGTCCAGTACAGGTAGCAAACCGGACTTGTATCGAGCCCTCGGTAGAGCACACATCTGCCGAAACGAGGTGCGAAACCTATCCTGAAACCGGTAGAATGCATACAAGCCTCGAACAAGCCTCGAAAAACACTTCAATCTCTTGGATCTTTTGTTTATCTCCGCCCTGGGTTGGGGAAGGTGTTTGTCGATGAATTGGTGCCTTCCTAGTACCCTACCTACTTAACACACCGCAGTATTAAACAGAGAACCAGCTGAGGGAGTCGTTGATCCCTCTGTTCCAGCGCATCAAGGTCTCGTCTCTCTGATCTACTGAAACTGAAACTGCGAATTTTTGGGAATCCCTTCATCATCAAACCACTTTGGTCAAGTCAATTGTCGAACTGAACCTATCCTAAACTTGCAGCTGACATGAATAAATAAGCGTCTCATTCTCTCCTGCTTCATTGCAGCTGGCCCTCCACCACCCGACTCACTTCGTGTACTGGGACGGACCTAGCAATTTCGCGCACGAAATGGACCCTGTTGAGAAGCAGGCCATTGAGAAGTCTGACAACCATGCCCAGGTTCATGGATATATGGGCGGCGTGGAAATTGGTGGCGATGATAACTCCTGTCAGCGCAGTCCTGCACAGACTGAAGCCGGCGTGGATAATGATAACGACCATGTCAACCAGATCAAGGTCCGTTCCGTCTCTTCTGGAAGCCCAGGCAGATACAAGAGTCGTGCGCTAACTCGTCCTCAACTGGGGGATTTTTTTTTTTTTTTTTTTCAAGTTCATGATGATCATGCTAGGGTTTGGCATGGCATTCGTCGGTTCCCAGGTCTGCGCTCTTGTGTTTGCGGCCATTGTCAGCACTGTAGCCGTGAAACTGGACGCGGGAGCCAAACTAATCTGGTTCTTTTCGGCCAGTCTGATATCTCAAGCGGTGATCGCGCCGTTTTCTGGACCCCTTGCGGATCTTTATGGGCGAAAGCCCATCACCCTTCTAGGCGTCTTGTCCTCCATGGTGGGGATGATCTTGTGTGCAGCGACGCCAAATGGGAATGGATTCATTGCCGGCCAAACGCTTACCGGCATGGGGACCGCCATCCAGGAGTTGATGGCCATCTCTGTCATTACAGAGTTAGTTCCTACCCAAAGTCGAGGGTATTACAGTGCACTTCTGGTGTCGAGTTTCCTTCCATTCGCGCCGGCGTCCCTATACGGACAGCTCATTGCGCGGGCCAATTGGCGATACTGTGGATGCATGATCGCAATCTGGAACTTTCTGACTGCCGTGGTAATTGGCCTTTTCTACAACCCTCCCCCGCGAAGCAACTCTGCAGGCCTTTCGCACTCTGAGTTACTCCGTCGCATCGACTACATAGGCGGCCTCATCGTCACGGCTGGCATCTTGTTGTTCCTGATTGGGCTGAACTGGGGAGGGCAGGCCTACCCGTGGACATCTGCACAAGTCATTGCCTGCGTGGTAATTGGGGGCTGTTTAGTGCTATTGTTTCTTGCGTATGAGGCGTTCTGGGCCCCGTTTCCTATGTTCCCTCGTCGTCTTCTTCTGCATCCACGATCATTCGTTGCCTTGATGATCGTGATCTTCATGGCTGGAATCAATTACATTCCCATTCTTTTCTTCTGGGTCCTCCAGTCGATTGCAGTTTATGACTCCTCCCACCTGCAAGCCGGAATCCGCACTCTGCCCTTTGGATTCTGCATCCTCGGAGGCGCCATCATATCCGGAGTCATGCTGTCTTTCTTCAAACAGCATCTGCGCGTCATCATGACTTGCTTCTGTGTCATCCAGACCATAGGTAATGCTATCTTCCCTGGATTGGTGAAATAAGGACCCGTACTAATACCGATCAGCAATCGCCTGCATGACCACCGCAGACACACACAACATCAACACCGTCTGGGGCCCATTAACAATCGGCCTTTTAAGCGTTGGAGGCCTCCTAGTCCCCAACCAGGTAATCGTCACCGTGATCTCCCCCGACGACCTAATCGCCACTGCTACCTCTCTCACCGTTGCCGTGCGCGCTGTCGGCCAGGTCGTCGGCACTAGCATCCTATATAGTCAATTCGTGTCGAAGATCACCAGCAACGCATACAAATATTTTGTCCCGGCGGCATTAGAAGTGGGCATTTACAACACCACTATTCTAGCGGACATGGTGCCGACTCTGACGGGCATCCCGTTCTCAGAGTACGTGCAGAGCTTACCGGAGGTAGACACAGCGGAGAAGTGGAATCTGTTGCACGAGGCTGTGCTTATGACCTTTGATACTGCATTTCAGAAGGTGTATTTGATCAGTATTGCTTTTGGGGCGATTGCGATTGTGGCGAGTTTGTTTTTGGGAGATCTTTCGAAGTTAATGGATAGGCATATTGCGGTTCCATATTTCTAGTCTTCTCTTTCCTTGTTTCTCTCTTTGTTTTTCTTGGAAGAGCTGGCTCTTGGTACTACTTGGTTAAAAGCTATTTATTCAATCAACAAAGTTTTCCATTGATAGGGTTGCCGACTTCTGATGGCCGTGATGGCAGAACTTGCGTTTTACCTATTCCCTTTCCGTCTTTTATATACTGTTCCTATTCACTCCATTATTGATACCGCAATACCGCACAAGAACAGCATATGGAGAGGGCATGCCGCTGCGGACCCCAGCGGGATTGGGCGGGCTGTAACAATGGTGGATGGCAATCTCTGTCCGTAACCATTCCAAAAAAAAAAAAAAAAAACATTGTATTAGTAGGAAGATTCGCAAGGATAAGTGCATCTCAGATAAATAGGATATACACCTTCTAGTATTCGACTTTTATCCGCAAGTTGTTCAATTTGTGGTGACGATGCAAGTTTTATAGTTGCGCTGGAGTTGAAGTCTTGGCATGTTTGTCATCCCATTTTCTTTTGATCTCATCTTCACCTCGAGTTCTTCAGGATCTCAACAACACACTTCTTCCCATTGATTGACCATGGTATGCTCAAATAATCTCCAGACAATTCCACCTCTATAACAGATCGCATCCCCAGCTCCACAGAAGCAAAATGCCCTCCATCCGCCCAACCCTCCGCACCGTGTCCCTCCTCCTCCGCCGCTCCCACTCTACCTCCTCCGTCTCCGCATCCGAAGTCTCCCACTTCTCCGCCCTCGCCAACTCCTGGTGGGATCCCATGGGCCCCTCGCGGGTTTTACACTTGATGAACCCTCTCCGCCACGACTTTCTCGCATCTTGTCTTGCCGAGTCCGACGCAAACCCTTTACCCAACGCCTCGACCGCAGCCGGAGTCTCAACCCCAGATACAGCCAAGAATAACCTCAACTACCTGGACATCGGCTGCGGCGGCGGGATCTTCGCCGAATCGCTCGCCCGCACCATCCCCCTCGAAGACTGCGCAACAGCCACCCCCACCCGCGCAGCATCAATCACCGCAATCGACCCCACCACGACCCTAATCCAGATCGCGCGCGAGCATGCCCAGACGGACCCCAAAGTCTCGGCGCATCTCCGCTCAGGCAAGTTTCGCTATGTGAACTGCACGCTGGAGGATGTAGTCGGCGGTTCCTTATCCACATCCACCACAAACGAGATAAAAAGGCCCGGCGAACCCGATAAATTCGATATGATCACCCTCTTCGAAGTCCTCGAGCACATCGACGCAACATCCAAAACCTCCACCCCCCTCACCTTCCTCACCGACTGCCTGCGCCTCGTCAAACCCGGCGGCTGGCTGGTCGGCTCGACGATCGCTCGAACATTCCCCTCCTTCCTCGTGAACCAGGTCATCGCTGAAGCGCCGTGGCCGATTGGCGTCGTCCCGCGCGGCACGCACGAATGGAGCAAGTTTGTGAACCCGGATGAGCTGGAGGCATGGGCGCAGGAGGGCCTGATGCGGGTTCACGATCTGGAGAAGGGAAACGTAACGAGGGCCGGGAGCGACGCATTGCGCGCCATGAGGTGGAAGTGCTCTGGGGTGGTGTATTTCCCTGGATTAGGATGGAAGATCGTCCCTGGGTCGGAAAATTGGGGGAACTATTTCTGGGCTGTGAGGAAGGGGGGGGGGATGTAATATCACAATATCAACTTTTCTTTTTCTTTTTGGGGGGGGGCTGGCTGGGTTTGTTGTTATCTTTCACCTGCATTACGGGTTTGCAGGTTATTTGTGTATATTAGTGTACTACTAAGTAGTAGAATTAGAGAGAGAGAGAGAGAGAGAGAGAGAGAACATGTACTATATATATATATATATATACAGTGTGTGTGTGATGGTTGAGCATGAATTAGATATAGTGAATAGGTTCTTTCTATCTAATAGTATAGCGAAGCAAAGCAGTCTAGGAGCTGGCTCTACTAGACCAACTCTGGACCTCTAGTTAACCCCCTTGGGGGCTAATAATATGATTAAATAAATGCCAGGGCCACAGATACTAATATCGGTACGGGGTATGTGTCAAAAGCTACCGCTTCCTCCCCTTACCCTTTTTCTTCGAATTACTCGGCGGATCAGGAACACTAAGTGTACCCTGAACGATATCCTCGCTCTGATCCTTCAACCGCTCCGACCCGCTAATAAAGAAGGTCAAGTCACGGTTCTGCTCGGCGAGATCGAGATTCGTCGCTTTGAGACTCTCAACTTCCGTAGTGAGATGTTCGATCCGCTGCATGAGACTCTCATTTATGGTTTTTTCCTCGCGCCACTCGCACTCCATCTTGCGGGCCATGGCTTCGAATTTCTCGGCTCGCTTCTCGGCGCGTGCCTTGTCTCGCTCAAGGCCTGGAATGGTTTCACCGGATAGCTTTTCGTACTGGGTTTGGAGGGTGCTAAAGCGGGCGGTGGTGGTTTCTGCTGCTTCTTGGGCGGAGGAGGCGGCCGCGCTGGCCTGGGAAGCCTTGTCAACTGCGCGCTCGAGGATGCCTTCGAAGTACGCTCGTTGACTCTCAAGTTGACTGGTGAGCAGGTGGGTGTATTCGACGCTCATGTTCTCGAGCTTTTCGCGGGGCACCGCGTCGGTCCAATCTGGTGGATCGAGGGCGCTGTTATCGGCGGCGGGGAGCTCTACGAGCTTGCCGTCAGTTTTGCTCTGAATGATGCGGTGCACGTAGGCGTCGCCGACGTAGTCCCATACGCGCTGGGTGGCGAGATCCAAAGCGAAGGCGTGCGAGGTTTGGCTATAGTGGGCGAAGGCGTGCGCACCATCGTAGCGGCCACAGCCGACGCTACCGCAGATGAGACAAACCCAGAGATTTAGGTCCGAGCGGCACACGCTGCACTCAGCCGGTTCATCATCGAAGGGTAGGCCCTGGCTGGTTTTGCGGTATTCGTCTTGTGTGTACCGGCAGACTGGGCAGCCGCTACCTTTCCACTTCTGGAGACATGTACAGTGAAAGACATGCTGGCATATGATGGTAAGCAAGCCAGTCGTCTCGTCCATTCGCTCCAGGCAAACAGGACACGTCGGAAGCTCGATCAGAGACGGGGTAGGAGGGGCGACGGGTTTAGTCGAGAGCGATGCGGAAGCTATACTGCTTGTTGGCTGGTTTGTCGACGACGTAGGAGTAAGTGTAGCCTGTTGAACGGCCGGTAGAGAATTCTGTCCATCCGGATCGACGGCTTGAATCTCAACAGTCTTTACAAAGACAACATGACACGTTTCCGGCTACATCAAAAAAAAAAAAAAAAGTGTTAGCACCACGACCAAACCCCAAAACCACCAAGGCAAGGGAACCCAACTAACCTCCATACTATTAAACACCTTCCCATTCCACTCCCTCTGCCACTCCCTCGCCTTCTTCCCATTCCGAAACTTCATTAAAACCATATACCGATTCGCCCTTGCTGTCCTTATCAACCGAAAATGACTCACATCATCCATCGTCGCCTCCCCCACGAACCCTAAAAAATCCGACGCGGACATATAAGACGGCACCGCAAGCACACAGAGCGTGGTGCAGTTCTCATTATCCCCGGGCCCAGAGGCCCTTTCACCACTATTGCCACCAATACTACCACTACTGCTCCCCAGCCCAACAGCCTCATCGTAATGCGATTTCCGTCGCTGCGCCGCAGCCGCAGACCCCTTCAACTCAGCCGGATACTCCTCCTCAACTAGGTACGGCGTCTCCCTTGCATCACGGTAAAGATGGACAATACCCCAGACACTTTCGGAAGATTTCTGGTCAAGGGGAACGTACAAGCCCTTTGTACGTAACCCGCCCAGGATATCTGTGCCTATCCCCGTTGTAACGGGGTTCTCGCTTTCACGGACCGGGGAGACCATATCGATACATTCAACGGAGACTTTGTCGAGTCTGAGGTCCCTTTCGAGATCGGAGGCGGTAGTAGGCGACTTACTGTACGGATAGAGCGGTGTAGAGGAGGGGTGGGAACTGGTTGTCGTCCCTGTTGTCGTTGATGTAAATGCGGAGGGTTGGGGAGTTTCGGCCGGATCGCATCGGTGGTTCCGGTTGTGTAAGTGAGTACGAGAGCTTCGACTGGTGCTGGACGGTCGCTTCTGGAAGGGAAGGAGAGCTTCACATGCAGAATCAAACGAAAGTGAAGTCGTCAGGGGTGGATTGTTGCTATTATTGTTGTTATTGTCGTTGTTCGAAACCCCAAAGGCCCTTCTTAGGTCAGACTGAGGGCGTGAGAATAGTTCGATCGCGAGATGATAAAAGTATGAGGGCATCCCGGTCGATGGCTCATGATGCTAGAGGGTTCCCAAGGTAGCTCAGCTCAGCATAGCATCCCTCTGTGTTTTGCCGGTCGTGAGGTTATGATGTATCTTGAAATTCCGCTTCACCCCGCCGATCCTAAGGTGGCGTGGGTCACGTGCAATCCAAGCATGGTGGCAAGTTTCTAGAAACTCAACATCGCGATCGACGCCTGCGAAGGCTGTTTGGTGCTGGATTACCCCTAGCTGGCTTCTTTTCGTTGGAATATAGTCGTGGCTAGTCGATGGTTGCGATTTGAACTATGCACACTACGAGCGAGCGTCTACAACCCTTACGAGACTTAAAACGGCAGAGAGACTTGGACAGAACAGGAATTGACTAGATGAGAAACAGCTGTTTCATTCGTGATTGTAGAATTTGAAGGATAGAGTATCGTCATGTACCATCAAGGTCACAAAGAAGGTATGCACATATTAACGGAAGAAAAGAAAGAAAAAACCCATCCAACGCCATGCAGGTCATTTAAACCCATAGATGAGCCAGGAAAGCAAAAGGAAAAACATTAGTTTCCACCACGGAGGCGAAGGACCAGGTGTAGAGTGCTTTCCTTCTGGATGTTGTAGTCGGAGAGCGTGCGCCCATCTTCTAGCTGTTTACCAGCGAAGATGAGACGCTGCTGGTCTGGTGGAATACCCTCCTTGTCCTGAATCTTTGTCTTGACATTGTCGATTGTGTCAGAGCTCTCAACCTCCAGTGTGATGGTCTTTCCAGTTAGAGTTTTGACGAAGATCTGCATACCACCACGCAGACGGAGCACAAGGTGAAGGGTAGATTCTTTTTGGATGTTGTAGTCCGACAGAGTACGACCATCCTCAAGTTGCTTTCCAGCGAAGATGAGACGTTGCTGGTCTGGTGGGATGCCCTCTTTATCTTGGATCTTTGTCTTGACGTTGTCGATTGTGTCGGAGCTCTCGACCTCCAGTGTGATGGTCTTTCCAGTGAGAGTCTTGACGAAGATCTGCATCCCACCACGCAGACGCAGAACCAGGTGAAGGGTGGATTCCTTCTGGATGTTGTAGTCGGACAGAGTGCGGCCATCCTCCAGTTGCTTACCAGCAAAGATCAAACGCTGCTGGTCAGGGGGGATACCCTCCTTGTCCTGAATCTTGGTCTTGACGTTGTCGATAGTATCGCTAGACTCCACCTCGAGGGTGATAGTCTTACCAGTGAGGGTCTTGACAACTGTTTCGAGTCATTAGTATACTGGGGTTTGGAAGTGGCCAAACTGGGTGGCCAAACTGGGTGGCAAATGACGGGTAAACTCACAGATCTGCATTCCACCACGCAGACGGAGGACCAGGTGGAGAGTCGACTCCTTTTGAATGTTGTAGTCGGAGAGAGTACGGCCGTCTTCCAGCTGCTTACCAGCAAAGATCAAACGCTGCTGGTCAGGGGGGATACCCTCCTTGTCCTGAATCTTGGTCTTGACGTTGTCGATAGTATCGCTAGACTCCACCTCAAGGGTGATGGTCTTTCCGGTGACTGAAGCAGAGAGAGACTGTCAGAAAAAAAGAAAAGAAAAGGAATTCTGGCGTTATCAACGATGGAGGAAAGTCAAGAATACTTACGGGTCTTGACGAAGATCTGCATGGTGATGACGATAAGAGCGGTCAACAAGTAGGAACGAGGGAGGGGAAGATAAGTAGGTGAAAACGAGTCGATGGATGATGAGAAATGGAAAGAAGTAGGAAGGTGATAGTCTCTCACAGAGGCCAAAAGGACGTAGGTTATAGGAGTGTGGGAAAGAGGAGAAAAGAAAAGAGTCACGAGAGGAGAGGCAGGAAGAGGAGGCCCTTAAGTACCTTCCGAGAGGACGAGATGAGGGGAGGCGAAGCCAACTTAGTCAGAGGCAGAGTCAGCCTGGAGAGTCAGGGAGGGAGGGCGGGCTACCACCACATTCCGTTATGTTCTGGCCATTTACTGGCTGATGATCCCTTCTTGCTCCAGCTTCTTAGTATTAACACTCACATCGATAGCGGTCTCTCTCCGTCCGCGCCCGCCAACTAACGCCACCGGCCAGGATGGACTTATCTTCTCTACATATTTTTGAGTCTCGATTTCTTAAAAAAAAAAAAAAAAAAAAAAATCCATTTTCAGGGTTGATTATGACAAACTACATGAGCACTGTTCCCTGACAAAGGAGGGAAATTTTTATCTTCCATCGAACCACTTGAACACTATGACGTGTGAGTCTCGGTCCTTATCACCAGAGTGGACACTTTTCCCAAATATAAACCAAGCCTAACTAATATCAACTAGTGGTTGCTAAAATCAACACTAAACTTAAAGTGACTAAACGGCCCTGCAGGGTCAGGTGATCGTCGCATCCGGTGGTGATTTTGCGCTTCCCCCGCTTTCCGCCATTATTCCCGCATAGAACATCATTCAATGGGAACTGGATGGGTATGTATGTCAAAGTGGACCCGACCTAGGTACACCGTACTCGTAGGCACCCTTGGCCTCCATGAAGGTACCTAGGTACACGTGGATTATTGATTCGTTTCTTTCCAAAACGGAAAGTACCCTAGAACCTGCAATTTGAACCAGGAAGCCATACCCTAATGCAAGCACGACCAGGAATGAATCAGGTGTTTTATCTCCACGGCTGGTGAGCGGGCTAGCTTTTGCAAACTCCAACTGAAAAGTACCTAGGTATCAAATTGGTAAAATCTGGATATCATCATTGAGTGCTGGCAGATCATAATTTAGACTAGAGACAAAAACTCGTCGAGAGAGGACGCTTGCTTCTCATTGGAACTGAATTCCCCGGCTCTGCCTCGAGACTTCGACTTTTCGAGAGCCACCAACATCCGAATACTTAAACAAAAGGTCAAAGAAAAACAAGTCACCAACACACTCACAACACGCTCACAACACGCACGCGCGCGCGCTAAATTAAGTACACAAATGCAAACATACAGCATCATGAAGCGAGAACTAGCCTCCAGCACGACTCGACAACGCGGTTGCCGCCATGATTTGCTGTCAAACATTTCGTGACCATACAATATCGTGACATTCGTGATCCTCATCATCGCTGACGTAAGTACTGTGCGAGAAGGTATACCACTGAAAGACAGAGGGAAAAAAGAAAAAGAAAAAGAGAGAGACAGAGAACAGTGAGATAAACAAACAGATGCTTCAGGCTAGAACTTGCAAAGATAAGAAATACCGTTTCCCAGAAAAGAAAAAGAAAGAAATCAAGGGGGAAAAAAAAATCAAAGAAAAAGAAACCAGAAGGCTGAATAGTGACCGAGACAATAAAAATGCGAGCGGACAGAGTAGACATTGCTAAAAGCTTTACTACGAGTTGTCGTAATCATAAATACTGGCATATCTCGTTCATTCTGTCGTATATCGATTGGGTGCGGGCTGCAACCTATGTACTTCGATTCAATCGTTTTAATTCGCTCGAATCACAAGTCTTGAGATGAACTTGTTTGATAAACAGTCAAAGTCATCCCTATTGAACTTGGAGGCTGAGCGGCCACGGAGGTAGCTTTCTGTTGGGCATTAGCTTCGAGGGGCCAGGATAACAATTGACAAGTTTAGGTTCTTACCGAATTGCGTGACGTGCTGACGGACTTCCGTCATGGCATTGCAAACGTCAGGATTCGAGTTGAGTAGGTGATGATGCTTTTGCGTTTCCCAATCGGTGAAAGGAGGTAGCTTTTGTGAGATGGCCTGAAACAGGCCAACAATGACACCAACAGGTGTAGTTTCCATGTCCTTGCAGAACTTATCCACAGCGGCGGCATCCTTGTTTGATATTAGCAATCCTGTATATTTGAGCCAGTATGAGTGGTTCCATAGACTCACCGGTGTGCGGTAGTGACAATCAAACTGCATTTCTTCCCACACGCCAAGAAGAATAGACGCTAGGATAAAGATTGTGGGCCAGTTCTTCAATTTCTCCCCGCTGTAGACACTGGAGTACAGGCTGGACAACTCTTCCAGAACATCTTTCTGTAGTTCACGCCACATGTTCGCCATGGCACACTTGATTTGGAAATTGATCATCACAGGAGCCATGATCTTGCCCGTGAACTTTGAGGTTGGGTCTTCGATCTTGCCAAGGAAACCATCCTCCTCACCAAGACCTTCCACCATCGTAACGTGTAGGGTCAGATTGTAGGCAATGATGAGCTTCAGAGCTTTGCGGATGACTGGCAACTTTGTGCGGAAGTAATATCGGAATGCTGTCTTGAGCATTTGCGTCAGGAAGGGTGTGCCTTCGAAGTAATCATCGACAAACTTCTCAAAGGTACCGTTGCCATCAATATGGCGGTCCAGATAATCAGAGAGCATAGCATGCGAAATACCTTCCATACCGGCAGACAACTTTGCTGTTTCAACCTCATACTGGGTTGGTTCTCGGTTCATCGACTCAACCCAGTCAATGCTGAAGCACTGCTCATCTCTTACATACACCTCGCGAGCGTTGATAGGAAGAACTTGACCATAGCCATGGGTAATAAAGAGTGTTCTTTCGTGCTCCGAGAACCCCTTAATATTCCCAACCGAAAATCCCAGGGTGATATGTCGCTCGTAGTCTGCCTTCCAATCTTTCATGAAATACCCGATCTCCTTGATGTCGATACGAGTGCAAGGGACCTGCCACAGCCTTGCATGAGAAGGCTGACAGCCAGCACAAGGTTCGCCCTTGTCACACTAGTTGTACGTATGAATTAGTGTTATGGAGGGGTTAATTCTCATGATAACACACAAACTTACGGTCTTCTTCAAGAACTTGCAGCGCAGACAAGCCCTCAGCTTTCGGATCTCGCTCGCTTGCTTTCGCTGATCGGGCTTGAGAGGACCCTTCCGCTTTCCGACCTTCTTCTCGGTTGTTTCAGGTTTTCCGCTCTGAGACTGCTTGCGGACCTTGGTTTCAGCGGTCTTGGCAGCTATGGGGCTTCTGCGTGATGGTTTCCTACTGGGAGGCGAGGCGGACGATGCTTGGGAGCCGGAAGACCGCGCGGGCGAAGTGGACTTCTTTGCGGGTACCTGGATGGGTCGGACAATCGCAACAGGGCTGACTGCTGTGGGTGATTGTGACCCATGCGATGTGTGATCATAGGAGACGCGTCGGGTCAAAGAGGTGTTGAAAGAGGGTTCAAAATTGTTTTCGGAGCCTGGGGAGTTGACTGGATTGGAAATATCAACAAAGCTACCATAAGATGTCGAGTAAGATGATTCGGACAGACTGCGATCGTGCAGAGTCTGTGTCGGGTTAATGAAAACCTGATCTGGGAAAGAAAACTCATGCGAACGACGGGGCTCGATCGTGCTCCAGCCGTTGTCACTGCTGGAGCTGGTAAGGGATCGGACCTCCAAATAGGTGTCCGTTGGCGAGCTGCTATCGATCATATTCTGCGGCGCACCATAAGTCATGTCGGGAAGCCCGTTTGGCGGGAAGCCGATGAGGTCCGTCGGTAGATCTTGGTAGGGAAATGAGACCATCTCCACGGGTGCGGCGATAGGTAAATAAGGACCATCGATCAGGCTCGTGCCCAACGGGCCATGCGGTCCTGACATCAGATCCACGGGCGAGGAGTGGATTGTCATACCGTAGCTTGCGGCCGTGAACTGGGGAGCAGTGGCTTCTTCATGAGAGTACTGAAGGTGGGGTTGCAAATGCTGAAACTGCCAGTCGACGATGAGATTGGGGTCCTGAGCTACTGACTGTTCAAAGGCGTGACCGCTGGTTTGCAAAGGTGAGATATCTCGTCCGGTGTCAGTTCGCTGGGAGGCCTGGTGGTCCACCGCCACTGGCCATGACTGAGACTGAATATAGGTTCTCGAGTCATAATCCAGGCCGATGAAGCCATCATTGGATAAATCGACATTTGACATTGTGAAGACCGACAATCTACCAGCGATGTAGGGTGAAAAGAGTTTGAAATAAAAGGAAAAAAAAAAGAAAAAGAAAAAGAAAAAAAAAAAGAAAAGGTGACCAGAGAGATCTGGGTTTTTTGGGGGGGGGGGAAGTAGTACAAAAAACAAAAAGGGATCAAGATTAAAACTGGGCAACGAAGCCTAAGGACAAAGGGCTTCGGAGGAGCAGAAAGCCCAGAATCCGGGGGTGCAAAAGAGGACGAGAAAGGATGAGACGATGAAGGGCAGGGAGCGGTGGGGAGCAAAGCAGCGGTGAAGCGGGAGTTGCGTCGGCCGGAGATACGCTAGGGGATCCTAGGAAGGAGTTATCGCTATCGAAGTGGGGGGCTGGAGGTCATTCGGCGACACTAGGATTGCATTCTTAATGCCACTCACCGAATCTCTGGAACTTAGTTATAACTTATATATATCTTCCCCTCATGATTCTGTATTTCGGCACGACGGAGGATTCCTACTAGTTAGTACGGAGTAGTTAGTAGTATGTACTAACTACTAGTACGACTACTACGTTGGTAAGTATCGTGGCGCTGTAGGAATACAGTTACCCTTTTGAGTCTAGTCAAAGATCCCGACATATAAATTACTATATAATATATATTACAGACCTCATCTCGTCCCGGACTCCGACTAGTGACGCCCATGATTATCATTCTTGATCTCTAGTGGACACTGGACAGTCCTCCTAGATACATAAGTAGTGCCTAATCAAGTAATTTGAAGATGAACAAGATAAATTAGGCTCCGTAGCCCGTACACATGTGTACAGGAGTGTGCGTACCGTAGTAATGGGGACGGCGCTTCCGAACCGCTGACGGGATCTGTGATGCTACTACTTCCCAAGGACGCCCCATTCTTTGTTTGTTATGAGAAGGCGAGTCATTGATTTCATAACCCAGTCCCATCGACAGTAACGGACGATTTGCTTTCGATCATAGAGGTATACAGCGGGGACTCTGATACTAAAGTGTTCTATGGCTGCTGGGCGGATTGTCCGTTGAGGAGACCACGGAAAGAGGGGAGATCAGTGGGAATCCATCAAGATCCAGGTCTCTATTGAGCCCGAAATCTCGCTAGTCATGATTGGGAAACGCCGATCGGATCCAGGCCGTGGCAATACGAGGGAACCTGGGAAAGTTGACTCGGAAACACCCCGCTGACAGCCTTCCAATTGCCTTTCCAAAGGGCGCACAAGGTTGTCAGCACGGCCCTTGTACAGCAGCCGTGACAGGACAGCCTCCTCGGAGTATATCCCGTGGTGCGGTAATCTATCATTCTTCGTGGCTATTGCGATTACGTCTTTTTACCGTCGCGACTTGACTCACTGCAGTGAAGGCAAGCGAATTCCCCCGAGCTCGGTTTCGCAGAGGCTGCTATATGGAGAAAGAGCCATGTATGTCCCGACATACACCTATACATAACTGTTCGCCTGGCGCTTATTTGGTCAGTTGCTTCCAATAATAACTCTCTTCCCAACCAGTGGTCAATCACTTCTGCACACATGTAGCATTGTAGGATCGGTTGCCAACGAAGTGGCTGACGGTGCAGTAGTTTCACCCTTCGTTCGTACGCTACTGTGAAGCATCATTTCCCGCTTCAAGATTATCCTAATCTATGGCCTATTAGCGTGATGGGGGAGAAGGTGTTCAATCCGGGATGAGAGGAAGAGGAGAGTAGATAAATGAGTTGTTCTCGTTCCCGGCATATTACGGGCAAGTAACCTCTATCAGATGGAACCGATATATGCAACCCATGATGCACTGGAATATCCAGAGAAGAATGCTAGGTCCTTCCCTATCTACCCTTCAAGTTCACCACCTATTTACTCCGGAGCAGGTCCACGCTACTAGGTACCCTATACCAGCTGCTTACCCTATTTGGCAATCCTTTTCTGCTCAGTTGCCTCCACACATTTGAATTTTTGTAGGAGCAAGGGCGGGCTGGCTCCGAGTGCCAGCAATCTGGACAGAGAGTAAATTGAGTGACAGATCATATATTGTTTCTCAACAAACCTGCAAGATCAAAAGGCTATCAGGGTGCATTTTCATGGGCCACCTCTGAAAGTGAAGGCAAAAAAAAAATTGGCAATAAGTCGAGGGTCACACAACTTACAAAACTCAAGCCGTAAGGAAACATTTCTACATATGAGGTCAAGGCCCGCAGACTCCACTCTGGCGAAGCTCAACGAATCGACTTTGCTGACCCTGAACCATATCGACATCACTTGATTGTGACTCGCAGAACAGCCACGCGTGCGATGGGCCGCAAGCCATAGCACATCCCGGCCGGCTCGTTTCGACCTTCTCCTTCGTGCTTAAACAACGTCGTCGGAGAAGCTCATTGTTGGAATAGCAGCTTTGGGAGAGATGCTATCGATCCAGCGGGTTGGCCGCCGCCCAAGCAACAGGAAACGATGCGCGCACTATCGTTGATGGGTATACCATAAATAGAGTACAGGCTTCATAACTTTAAATTTTGACTGAATTGATGCACGCCATCACGATCACGGCTATCATCATTTTAGATGATTGCCAATCGAACTGGTTTATGGGATAATCCCTGAGCTCAAGGTTTGTTTGTCCCACAACCAGAGATGTGCGACTCAGGTCATTCTCGAGGTTACTATGAATATTGGTACGAAACAGTACACCTTTGATAAGTTCTCGTATTTTATGGAGCTGTACGGAGTATTGAATCCAGAATTGAAAACTCAACTGGCAATAATACTGCTGTAAATAAAACACCTGCAAGTTGATCTCTTACCAGATCCGTTTTGGCAGGAGACCTTCTTTTTTTTTTAAAAAAAAAGAAAGAAAGAAGAAAACAGAAAAAGAAAAGAGAAAAGAAAAAGAAAAGAAACGCCAGCGTCACGGGACCTGTCTCAATTCAGTGGTGGATCATCAAAACGGTAAAGATAGATGTGGTCAGGAATGATACTTGTACGAGGCATAATATTCTGATCTCAGAGATGCTCCTTTTGTTCTCTAGTGATTAGCGAGATAAGAAAAGAATACCACCAAGGAAAATTTAGCGGAGATGTCTTCAATTAACTGGAGCGGTTATGGATGATGCTAAAAATTGAGGTCGTCGAGTTGGGGTTCCATCTCGTCTTGCGCATTTGGCCGCTTCGCCACCCCTGTTCTGCGTGGAGGGGTCAAGTCATGGTTGGCGAAGCGGGAAAAGAACAATGCTCTCGCCATGAGCATCCACATCATTGACAGGAGGGGGAACAATCTGAAAAAGACAATAAGAGCAACAACAATACGAATTAATGATGACCCAAATCGCTATCCCATGTTGACAAAAAGCCATCTAGAGCAACCTATATAGACGCGTTTTTCTTCTCGGAGTTCATGCCTCTCATTATCGCTGCTACGGGGAAACAGCGTCGGAAAGTTCGTTTCCCGTCAGCCAGTCACGCAGCCCAGCCAGGAAAAGGCGAGGACAAGATTGGAAGATTCAGGGATCGTCTACCAGCGAGTAGCCGTACTTTGCCAGCGTCCACTTACCAAGACTCCCGCAATCAGCACGCCAGGATGGATGATCCCTTAGTACATCCCGGCATTCCCACCCTTTTCACAGAGCCGCCTCGAATCCATGACGCACTCATTACAGAGACCACAGAGGTCCAGGATGAGACCGTCAATAAGTGCCTGCCATTTTTAAAAGGAATTCATGCGAACCAACAGGACCCACTTAATCGGCATGGTGTGCCTCCCCTTAAGCGTGATGAGCATATTAGCTATCTATACGACTCCCTGGAGGACTACCCTGCAAGCTTCGTCGGCCTCGATGCTAGTCGTCCATGGATGGTATATTGGGCTTTAGCGGGCCTATGCTTACTTGGCGAAGATGTCAGTAAATATCGCGAACGGTAAGTTATTGCTGGGTTTACTTTCCTCTAGTCACATGTTCTGGCCTTTGCTTGCAGGGTGTGCGGCGGGCTCAAAATTTTAGCTTTCGAGACTTCATATCCTTCTAACCCTGTGGTATTTAGTGCCATATCCTCATTTCAGCCCATGCAGAACCCTACAGGTGGGTTTGGAGGAGGTCATGGCCAGATTTCTCACTGCGCATCAAGCTATGCCGCGGTACTGTCTCTCGCCATGGTAGGAGGTGAGGAGGCATTCAGACTCATTGATCGCAGAGAAATGTGAGTTGTACCGCTTCTATTGACAGACAAAGCTTTCCTAACACTGCAAAAGGTGGAGGTGGCTCGGACGACTGAAGCAGCCAGATGGAGGCTTCACACTCTGCGAGGGCGGGGAAGAAGACGTGCGGTATTATTTCCCTTTCTATCTTCTTGTGCGCCAACCTCATTTTACTAAATGCATGACCAGGGGTGCCTACTGTGCGATGGTGATCATATCACTTCTAGGCTTGCCACTTTCTTTGCCTCCTGAGGCCAAAGCCCGGCAGTCCGGACTAGAAACTTTCACGAGTGGTCTTTCGGAATACCTATCTCGATGTAAGCCTAATCCAGTTGGAGGATACTGGATGTGACTGATTAAAGGTCCTAGGCCAAACATTCGAAGGTGGAATCTCCGGGAGCCCAGGTTCAGAGGCACATGGCGCCTACGCCTTCTGCGCGTTGGCGTGCCTCTGCATCCTTGGCCAACCAGAAGTCACAGTCCCTAGGTAAGAGATGCATCTTCTTTTAAAATTTCCGTGTTTACTGAGGCAAATAGGAGCATGGATATTTCATTACTGCTATCGTGGCTTTCTTCTCGACAGTACGCGCCGGAGGGAGGGTTCTCCGGACGAACTAATAAGCTGGTAGATGGGTGTTACAGCCATTGGGTTGGCAGCTGTTGGCCATTGATCCAATCTGCACTCAATGGAACCCAGCCCGCTGCAGCCGCAAGGCCACCTCCTGCAGACAACCTCTACAGCAGAGAAGGATTAACGAGATATATCCTTGCTTGTTGCCAGTCTAAAAATGGAGGGCTCCGTGACAAGCCCGGAAAGTATGTTCAAGAAATAAACCTGGTTGTCTTTATCGTCTCGCTTATTCAAAGGTACTGACGTCAACCCAAAGACATCCAGATTCGTATCACACTTGCTACACCCTCACCGGACTCAGCTCCGTCCAATATCGCCACTACCATACTGACTCGAGTTCTATTTCTCAAGGAGAGTTCTCGTCGGCATTTTCCTGGAAATACCTACCTGTCTTCGAGTCAGATGGTCAGGGATCCGATATTAATGTATTTGGCGAAAACGACCGTCTGATGGCATTCCATCCTCTTTTTGTGATTCCCCACAAAGCTGCTGAGAGGATGCGCCTCTGGTACGAAAGTGAGCCACTGAATATTTGAGGTGCCGAGAGCAATGGGGGTGTCTGGGTATGGTGAAGATAAGTTTGAAGGGGCTGAGAAAACAGCCCCAATGCCGCACAACAAACCCACAGTGAAATGACTCTATATCAAGAGTTCTTAGTTTTTTTTTTTTTTTTTTTTTTTCTTTTCTTTTCTTTTCTTTTCTTTTCTCATATCATAGTACCTACAAATATAAAGCTATGGAACCCTCTCTAGATAACTCATGTCGCACACGGGTTATTTGAGTAAATCCTCAGCGGCCACGCGATTGACTGGCGCGCCGGGATCGCAAGCAAGGGGTTTTCTACTGAAGATAGTTCGTAGCGCTTTATCTGCAATTGTATTTGAAGCTACAATTTCACGACGAATAGTTTGTCACCAGATTATCTTAGCTATTGTCGGGAAATCTTAGAATTTCAGTTTTATAAGGACAACTGTTTTGTTGCAATGGAATCACCTGCGTGACTTCGCTCAGTCGGCCAACATCTATCACACCAACCAGGGGTCTCATGTGTTCCCTTTTCTTTCCCTCTCATTCCTTAGCCCAAGGTCAGCCTCCTTTTCACATGCTGCGAACAGCAACACCTATGAGTCTATCCATTATTCTAAATTCCGGAAAGGCGATTCAGCACGTTCGTCCTGAATTCTCGAGCTTGGTTATTTCTTGTCTAAGCGCCCCGAGGACAAGGGTGATGGACGCGAAACAAGGCAGAAAGACACAATTGAAAAGGAGGGTCAATCGGAGTGAAGACGCTCCACGTCGTCGTTGCAACGCCGCCAGATTATTAACAGAGAGAGGGAAAGAAAGAAAAAAAAAAGGCAGACATACACCATGCACAGACCCGAGCACTGCAATCTACTGCAGCCCATTCCTCCTGGGGTTAAAAAAAGGGATGGTGATCGAGGCAAATCTTCAGAGACAGGGGCCTTTTCGATGGCGCTGTAAATTCAACCTCCCGGAGATATCAGTGAGCAACAAGAAGAACAAGAAGGATTGTACTAATTACGCGCAAGGTCCATGTCCTCTTTCCTCCTTTCCACCTCGTGGAGGAAGTGGCATGGGGTTCCCCGCCGCGCGAAGCAAGCGAAACTGCCAACTCATCATTGCATTCGATACCTGCCTGTCAACATGAACACCGAAAGATGGCTGGGCCAATCTCGTCTTGATCCACCGGCTGCCAGTCCAGAACTCCCTCCAGCTTTCTACATCGGTAGGTTATCGTGCCACTCAGGAATATGGCGGATATGATCATCACTATTATTATGATCATAATGAGTACTCTCCTATGCATTTTTGCCGCTGTTTCTTGTTTGGGCCCCCGCGGGCGTCAAATCCTGAGACTACTATCCTTACGAGGACGATTCCTGCCATTCTAATATCATAGCAACTTACTACTAGCTAGAATTCTGACGAAGCGGTCAACTCTCAAGGAGAGAAAATGAAGACGCGTGTGGGCGACTAGCCGACTCATCGAGGACCATGATCGTCTCTTAGCATTAAACTATGCAGAAGATTACTACCAAGTCCCATCGCAAATTAATTAACGAAATTACATTATTACTCTCGAGTCTTGACTCCTTCTGGCTTTTGCCCCCATAACCTCAATCCTTCCATTGTCATGGGTTCCATCTGGGGGATTTTAACCCCCAGTGCTTTTCTGCGCGACATGAACCAACCCCTCGTTGTGAATCATCATTGTCTGCATTAGCGGTCTCTTAAGGGCGGCAGTCATTTTATCTCATTTATTTCGGGGTTCTTTTTTCCGCTTGGAGCATTTTCGTGCTTGCCGATTCCTGACAGGGCAGGGACGTATTCGTCTCTTGCAGTCCACCTCGCGAGGACTATTGAATAATGTTTCGATCAGAGAAAAACAAAACGATAACTGATCCAGAACACTTATTACGGCATGGTCTGCACCCAAGGAACTGGCATTCATTCTGCAGGATTTCTGGGAGGCCGAGATGGCTGATTTGCTCGGGAAATCCTGAGCACCATGTCAATCTTCACTGCCTGGATCAGCGGCGAATTACACCGTGGCATATGGGTCAGTACATCCTGATCTTTCATGCTGGATCACTGGCCAAAAGCCATGCCAGCACATCAGGGTTTCAACTCCAAACAGACAGAAAATGAGACGAACGAAGCTAGAGAACTTTAGGACCGCACTGGGCCATCGAATTCACCTCTTACCTTTCGCCATCCACCCAGTTGGTGGAGAATACCTAATGAGCCGGTTGGAGGCCGTTGTTTTTTTATTTTTATTTTTCATATGTTTTTTTTTTTACTTTTTCACCCTTGATACTTTTCGTTCCTTCTCATACTACCCATGACTCTTGCCTACGGGCTTTATGAACCCCACCTGTGTTATTTGAGCCGATTATACCTGGCAAACATGATAGCCATCACTTCTCTTTTCTTTTTCTCCTGTCTTCCGCGATTGAATGGCATGTTGTTGTCTCTCCTCGGCCGCTAGCCTTAACTCCCTTGGGGATATCCGTCTCTTTGCTTGAAATTATCTATTCCAAGCCGCTTTCATTGATGTCCCGTGTCTCGGCCTTGTGGCTATTACAAGAATACCCAAAGTCCCATTAAGCATCATATGAGAACGTGGTCATTGGGCACCAACAAACAACCATCAACATAGGGCTCGTTCCAATGCTTCTGGTGTGATTGCCGGGATCCTCTGCAGTATCAAAGGGTTTGAGGCAGCGAATACTGACCCAATATCATCTTACGGCACGGATTCTATTGGACATCCGCTTGTTTTCAAGATGTACTATGTTCTCTACCTTGCGAGTATGTAGTGACTTTTTTTCCTTTCTAATTTATGATAATAACCAGCCTCAACTTGCATTTTTACTTTGATACCCGATTGGACTTCTCCGGCGTTATTCGCGCCTCATAAATGGGTTGTTGATGATTTCCCTAAGATCATTCCGTGAAGAGCCTTGCACATGCCCCATTTGGAATTAATCCAAGGGGTTCCCGTTTTATCTATGCATTGTATGGTTGATTGAGTTTTCGGAGAATTGTTATCATTGGCGCGTTGGACTGGCCCATTTTAAAGTGCCCTCAAAAAGAGAACATTCCACGTTCAGTATCCAATAACCATGTGTACAGGTCTCTGCCGACGTCGTCGCTGGCCAGAGCCGCTCTACGAATCCCACGCAAGCACTACCGGGTACACCTGCATCGTCCGCGTCAACAACCGCGAGTACCAGACGGATGTTGTTTGCGATTCCGAGACGCTTGCCCAGGAGAATGCAGCCATGCGTGCCTACCTTATTTGCCGTAACTTTTCCGTGAATGACGGCAAGTGCCCGGTAGGCCACGACAATGGCGGAGTCGTCCAGGGGATACCGGTGGCTATTGGCACCGGAAGAAGGGTCCGCTATGGAGACGAAATCGATATGTCGACGAGTGAGGGGAGCAGAAGCGGCGGTAGTAGCCCTGAAAGCTATGAGGGAGGACGAATGGGCCTTGACCGACGATCAATTGGGCCATCTCGGGCCCTTGCCTTCAGCAGTCGCAATTTGTAGCTTAAATCGACCACCTCCTTGTCAAAACTTCTAGCCAATCACGAACAAGAAGAGACAGGGGGAAAAGGGAAAAAAGGGAAAAAAAAAAAAAAAAAAAAAAGAAAGAAAGAAAGAAAGAAAACGCCAGGCTCAAGGAAAGAAATAAGAACAAAAAAATGGAGATGGTTTTGAGATAGGAGGAGGAGGAGGAGGAGGAGGAGGCAATTGAAAACACATACACACCCCCTTTCTTTTTTATGATGTGATGACTTATGACATGACCCGAATATCCAATAGATCAAATGCCGTCTTTTCTTTCCGTGATTGTTTATCGAGTTCTCTTTCCTTCACCGTCATTAGTCTCCTATTGAGAGGAGAGGATGGCAGTTCTGGTCTGCTGGCAGGTCTACAGAATTACAGACTGTATACATGCTTTGTTGTTGTTGCTCTGTGGTGGCCAGCGGGTTATTTGTCTTACTTTTTTCGTGGAACATTTTCAAGCCAAATATAGCGTTGATTTTATTCATTCGTCTCATTTGTTTGAGATTGTACGGAGCTGGACCGTTGTACAACCGTTACTGTCACTTGAACTGGGGGTTTTCAACATTCCCATTCAATACAATGTGATTTTTTAAGCTGATGTGGTACGCTCACCATATAGTTACAAAGAAGTTTTTCTCCAGAAGCTACCAATCGATAGTATCTACTATACCTGCCAGGTACTGTCACAGGGTTCATATGTAAAAACCTACCTATTTCAGGCGATAACTCGAGCTCCCCATTGATATTACCCAACCGGGAAGACATGACATGAGGGTGTCCAAGGCTGCCAAGTTGCTGAGTCATCATGCCATAGTTAACGTAATTCCTAGGTCATCCAGCCACCACAAGTCATCCAGCCACCCACCAAATTCTACCAATTGTTGAAAAACTTAAAGCTATCCCTAACTACCAAAACACGTGTATTTCTATTAATTCTAATTATTTAGATATGTAGGATATCTAATTCTAGTATGACCTTAAATATTACAATTAGAGCATGTTGGTGGAGTGTGTTTTAAACCTTCTAAAGATAATATTCTAACCAATACTAGGTCAATATTTTTACTAGTAGACCTATTATTTTACCTATTTTATAATAAAATTAGATCTCTTACTTCCTGTACTAAAATACCTTTATTAGGGGTTATCTAGTATTTAGATTAACTCCTTTTTTACTTCTCTTTTATATTTTCTAACCAGAGTTTGCGAATTTTAGCTTCCATGTCACGGCGACCACGTGACATGCAACCACATGCTGAACCACATGCCAAACCACATACCCAGTAACCAAGGGTAATCAGGAGAATAGTAATATTTGAGTTGCCTATACCATGCCAGTAACTTAACTAGGCAATATAAATAGTAATATAATAACCCCTAAAGTACTAAGAGATAAGTATTTTATTTTATTACTTTTAATATCTTTCTACTATCCTTATACTTTATATAGCTTTGCTTCCTTTACTAATACTACCTATACTTAAGTACCTTACTAGTAAGATGCTTATAATTTAAAGTACTTCTTTACTAAGTAAAGTAATATAGTAAGTATAAGAAGAACTACCTACTCCTTTTCTTAAGGAATAATAGATTTAAACTCTATAGAATTTATAATTATAGTTTTAGAAACTATTATTAAGGAAGGTTTAATAGTACTAGTAACTCTCTAGTACTAACCTATTAAGTTAATAGAAGATAATAAGCTATAGTACATGGCCTAATATATAGTATAAGCTATATAGATAGGTAGGGAGAAGGTGCCTAAACCTAAGTTTTTTAAGGTATAAAATCTAAAAGAACTTAGTATTTTCCTAAAAGATTTCTAAGACTACTTTAGATTATAAGGGAAACTTTATAAAAGTAATATAATTAAGATTTATTATATTATAGATTATCTAAAAAATAATATAAAATAAGTATAATATTCTAAATATAGAGTAAATTCTAAAAAACTTACTTATTTAAAATTTATTAAGTTCTTGTAAAACTTTCTAGAATTAGAGAGAGATTATAAATAGATAGTAGCTTACTAGCTTTTATATATAAAATAAGAACTATAATAGAGTATATAAATCTTAATAACCTAGATAAAGAAATTTATCCTAATAATTAAAGTTAATTTTAAAGGATTCCTCTACTAGCTAGTTATTTAAATAGCCTGGTCTAAATTATATAAGGAAATCTAGTAAGATATAATAATATTATAAAATCTAGCTAAAGTTATTAAACTAAGGGTAAGGTATAAGAAACTTTAGAAATAAGAGAAGTAGGAAAAGTTAAATAAAATATAACTAAACTAATCCTTAGGATCTTATATATTAAAGGATAACTTAAGGAAAAAAAAAAAAGATAATAGTAAAGTAATAAATCCCTAATTAAATAAATTCTAGTAAAAAGAGTTAAAGAAGGAGTAGTAGAACTACTAAAATTAAAGAAAGAAAGGCTAATATTACTAGTATAATTAAACTAGTTATATTATAAGAAAATATCTCTAATATAAAGAAGGTATTAAGAAGGCAGGAGAATTAGAAAACTAAGATTAATAATAATTAAATACTCTAGAATCTCTAATACTCTAATAAGATAAAGAGATACTAGTAGGATCCCTTCTAGCTACTATAGCTATCCTAGTAGGCAAGAAATAAGTTATAATAAGGGTACTTATAAATATTAGAATAAATAAAGACTTTATTTCTTACTATTTCTTAGCTAAAGAAGGAATAAATCTTAATAAGATAAAAATAGAGTAACTTATATATTTTATTAATAATTTAATAATACTATATTATATAAGATTCTAGATAAAAAGTTAAATTATAGATAATCTTAATAAAATTAGAAAATTTAATATAGAATATTATATAGTAAATTTAAAAGAAAAAAAATATTAACTAATTCTAGAATATAACTAGTTAAGTCTAATTAATCTTAATATCTCTTTAGTAGCAAATACCTAGTACTACTAAGAGAAAAAGTTAAAGATTAAAATTAAATTATCTAAATAATTTAAGAATATAATAAAATAAGGACTTACTATACTAGTCTTAAACTAATTATATAATAATAGTAGTATAATAGGGACTCTCCCTAAATATTATAAAGAATAAAAATTAATATTTTTAAAAAAAGAGATAGAGATACTCCCCTTTAAAAAAGCTAGTTATAATATATTATTAGTTATTAGTATAGTATTATTAATAGGCTGGCTATATAATATATTAAGGATAAAGTTAGTAATTTTAAGGAAGTATATTAATTAAATATTAGAAAAAGAATAGATCTAGCTTTTAATAAGTATAGTAAGCATGCTAGTACTTTTTATATAAAAAACTAATAGGTTATTATAGCTCTATATAAATTATAAGGGCCTGAATATAATTATTATTAAGAATTAATATCTCCTCCTATAAATTAATAAACTAATAAATTAACTAATTAAAGCTAAATAATTTACTAAACTAGATTTATAAGATACTTATTACTAGATTTATATTTATTAAGATAATAAGTAAAAAATAGTATTTTATATAAGATATAGATACTATAAATATTTAATTATATTTTTTAAATTATATAATACCCTAGCTACTTTTTAAATATATATTAATAAAGTAATAAAAAGAATTTTAAATAAATTTTATATAATATATTTAGATAATATTTTAATTTACTTATAAATAAAGAAAAAATATAAATATTATATTAATAAAATATTATTATATTTCTAGAAGTATAATCTCTATATAAAATTTTTAAAGTATAACTTTTATTAGAAGAAAGTATATTTCCTTAATTTTATTATAGGAATTAAAGGAATCTAAATAAACCTTAAATAAGTATATATTATAGATAACTAGCTAGAATTATACTTATTCTATAATATTTAAGTATTTCTAGGATTTATAGGATATTTTTAAAAATTTATTTACTAATACTTTAAGATTACTACCCTATTAAGTAATATACTAAAAAAGATAATAAAGGAGAAAAAGAATAGCCCCTTTAAGATAATAAAAAATAGTTAAAGTACCTTTAAAGTACTAAAGCAGGCATTCTTTAGATCTCTAGTACTATAGTATTTTAATCTAAAATAAGAGATACTCCTAGTAATTAATATATTAGATTTTATAATTATAGAAATCCTAATATAATATAATAGTACCTAGTCTATAAAGATATAGTATACTACTTAATAATTTATAATCTTTTACTTAAAGAAGCTAATTAAAGTAAAAAAGAAATATAAAACTTATAATTAAGAATTACTAGCTATAATAAAATATTTTAAAATATAATACTACTACCTTAAAAGTAATCTATATATAATATATATATAAATAAATTATATAAATCTAAAATATTTTTATATTATTAAGACTTTAAATTAATATTAAACTAAATAGGCTAAATTTCTAGTAATATATAATTTCTAGATTAAATATTAGTCTAGTAGCCTTAATTTAATTAATATATTTTTAAGGTAAAAGAATTATAAACTTATTTAATAAAATATAATTAAGGGACTCTTATCTATACTTTAAGTAAAGCTAGAAGATTTATAGAATAATTAAAATAAAAGTAAGATAGTAGCTCCTTAAAAGACTCTAATTATATAGTTAAGAAATCTAGAACTTTTAACTTAAAGAATACTAGTATAAAAGGTAGCTAGTAATAAGCAAGCCTATAAAATACTATTAATTATTTTATAAAACTTATTTTAGGAGATATAATATAAAAATACTTATATAAGTTATATTTAGAGTAATACTAGTAAGAAATATCTAGTATACTAAAAGTATACTTAAATAGTAGAGAAATTACCTAAATAAAAAATAATAAAATAACTTAAGAATAATACTAAATAAAGGTAAATTTATAAAAATAGATAGTATATTAATAATAATAAGCTAGTATAATATAATAAGATTATTTATATTTCTTTTAATTAAATAATATATTAAAAATTACTAAGAATATATTATAATAACCTATATATAGATTACTTTAGTTAAGAAAAGATATTAGATCTTATTAAATA